TAATTTGTAATATTCGTCCGTTATTTAATTATTTAAAGTACGTCTATCTATTTATTTAAATCAAATTATTCCCACCTAATTAGTTAAAGTCGGTGCATATTTATATTTCAACGATAAACCAAATTATTGCAGTCTAATTATTTAACCAGTATTTTGCAGGGTCAAACATCAAACATTAAATTAAATAATAAACCAAATTGCTTCAACTTAATTATTTAAAACCAGTATTATGCTATGTCAAACATCAAACGTTACAGTTCAGTTATATCAGTTCAAACGTTTCAGTTTAGTCATACTCGTTATTCATTATTTTTACCTTTATATTCCCAATTTACTATTACTCCTTCCAACCTCGCCTAATATTCCTCCTCCTATCTACAAAATACTCCGCCGAACCTAGCCGTACCCTCGTAGTTACGGACCTTGCCGGTCGCCAGTATTTATCTAAAATTTCCCGAACCTAGCCGTACCCTCGTAGTTACGGACCTTGCCGGTGTAATTCCTCGAACCTAGCCGTACCCTCGTAGTTACGGACCTTGCCGGTGTAATTCCTCGAACCTAGCCGTACCCTCGTAGTTACGAACCTTGCCGATACCAATTACTAATTCAATTATCCCCTATATTATCAAAAATTTCCCGAACCTAGCCGTACCCTCGTAGTTACGGACCTTGCCAGTGTAATTCCTCGAACCTAGCCGTACCCTCGTAGTTACGAACCTTGCCGATACCAATTACTAATTCAATTAGCCCCTATATTATCAAACATTTCCCGAACCTAGCCGTACCCTCGTAGTTACGGACCTTGCCGGTGTAATTCCTCGAACCTAGCCGTACCCTCGTAGTTACGGACCTTGCCGGTAGAACAATACTCTATGGTACCATGGTTTAACATCACATTCACCACAGGTTTGCATGTCACAATATGGTGCTTATCTACTCATAATAATTCGTATAATAATTCATAATTTAGTTCACTTACATCAAACAGGTATTTCACAAAATTAATTTGGATAAAGCCAATGTGCAGAACTTTAGTTATATAACAATAGGTGTCTGCTTACCTGTTTTTAGTTGTCCGGACTCTTTGTAAAACACACCGTCCAACGGCAGCGATGTCCAATCGGCCGGACAATTCCCAGCGAAGTCCCTCTACAAGATCACGTCGTTGGTCACCAATTGTCAAATTGCGTCCATTCGAATCTGGTATAGGAACAAAAAGAGGTCAATACACGTCTTCTAAGATAGACTAGTATTTTAATTAATGCAAACACTTGAATGGTAAATATGATGTTCGTATATACGGGCCCACTGAAACACCACGCAGGGCAGTCAGAGAACTAACTTTTTCAACCCAAGGTTCTTCTTTAATACTCTGACAGAGATAGTTCCTGCTCCAGGCTGGGCCTGTCAGAGTAGAGGCTGGGTGTGGTTTAAACTTACCCAACCTATCGATGCGCACAGGCTGGTCCCAGCCCCTTGGCGCTTCACTGTTGCCAGGTGTTAGTTGTTTCTGTTGCAGTACACATGTCCTTGAGCGGTTTAACAAAGAGGCAGTGTGTGTGTGTGAGTCACAAGTCTATCTCAGCCTACCCCCTAACGGTTCCTCACATTAATCACAGCTTGTTATGTTAAACAATCTATATCAGTACAGCACAAACCTATTATGTTTCATCATTAATGTATTCTTTCTAAGCTAGGCATCACATCTAGTTGTAAGAAAATAGATCCCCACAGTAGCATTGCCTTTAAATTGTTTAACTTGGATCAAACGTTTTGGGTAGCCTTCGACAAGCTTCCCACAATAAGTTGGGTGAATTTTGGCCCATTCCTCCTGACAGCTGGTGTAACTGAGTCAGGTTTGTAGGTCAGAAGCTTGTAGCATCATACCCAAGAAGACTTGAGGCTGTAATCACTGCCAAAGGTGCTTCAACAAAGTACTGAGTAAAGGGTCTGAATACTTATGTAAATGTGATATTTTTTTAATTAATTTTTTATACATTTGCTAAAAAACGTTTATGCTTTGTTATTATGGGGTATTGTATGTAGATTGATGTGGGGGGAAACTATTTCATCCATTTTAGAATAAGGCTGTAACGTAACAAAATGTGGAAAAAGTCAGGGGGTCTGAATACTTCCCAAATGCACTGTATAGATAATAGAATAGGCATTCCCATTCAAGTTGACATTCGACGGTGGGTGGACCGACAGGCCATCTTACCTGGTAGGAAATGGAAGTTAAAATGTCAATTCAATTTCAATGGTGTACCAGCTAAATTGCAGTGGTCTGAAGGGATGGCAGGTAGCCTAGCGGTTAAGAGCGTTGGGCCAGTAACTGAAAGGTCGCTGGTTTGAATCCCAGAGCCGACTGGGTGAAAAATCTGTCTGTGCCCTTGAGCAAGGCACTTAACCCTAATTGCTCTTGTAAGTCGCTCTGGATAAGAGCGTCTGCTACATTACGTAAATGTAAATTGGATAGGTCCATTCTATGAATTCTGTTTCTATGATTGAAATGACACCCACCCTGTATTTAAGAACCGATAACGGGCAAAACACAAGCACCTCAGATGAGCTACATACAACATGTGAAAATAAGAGAAATCTGAGTTAACGTATTTTTAGGTAATTGGCATTAAAGGTTAAAAAATTGCTATAAAATAAATACATTTTCAAGAAAGTATCAAACCGACATGGATGTCTCATGGTAGGCTGGGTTATACAAAATGGGTGAACTTTGACCAAATCTCTTTCTGACCACTATTACCATGGGAAAACATGAAAGGATTCATTCAATTCTAAAGGGGTGCAGTCATGAAGTGATTGAAATCATATGGAACAACCATGAAACAAAGAGCACAGAAGCAAATGCATTTTCTACTTGAACAGCCACTGTAAATTATTTGAAGATAAATACTGGTGTAACGTAACCCCTTCAAAGAGACTCACCAGAGAGGCAGCTCCTCTGCAGGCGGAGGTTAGGTTTTGGCTGATGGCGGTTTTGTCGTTTGAGGGTACGGTAGTTTGGGAGGTTCTGCTGATTGTCATCAGAGCAGGTAAACGCAGCGCTGGCTTGCTCCTCTGTCGCTTTAAATTAGAAGAGAGAGGTGTCCCCCTGACCCAGAGATCATGTTTGTGTGTGTTTGTGTGTGTCTCCACTTCAGTAATCCTGTAGCCTTTGTACCTCTCACACACACACACACTGCAGACTGCCTCACATACACGCTGGAAACTGCAGTATCAGCAGAGCGGCAGATACCTCTGTGTGTGGCCCCTCCCCTGCCCTGTGCTGCCCCCCACCCGCAGCGCACGCAGGGCAGTGTGTGTGTGTCTCTACGGCCCCTCGGGCCTCTCTGGTTCTGTGGGTCAGAGTGTGTGTGTGAGCTCTCGGTTTCCCCTCCTCTTGAAGTGGACAGGAAAAGGACTGTTTTTTTCCCAGGATATCTGGAGCGGGCGGTGTGGTGACTACCCTGAGGCCTGTGAGGAGAAGATTGTTCAACAGGCAGTGGAGAGCAGGACACAGCAAAGGGAGGCCTGCTCTGAAACACACAGCCTGGAGCAGACCGTCACAGGCACAGGCTCCGGCTCACGACAGGTCATGATCAAGCTGCTGGCTTTGTTCTTGTGATTTAGCCTAGTTGGAGAAGCCACTGTGGAGGAAAGAGAGGATTTCTGTAGTATTTTCCTCTTAGCCCAGAGGACTGACCAGGACTGCCCTGTGTGTGTTTCTATGGGCCTGTGGAACCACAGGCAGGCACGGGACCTCAGTGCGTTGTTGACGGGAGCTCTGAATGTTTTATTGTTCTGAAAAACAAACGAGTGGCTGGGACTTTACCCACAGACACAGTGCTATTAGGACAACAGCAGATACTAGGCCACTTCATTATCACCACAACACCAGAGGCCTGAGAGAACAGGAGCCTCACCAGGATTATTATTACTCAACTGGAGTTTGATCTCTACACAGCAGCAGACTGAGCTCAGCACACGCTACTGTCACAGCACCTGAAGAGGCTTCTGTGTGCAGGATCTGACTGGCTGACTGACGGACAGGCGGCTGGCATAATATCGATGAGCCCTGCCTACTTGGCACTCAGATGTCTGTCTGTAATTCCTAAGGAGAGGAGGGGACATCTACTACACCTCTACTAAGGATTTTACTGCTTGGTTTTATGAGGAATTTATTTTTTAAATCCGTTTTTAGATCAGGATTTTTCTAAAGAGTCAGTGGTTAGCTGATTGTATATTATCTTTAGTAAGCATGACTTAGAGTTGGATTCAAAGATGGGTTGGGTTGATTTTTAAAGATTATTTATATCATTGTGTCAGAGACTGAAGTCATATTGTAAGTACTTAGGGGAAGTTTAAGACTAGTTTTGATTTTCCTCAGCCTGCTAAGGCTCCAGACAGCCAGACCAGACATCGCACGGATCTAACCAGGACCTTTTTTATTCTCTGTCTGGTATGTCTCACCATCAGGAGGTGACCTCACTTCCTGTCTATGACTTGAAGGACACTCCTCAAGCTAACGTCAATGAAGAGTGGCATTGTTGGTTATAAAATGGAGCCGTGTGCACGGAGAGCAGCACTGAGTTCAAAGGTGAAACTGCACTGAGCAGAGAGAGGGAGGAGCCCAGAGAGGGAGAGAGGAAGGGAGAAAGAGGGTAAGAGAAGCTGTAACTCCAGAGTGTGACTGTGCAGTCTGGACTCCCCAGTCTCCCAGGCTGATGCAGGCTGCTGACAGAGGCTGTGGGATCCTACCCTAGACCTTTGACTGGAGAGACACACTCTGGATGGTTCATCTGTCTACCAGCTGTTAATCGGACGCTCCAGCAACGTCTGTTTGTTCCTGGGACAGAGGAAAGACCAGTCTCTAAGAACACAGGGAGAACCACCTGCTCTGCATGTGTCTGGACCTCTGTGCTCAGGATCTGTTTCTGAGCTGTGGAGAACCTCTGCGGGGGATCTGTTTTTACATTTTCTCTCTGATGTGTGTCCATGTGCAGTGGCATGATAGCCCGTGTGTGTCCCTGGAGGCGCGCGGATGCTGGACCTGTGAACTGTGAATGACACACACACACTGCTTTAGCGGACCACTTCCACACACCCAAACACACACAAACTCCTGGACCACTGGAAGCCAGCAGAGCCATGGAGTGTTCGGCCGTGCAGGCGGAGACTCCTGGTATCCATAACAACAGTGTAGAGTTGACCCTGGAGGAGAGTCCGGTCCTCATCTCCTCATTCTGCACCGAGCTACAGCTAGATAGCATGGGTATGTGTGTGTGTGTGTGCGTGTAGGATATGTTGTGAACATGCAGGATACAGTGCTGTTGAAGCCGTCCCACCAGTTCGTATACTCTAGTGTGTTTTAGCTCCGTAATAGTGAAGGAAACGACTAAATATATCTTTGTCATGTTTTGGAGGCTCTTTAATTATTTTGTGTTAATGAATTAATAATGTTGTGGTTGTTTCTTCTGTGTAGATGGAGGAGGGGGGTATGACATAGTGAATAACCAGGTGATACCAACACCAGGGCCACCACCAAACTACAGATCACATAATGCCTCACTTCGACAAAGTTGGGAGATGAACTACCAGGAAGCAGCCATCTATCTACAGGTACCCCACACACACACACAGCCATTTTGGCATGTTGGCTAGCTAGACTATATTACGGTCTACTTGGTATTTACTTTAAAAGTTAGATGGTAATGATTAGCTACATTATAATGTTATGGGGTAGTTATAAGTTGTAAGCTGACTGTAAGAAAGCCAAGCTATGTTGGGACACAGCATTATGTGACGGGTAGATCATGTGAGTTTATTGTGTGCTAAACCCCTATGCTAAACATGGTACCTTTTATTTGTAGCTATAGGTATAGCTCAGGTGAATGGTAGAAAGCTGTAGGAACAAATGTATCATATTTTCACACTTTTATTATGAAACAAAATTCTGATGTAAGTGTGTGTGGTCGGTCCATAGGAAGGAGAGAACAATGATAAGTTCTTCACACACCCTCGGAACCCCAAGGCGCTGGCAGCATACTTGTTTGCTCACAACCACCTGTTCTACATGATGGAGCTGCTAACAGGACTCCTACTGATGGTGCTGTCTCTCTCTGAGGCTCCCGCTGTACCATCACTACGCCTGGATGTTTATGTACGTACACACACACTACCACTGACACACACACACACACACACACACTGCCACTGACACACACACTGCCACAGGTCCACACCACTCTGGACCTGCTGGGTTAGGGTTAGAGGTCGGAGGTGAAAGGTTAAAGGATGTGTTCTGTCTCTGTAGGTCCACGCCACTCTGGAGTTATTGGCTCTGGTTATGGTGGCGTTTGAACTCTGCATGAAGCTGCGCTGGCTCGGCTTCCACACATTCATCAGACACAAGAGGACCATGGTGAAGGTACATACACACAACTTTATAGGAGCATCCCAAGCAGTGCATATAGATTGCAAACAAGAGTGGTCCCATAATAGATCCCTGAGGGACCCCTTGTGACCCTTTATACTTACAAGAGTGACACATTCTTGCCTGTCAGTTAGATGGTTTACAAACAGTTATAGTTTCACCATTTCATATGACTGACAGCTGGTCTCTCCTGTGTGTAGACGTGTGTGTTGCTGCTCCAGTTTGTGGAAGCCATAGTGGTTCTGATCCGGCAGACATCACACTTGCGTGTGACCAGAGCTCTCAGACCCATATTCCTGGTGGACTGCAGATACTGTGGTGCGGTGCGCAGGTACACACACACTCATATACCGCAGATACATCACATACACACCTGTATTACCTCGCACTGCTTTGTTGTTTCCAATGTGTGAATAACTGTTGTGTGTTGTCACCCTCTTGACCAATCAGAAACCTGCGTCAGATCTTCCAGTCCCTTCCCCCTTTTATAGATATCCTGCTGCTGCTGCTCTTCTTCATGGTCATCTTCGCCATCCTGGGTGAGAGACACACACACACACCATCTTTACTGTTCATCAAAGTTGATCATGACATTGATCCTAAATGACAATCCTCGAGGAGCCTCCAAAAACATTGGAAATTATATAATCTTAAAAACAACCTTACAAACAACTCTACCTTGAAATCTAAAATAAATTATGTTCTATTGTGCCTGTCCGAGTATGGATCTGTTCTCTCTCTACAGGCTTCTGTCTGTTCTCCCCTAACACTTCTGATCCGGTAAGTGAAACAGTTTGACTGATATTTTCAGTATGTTGTGCCTCTGTAGACTGCTAGTCTGGTGCTAACTGGAGGGGTCTGTCTCATACTGTTTTGTCTGGCTTTTCTCTTCTCAGTACTTCAACACTCTGGAGAACAGCATCGTTAGTCTTTTTGTGCTCCTGACCACCGCAAAGTAAGACTTGCTCATCTACCACACACCATAACTCCTACTTTATACACCTGTCTCTCTAATAGTCTGACAGGTTTCTTACTCTGTGCCTGTTGAGATTGTAATGCTCTCTCAGGACAGCATAGTGCCTGTTGAGATTGTAATGCTCTCTCAGGACAGCATAGTGCCTGTTGAGATTGTAATGCTCTCTCAGGACAGCATAGTGCCTGTTGAGATTGTAATGCTCTCTCAGGACAGCATAGTGCCTGTTGAGATTGTAATGCTCTCTCAGGACAGCATAGTGCCTGTTGAGATTGTAATGCTCTCTCAGGACAGCATAGTGCCTGTTGAGATTGTAATGCTCTCTCAGGACAGCATAGTGCCTGTTGAGATTGTAATGCTCTCTCAGGACAGCATAGTGCCTGTTGAGATTGTAGTACTCTCTCAAGACAGCATCAGTAGTGGAAAAAGTACCCAGTTGTCTTACTTAAGTAAAAGTAAAAAGTTACCTTTAAAGAAAATGAGTCACCCAGTAAAATACTACTTGAGTAAACATCTAAAAGTATTTGGTTTGAAATATACTTAAGTATCAAAAGTAAAAGTATAAATCACTTCAAATTCCTTATTCCTCTTTTTATTGTATTTTTACGGATAGCCAGAGGCACACTCCAACACTCAGACATTATTTACAAACGAAGCATGTGTGTTTAGTGAGTCCGCCAGATCAGAGGCAGTAGGGATGACCAGGGATGTTCTCTTGATAAGTGGGTGAATTAGACCATTTTCCTGTCCTGCTTTTGGTACTTTTGGGTGTCAGGGAAAATGTATGGAGTAAAAAGTCAAAGTTTTCACAAATATAAATATTAAAGTAAAGTACAGATACCCCCAAAAAACTAAATTGCTGTAATTTACAGCGTTAAATAACACTAATGTGTGAGAACAGTATTTTTTGTGAACAAATGTTTCATTTTGGCATTATAATAAGGTTGGTAGCAACATGGAAAATCGTTGTGGAAATCTGTTGCAGCTCAAGTCGACTACAAAATCCACAATTCAATGCTCTCTCTATGGGCTGGCTAGCTAGCTAGCAAACAATAATACCAAAGACAATATCAGCATCTAACGTAACTAGTTAGCTGTAAAATCGCCTAAACAAACTGCTCTGTCATTTTATGAGTCTACAATCTCACCATGTTCAACCTGCAGATCGATGTGCCTCACGGAGTGGAGTCTAACATTTGCAACGGCAGATATACGTTTGAGGAGTTGGGAAACGTTGCCCATGCTACGACAATGGACCGCGCGGTGCATTCTGGGCTATTCTGGGACAAGGAGCGCTCTCCTTCAGAGTGAATGGAAGTCTATTGTGCGCAAGCTGAAAAACCCAACATTAGCACGAATTTCATAAACAATGCTTGCTATCTGTAGTATCTTATAGCTTTGGAATCGTGACATTACGTTCTTTCGAGGAAAATAGGCACGTTTCTCGACATATACATTAACTTTGAGAAGGGATTGCGTGACGATTAGTTTAGCAACCGCTTTACGCAGCATGACAACGTGAGTGCGATTGGTCAACAGTCTGCTGGGTGGGGCGTAATACGTTCTTTGATTCATTGGATTCCTATCTCCTTTCTATAATATCTCTGGCAACGGCATCATGCAATGCACACTGCACTAAAGAGGCAGACAATTAGGAAAAATGTGCTACGACCTCCATTCAATTACACATTTCTCGAGGTAGGAATATTGCAAAAATATTATCAATGGCTCATTCGAGAGAAGACATCCTCCCGAGTTATGACATCAGCCAGTATTGAAATCTGACATGTATGATATAAATTTTTGCAATCTAAAAGTTGTATTCCTATTAACTTCGAGTGTAGTGAGAGCGACTTTATCACAGTGCTATGTCATACCAGCTGGATTTCTGCCTGCTTGAACGCCAATAACTCACATGAAAACATGAAATGACCCAGGGAATCGATAGAACATCACTCAGAGATGCACAAAAACAATATTACATTCAAAATGGGTGAACCTTTCTTTTAAGTACTTTACACCACTGAACAGCTTAGTGCCTGTTGAGATTGTATTACGCTCAAGACAGTATAGTGCCTAATGAGATTGCTGGTGTTCTGTTTCCTCTAGCTTCCCAGACGTGATGATGCCAGCGTACTCTAGGAACCGCTGGTCCTGTGTCTTCTTCATCGTCTACCTTTCCATTGAACTCTACTTCATCATGAACCTGGTACACACACACACATGCTGTTGTTTCCTCCCTGTGCACCCTATGGCCACGGTTTGATAGTGTGTTTGTGTTGCAGCTTCTGGCAGTGGTGTTTGATACGTTTAACGGTGTTGAGAAGATGAAGTTTAAATCTCTGATGCTCCACAAACGCTCCGCTATCGACCATGCCTTCCAACTGCTGGTCAGCAGACAGGTATACACACACACACACACAGCTAGTGTCTGTAAGCTGTTGTAACTTATGTGTAACTGTTGCATTTCGTTCCTGTGTGTTGTCTCCTCAGAGGCCGATGGGTGTGTCTCTGAAGCAGTTTGATGGTCTAATGCGTTTCTACAGACCCCGTATGTCAGCCAGAGACCGCTTCCTCACATACAAGGCCCTTAACACTGCAGGAGCACCCATGCTCAGGTAACACACACACATACTGTATGAGCACACACATACTATAAGTGTTGCTGTTTTAAAGAAGTGTGTGATGTTCTGTTGCAGCCTAGATGACTTCTATAAATTCTATGAAGTAATCGGCCTCAAATGGAAGGTAAGCCTAACCGTTTTTATTTGGACAGTGAAGCTAAAATTAGTACATTTGGCTTTATACTCCAGCATTTTGGATTTGAGATCAAATGTTTCATGTGAGGCAACAGTACAGAATTTCTCATTTTATTCTGGGGTATTTTCATACATATACTACATGACCAAAAGTATGTGGACACCTGCTTGTCGAACATCTCATTCCAAAATCATGGATATTAATATGGAGTTGGTCCCCCCTTTGCCGCTATAGCAGCCTCCACTCTTCTGGGAAGGCTTTCCACTAGATGTTGGAACATTGCTGCGGGGACTTGCTTCCATTCAGCCACGAGCATTAGTGAGGTCGGGCACTGATATTGGGCGATTAGGCCTGGCTCGCAGTTGGCTTTCCAATTCATCCCAAAGGTGTTCGATGGGGTTGAGGTCAGGGCTCTGTGCAGGCCAGTCAAGTTCTTCCACACCAATCTCGACAAACCGTTTCTGTATGGAGCTCGCTTTGTGCACGGGGGCATTGTCATGCTGAAACAGGAAAGGGCCTTCCCCAAATTATTGCAACAAAGTTGGAAGCACAGAATCGTCTAGAATGTCATTGTATGCTGTAGCGTTAAAATGTCCCTTCACTGGAGCTAAGGGGCCAAGCCCGAACCATGAAAAACAGCCCCAGACCATTATTCCTCCTCCACCAAACTTTACAGGTGGCACTATGCATTGGGGCAGGTAGCGTTCTCCTGGCATCCGCCAAAAACCCAAGTTTGTCCGTCGGACTGCCAGATGGTGAAGCGTGATTCATCACTCCAGAGAACGCGTTTCCACTGCTCCAGAGCTTTACACCACTCCAGCTGACGCTTGGCATTGCGCATGGTGATCTTAGGCTTGTGTGCGGCTGCTCGGCCATGGAAACCCATTTCATGAAGCTCCTGACGTTGCTTCCAGAGGCAGTTTGGAACTCGGTAGTGAGTGTTGCAACCAAGGACAGACAAAATTTGACAAACTGACTTGTTGGAAAGGTGGCATCCTATGATGGTGCCACATTGAAAGTCACTGAGCTCTTCAGTAAGGCCATTCTACTGCCAATGTTTATCTATGGAGATTGGATGGCTGTGTGCTTGATTTTATACACATATCAGCAACGGGTGTGGCTAAAATAGCAGAATCCACTGATTTGAAAGGGTGTCCACATACATTTGTATGTATAGTGTATCTGTTTTACCGTTTAGAAATGAAAGCACTTTATGTGTCTAGTCCCCCCCATTTGAAAACGTGTTGTTTTCGTAAGTATTTGGACAAATTCTGTTTTGGTTGTGTTTCGAATTATGTTATGCCCAATTAAGATTAAAGGGATACGTCGAGATTTTGACAATGAGGCCCTTTATCTGCTGTAGGCTAATCACCACTGCCCCCGAAGCACCAGTTAGCCTTGAGCCTTGAGCTAGCCCCGGCTATCTACCTCTCTGTCTTCCGGACGGTAGTAGCCAGCTAACCAGCTAACTAGCTACTTGCTGTTAGCCACCGTTAGCGGCTTTTCTCCATTGTCCATGGCCTGCACTACCTACCAGCCAGCTCTAGCCTGGACTATTATCGGCCAGTCTGCACTGTCTGCACAGCGCGTTATCGACCCAGAACCTATCGGATTTTCTGCCGGAATCACTGAATCACTGGACCTTTAACACTGGATAATCGCAACTAGCTAGATGCAACCAAATGAACGTTGTTGTTGGCTAATCAGCCTTGAGCTAGCCTTGAGTCAGGCACATCTCCCGGCTATCTACCTCTCTGTCAACCGGACGGGACCTCCTAGAGTCGACACGGAGCCCTGCCGATCCATCACGACTGGTGTGCCGACGTAATCGTCTGTGGTTTCAACAGGCTTCCCGTTGCGACGACCACGAAGATCCATCTGCTAGCCCCGCTCGCTAGCACACGCAAATAACAACCGTGCTTCCTGCTCGCTGTGCTGAAGCACCAATTTGAACTGCTCTCGGACTCACATATTGCTGTTCACTGGACCTTATGATCACTCAGCTGCACAGCTGATGCCTGCTGGACTGTTCCTTTACACGGTACCCTGTCCTGTTTATCTGTTTAGCCTCAGCCCAAACTCTATCGCCATTACCAGTTGTTGTCTTAGCTCTCTCTAATAACACCTGTGATTGCTTTATGCCTCTCTCCCATGTCAATATGCCTTGCCTATTGCTATTCCAGTTAGTTCTTATTATACAATTTCACTGTAGAACCTCAACTCCCTCTCAAACTGCCTCAAATAGTTCCTTTGTTCCACCCCTCATACACGCCGAGACCGGCTCAATCGGTGCCTCCAGTGATGCTATCTCTTTCATTGTTACCCAACGCTTAGGTTTACCTCCACTGTACTCATATCCTTCCATATCCTTGTCTGTACATAATGCCCTGAATCTTTTCTACAACGCCCGTAAATCTGCCCCCTTTATTCTCTGTACCCAACGCACTAGAAGACCAGTTCTTAAAGCCTTTAGCCATATCTTTATTCTAGTCCTCCTCTGTTCCTCTGGTGATGTAGAGGCTAACCCAGGCCCTGCAGCCCCCAGTATCACTCCTACTCCCCAGGAGCTATCATTTGTTGACTTCTGTAACCGTAAAAGCCTTGGTTTTCTGCACGTTAACATCAGAAGCCTCCTTCCTAAGTTTGAGTTATTCACTGCGTTAGCATACTCCGCCAACCCTGATGTTCTAGCAGTGTCTGAATCCTGGTTTAGGAAGGCCACCAAAAATTCTGAAATTTCCATCCTCAACTACAACATTTTCTGTCTAGATAGAACTGCCAAAGGGGGTGGAGTTGCAATCTACTGTAGAGATAGCCTGCAGAGCTCTATCATACTATCCAGGTCTGTGCCCAAACAGTTTGAGCTTCTACTTCTAAAAATCCACCTTTCCAGAAATAAGTCTCTCACTGTTGCCGCTTGCTACAGACCCCCCTCAGCCCCCAGCTGTGCCCTGGACACCATATGTGAATTGATTGCCCCCCATTTATCCTCAGAGTTCATACTGCTTGGTGACCTAAATTGGGATATGCTTAACACCCCGGCCATCCTACAATCCAAACTAGATGCCCTCAATCTCACACAAATTATCAACGAACCTACCAGGTACAACACTAAATCAGTAAACATGGGTACCCTCATAGATATCATCCTGACTAACTTACCCTCTAAATACACCTCCGCTGTCTTCAACCAGGATCTCAGCGATCACTGCCTTATTGCCTGCGTCCGTAACGGGTCCGCGGTCAAACGACCACCCCTCATCACTGTCAAACGCTCCCTAAAACACTTTAGCTTGGGGTCATAGGCAGCATTCCTCCTCCTCCAAACCCGGCGAGTTGAGTTGATGCCAAAGAGTTCGATTTTGGTCTCATCTGACCACAACACTTTCACCCAGTTCTCCTCTGAATCATTCAGATGTTCATTGGCAAACTTCAGACGGCCCTGTATATGTGCATTCTTGAGCAGGGGGACCTTGCGTGCGCTGCAGGATTTCAGTCCTTCACGGCGTAGTGTGTTACCAATTGTTTTCTTGGTGACTATGGTCCCAGCTGCCTTGAGATCATTGACAAGATCCTACTGTGTAGTTCTGGGCTGATTCCTCACCGTGCTCATGATCATTGCAACTCCACGAGGTGAGATCTTGCAAGGAGCCCCAGGCCGAGGGAGATTGACAGTTATTTTGTGTTTCTTCCATTTGCGAATAATCGCACCAACTGTTGTCACCTTGGTCTTGTAGCCCATTCCAGCCTTGTGTAGGTCTACAATCTTGTCCCTGACATCCTTGGAGAGCTCTTTGGTCCTGGCCATGGTGGAGAGTTTGGAATCTGATTGATTGATTTCTTCTGTGGACAGGTGTCTTTTATACAGGTAACAAACTGAGATTAGGAGCATTCCCTTTAAGAGTGTGCTCCTAATCTCAGCTCATTACCTGTATAAAAGACACCTGGGAGCCAGAAATCTTTCTGATTGAGAGGGGGTCAAATACTTATTTTCCCCTCATTAAAATGCAAATCAATTTATAACATTTTTGACATGGGTTTTTCAGGATTTTTTGGTTGTTATTCTGTCTCTCACTGTTCAAATAAACCTACCATTAAAATTATAGACTGATCATGTCTTTGTCAGTGGGCAAACATACAACATCAGCAGGGGATCAGCAGGGATTTTTCCCTCACTGTATATCCATCCTGCCCTGCCTTTCGAAAGTTTTTGAAAGGCAAGTTAACAAACAGATCACCGACCATTTCGAATCCCACCGTACCTTCTCCGCTATGTAATCCGGTTTCCGAGCTGGTCATGGGTGCACCTCAGCCACGCTCAAGGTCCTAAACGATATTATAACCGCGATCGATAATAGACAGTACTGTGCAGCCGTCTTCATCGACCTGGCCAAGGCTTTCGACTCTGTTAACCTCCGCATTCTTATTGGCAGACTAACTAGCCTTGGTTTCTCAAATGACTGCCTCGCCTGGTTCACCAACTACTTCTCGGATAGAGTTCAATGTGTCAAATCGGAGGGCCTGTTGTCTGGACCTATGGCAGTCTCTATGGGGGTGCCACAGGGTTCAATTCTTGGGCCGACTCTTTTCTCCGTGTATATCAATGATGTCGCTCTTGCTGCTGGTGACTCTCAGATCCACCTCTATGCAGACGACACAATTTTGTATACATCTGGCCCTTCATTGGACACTGTGTTAACAAACCTCCAAACGAGCTTCAATGCCATACAACACTCCTTCAGTAGCCTCCAACTGCTCTTAAACACTAGTAAAACTAAATGCATGCTCTTCAATCGAACGCTGCTGGCACCCGCCCACCCGACTAGAATCACTACTCTTGACGGGTCTGACCTAGAGTATGTGGACAGCTACAAATACCTAGGTGTCTAGTTAGACTGTAAACTCTCCTTCCAGACTCACATTAAGAATCTCCAATCCAAAGTTAAATCTAGAATCGGCTTCCTATTTCGCAACAAAGCCTCCTTCACTCATGCTGCCAAACATGCCCTCGTAAAACTGACTATCCTACCGATCCTTGACTTTGGTGATGTCATTTACAAAATAGCCTCCAACACTCTACTCAGCAAATTGGATGTAGTCTATCACAGTGCCATCCGTTTTGTCACCAAAGCCCCATATACTACCCACCACTGTGACCTGTACGCTCTTGTTGGCTGGTCCTCACTACATATTCGTTGCCCAAACCCACTGGCTCCAGGCCATCTATAAATCACTGCTAGGCAAATCCCTGCCTTATCTTAGCTCATTGGTCACCATAGCAACACCCACCAGTAGTATGCGCTCCAGCAGGTATATCTCACTGGTCATCCCCAAAGCCAACACCTCCTTTGGCCGCCATTCCTTCCAGTTCTCTGCTGCCAATGACTGGAACGAATTGCAAAAATCTCTGAAGCTGGAGACTCTTATCTCCCTCACTAACTTTAAGCATCAGTTGTCAGAGCACCTTACTGATCACTGCACCTGTACACAGCCCATCTGAAATTAGCCCACCCAACTACCTCATCCCCATATTGTTATTTATTTTGCTCATTTGCACCCCAGTATCTCTATTTGCACATCATCTCTTGCACATCTATCATTCCAGTGTTAATACTAATTGTAATTATTTTTCACTATAGCCTATTTATTGCCTTACCTCCATAACTTGCTACATTTGCACACACTGTATATATATTTTCTGTTGTATTTTTGACTATGTTTTGTTTTACCCCATATGTAACTCTGTGTTGTTGTTTTTATCGCACTGCTTTGCTTTATCTTGGCCAGGCTTACCTGGTTAAATAAAGGTGAAATAAATAAATAAATAAATACATCTACTTCCCCAGAGTCAGCTGAACTCGTGGATAACATTTTTATGTCTCTGTGTCCAGTAAGAAGGAAGTTAGAGGTATTTTCACGAGTCAATGCTTACTAGCGTTCGCACAATGACTCGAAGTCTATGGGTATCTGCTAGCGTGCTAGCAGATACCCATAAACTTCCAGTCATTGCGCGAAAGCTAGTTAGCAATTGTGCTAGCGCTACTTACCAATTTCCTTCAAACCGCATGCAGACACATAAAAATGACTCTGAGGAAGTAGATAAAGGGCCTCATTGCCAAAATCCTGAAGTATCCCTTTAATCTTAATTGGGCACAACATAATCCGAAACACAACAAAAACAAAATCCAAATGCATCCAACAAGTTTGTAGAGGCACAAGCTTGATGTAATCATTGCGTGCTAGGAATATGGGACAAAATACTAAACTTTTGACTACTTTAATACACATATAAGTGAATTTCTCCAAATACTTATAACACCTTCAAATGGGGGGACTAGATACATAAAGTGCTTTCACTTCTAAACGGTAAAACAGATATGTATGAAAATACGAAACATTTGGTCTCCAATCCAAAATGCTGGAGTATAGAGCCAAATTAGAAGTTTTAGCTCCATTGACCAAATAAATATGATGGGGAGTGTATATATACACCTCACTGATGTGTGTGTGCTTGCGTGCGTGCGTGCGTGCATGTGATTGTACTTTGTAGGCACGGCGGAGCGGGGAACACTGGTTTGATGATCTTCCACACACTACTTTTCTTATCTTCAAAGGTGACTTGTATTTTTCCCTTCTTTCTTCCATCCCATCCACTGCTGTGTTCCTCTCCTCGTATCTGAGGTGACTCAGACTGACTGACATCCTTCTGTTAATGTTTCTACCAGGCATCAACCTGCTGGTCAAGTCTAAAGCCTTCCAGTACACAATGTGTGAGTGGACATCCATTATTAGTAGTATTAGCTATAGTGCTATCATCTGTGTTGTCAACCTAGAACAAGACTTAAATCTGGTACAAGACTTAACTCTAAGACAAAACTTAACTCTCGGACAGGACTAACCCTAGGACACAATTCTCTCCTCTCTCTCCCCTGTAGATGTGGTGGTGGCCGTCAACGGAGTGTGGATCCTAGTAGAGACCTACATGTTGAATAGTAACTAAACCTATTCCCAGAATATAAAGTACTTTTAATGCAGATTCTCTATTGTGCATGCTTTTTAATTCAGGACTAGGTTTAATCTGGGTCCAGGAAATCGTCCCTAAATGTCAAGTAGAGACCTACATGTTGAACAGTAAGGTTGTTTCTGATCTCTGTCCTGGCCCCTCCCTTGGCAGGTGGATTCTCCTCGTCCAGAATAGTCCCCTGGAGTTACATCATCTTCCTCACCAGTAAGATCAGGCACAAACACACACACTTACACACACACACACACAGAGCCACATCCTTTTCGTCACTAGTGAGAACACACATTTTTACTCCTCTCTCTCGCTCTTTTTCAATCTCTAGTCTATGGGGTGGAGGTGTTGTTGAAGATAACGGGCATGGGACCGTTGGCCTACTTCAGCTCCGGCTGGAACCTGTGAGTACTGACCATTAAACCCTTAACGCCTTAACCCTAACCCTCAACCCTTAGCATGTCCACTGTGTTTATTCAGTAGCTTAATGGCCATAAATGTCTCTGTGTTCGCCTCACCAGGTTTGACTTCTCTGTGACGGTGTTTGCCTTTCTGGGCTTGATTGCCCTGGCCTTCGACATGGAGCCCTTCTACTTTATTGTGGTTCTCAGACCGCTGCAGCTACTCAGGTGGGTTACCACGACAACACACACGTACTGGGACCGCTGCTATTCTCTCATTCATACACTTTTTCATTTATTTCCTAATAAAACTGGCCTATGCACTTCAGACGAAGATATTTCTCTGGTCACTACCTCTCTACAAAATGCTTATTACAGACAATTACAAACAGCTTATATATACAGTACCAGTCAAAGGTTTGGACACACCTACTCATTCAAGGGTTTTTCTTTATTTTTACTATTTTCTACAATGTAGAATAATAGTGAAAACATCAGAACTATGAAATAACACATGTGGAATAATGTAGTAACCAAAAATGTTAAACTAATCAAAATATATTTAATATTTTTCAAAGTAGACACCCTTTGCCTTGATGACAGTTTTGCACACTCTTGGCATTCTCTCAACCAGCTTCACCTGGAATGCTTTTCCAATAGTCTTGAAGGAGTTCCTACATAAGCTGAGCACTTTTTTGGTTGCTTTTCCTTCACTCTGCGGTCCAACTCTACCCAAACCATCTCAATTGGGTTGAGGTCGGGTGATTGTGGAGGCCAGGTCATCTGATGCAGCATTCCATCACTCTCCTTCTTGGTCAAATAGCCCTTACACAGCCTGGAGGTGTGTTGGGTCATTGTCCTGTTGAAAAACAAATGATAGTCCCACTAAGTGCAAACCAGATGAGATGGCGTATCGCTGCAGAATGCTGTGGTAGCCATGCTGGTTAAGTGTGCCTTGAATTCTAAATAAATCACAGACAGTGTCACCAGCAAACCACCATCACATCTCCTCCTCAACGCTTCACGGTGGGAACTACACATGCAGAGATAATCCGTTCACATACTCTGCGTCTAACAAAGACACCAAAACCAAAGATCTCAAATTTGGACTCATCAGACCAAAATACAGATTTCCCCCGTACTAATGTCCATTGTTCGTGTTTCTTGGCCCAAGCAAGTCTCTTCTTCTTATTGGTGTTCTTTAGTAGTGATTTCTTTACAGCAATTCGACCATGAAGGCCTCATTCATGCAGTCTCCTCTGAACACTTGAACTCTGTGAAGCATTTATTTGGGCTGCAAATTCTGAGGCTGGTAACTCTAATGAACTTATCCTCTGCAGCAGAGGTAACTCTGGGTCTTCCTTTCCTGTGGCGGTCCTCATGAGAGCCAGTTTCATCATAGTGCTTGATGGATTTTGCGACTGCACTTGAAGAAACGTTCAAAGTTCTTGACATTTTCCGTATTGACTGACCTTCATGTCTTAAAGTAATGATGGACTGTCGTTTCTCTTTGCTTATTTGAGCTGTTCTTGCCATATTATGGTATTTTACCAAATAGGGCTATCTTCTGTATACCACCCCTACCTTGTCACAACACAACTGATTGGCTCAAACTTTTAGCAAGGCACACCTGTTAATTTAAATGCATTCCAGGTGACTACCTCATGAAGCTGGTTGAGAGAATGCCAAGAGTGTGCAAAGCTGTCATCAAGGCAAAGGGTGTCTACTTTGAAAAGTAGACACCCTTCAAGGCAAAGGGTGTCTTATTTTGATTAGTTTAACGTTTATTTGGTTACTACATGATTCCATATGTGTTATTTCATAGTTTTGATGTCTTCACTATTATTCTACAATGTAGAAAATAGTAAAAATAAAGATAAACCCTGGAATGAGTCGGTGTGTCCAAACTTTTGACTGGTACTGTTTGTTGTCAGGTGGGCAATTATTTTGTGTGGGTATTTTGTTAGGTGCATATATGTGTGTTACCGGTATATAGAATTATAAATATTGTATTGATCATCATGTGTTAAGTATGTGCGCTCTATCAGGTTGTAAGTGTGTGTGTGTGTGTGTGTGTTCTCTCTCTTAGGTTGTTTAAGATAAAGCAGAGGTATCGTAACGTGTTGGACACCATGTTTGAACTCTTCCCAAGGATGGCAAGGTAACAACTTTGCTCACTATATTTACATACAACGCATGTATTAACCTTTTATAAGAACCTGCTTAATAAGAACTTTTATATGTTGTCAGTCTGGGGCTGACATTGATAATCTTCTACTACTCCTTTGCCATCGTGGGGATGGAGTTCTTCGCTGATGTAGTTTACCCTAACTGCTGCAAGTGAGTCACACATACACTCCTCTTACACACAGTTCACTCACACACTAACCTGTCAGTCTACCCTGACACTTTGTTCGAAGCAGAACCTACCACAGACTAAGAATACTAGAAAAGATATTGGCGCTCCAGTAATATGACGGCCATCTTGGTCAGGGTGGTTCACATGAGTTTCAGTTTCAGTCTCTCTCTCTCTCTTCTCCTCCGTTCTTTATCTCTCGCCGTCCTCCTCTCGCCGTCTCTCCTCTCTCCTCGCTCTCGTCTTCTCCTCTCGTTCTCTCTACCTCTCCGTCTACTCGGTCTCCTCTATCTATCTCTCTCTCTCTGCTCTCTCTCTCTCTCTCTCTCTCTACTCTCTCTCTCTCTCTCTCTCTCTCTCTCTCTCTCTCTCTACTATCTCTCTCTCTCTCTCTCTCTCTACTATCTCTCTTTCGCTCCCCCCCTCATAGTACCAGTACAGTAGCAGATTCATACAGGCAGATCAATGTAACCATAGGCAACAGGACGGTGCTGGACGAGGGCTACTACTATCTCAACAACTTCAACAACATCCTCAGCAGCTTTGGTAAACACACACACAGTAGTCAATACTAGGCAGTTCCCTTTATACTATGTTGTTATATAATAAAGGGATAGGGATTGATTTGGGATTCAGCATCTCTCTCCCTCTCTCTCTCTGCAGTGACTCTGTTTGAGCTGACTGTGGTAAACAACTGGTACATCACCATGGTAAGACTCTTCCTTCTCACGCTGTATGCTGCCTGTCACCTATCTGATTAAACCTCTGCTGCTGCCTGACTGTCAAGCTTGTCCAGGTTGCTGAGGTTGATTGACAGCTGCTGTCCCCTACCCAACAGGAAGGAGTGACCTCCATGACAACTCACTGGAGCCGCCTCTACTTCATGACCTTCTACATTGTCACCATGGTGAGAGGCGTTGTCTGTGCATGTCTGTGTGTGCACAGATGCTTGTTTGTGTGTGTGTGTGTGCATGCGTGTGTAATGTTCTGTCTGTCCTCTCTAGGTGGTGATGACCATCATCGTTGCCTTCATCCTGGATGCGTTTGTGTTCCGTATGAACTACAGCCGGAAGAACAAAGAACCCCTGTTAGATCCTGAGGGTAAGTGTGTGCATGCGTACAAGTGAACAATTCTAGTAAGATGAGAACAGTATAGTGTTTGAGATGTGTGTAACAATGGTGTGTTTGTGTGTGGTAGATGAGAACGGTATAGTGTTTGAGATGTGTTTAACGATGGTGTGTTTGTGTGTGGTAGATGAGAACGGTATAGTGTTTGAGATGTGTGTAACGATGGTGTGTTTGTGTGTGGTAGATGAGAACGGTATAGTGTTTGAGATGTGTGTAACGATGGTGTGTTTGTGTGTGGTAGATGAGAACGGTATAGTATTTGAGATGTGTGTAACGATGGTGTGTTTGTGTGTGGTAGATGAGAACGGTATAGTGTTTGAGATGTGTGTAACGATGGTGTGTTTGTGTGTGGTAGATGAGAACGGTATAGTGTTTGAGATGTGTGTAACGATGGTGTGTTTGTGTGTGGTAGATGAGAACGGTATAGTGTTTGAGATGTGTGTAACGATGGTGTGTTTGTGTGTGGTAGATGAGAACGGTATAGTGTTTGAGGCAGAGGTGAATCGTGACGAGGCGTTGGCCACTCTGGAGCTTTATAAACAGACGTGCCCTGGACTCTCCTCACTCAACTCTCTACAGGGAGTACTGCTGGCCATGGACCGCAGCGGGGTGAGAACACACACACAGACCTACACTCACAAATAGACAGACACACTCACTCACACAGCAACACAAACCTGCCCCGTCCTATACTCTCAAAAATATAGACTGATGCGTGTGTGTGTGTGTGTGTGTGTGTAGAGCTCGTCTCTGGTGTATCTGGGTCGGCGGTCAAGGACCAAGAGTGACCTCAGCATGAAGATGTATGAGGAAGAGATCCAGGTGAGCCTCACGCTGCCATGACAACCATAATCCTGCTAACTGCTCAATGCTAGATTTCTCACTTTAAATAACACTTTAGCTTACATGACCTAGCTACAAAGGTGATTTTGATCTTGCCTTGTCTCGCAGAGGAGGCTGGTGGAAGGATCTATAGGAGGACAGGCTCATTGTAAAGACTGGAATGGAATAAATGGAACAGCATCAAACATATACTTCGTTCCATTACAATGAGCCTGTCCTCCTATAGCTCCTCCCACCAGCCTCTTCTGGTGTCTAGGGAATTGGATTACAAATGAGTATATTTCTGACATGTCAGCTGTGACAAAAAAAATGGTAATAGTATGACTAATGTGTTATTGGTGTGTGTGTGTGCAGGAGTGGTATGCGGAATACTCCAGAGAGAACCTACCCCAGTCAGACAGAAGCCTAGTGGAAAGAGAGCTGGAAATCCCTACCTCATGCCCTGACCCTGAACCCGACCCTGAACATGAACCCCAACCCCAGCTCAACTCACAAGGACCACTTAGCACTAACTAACAATCACTCACTGTTTTGCTCTCTCTCTCACACACACACACACACACACACACACACACACACACACACACACACACACACACACACACACACACACACACACACACACCTCTCTGACTTCAGTCATCATGTCACAGAGCACTCTGTGAACTTAATGGGGATTGTCTTCCACAATGACAATACAGAGAACCCCTCAATACTCCAAGTCTGTCTCCCTCCCTTCTTCCCCCTCCTCCCATCCTGAGGGAGTGTACTCTAGCAGCCTGGTGGGACAGTTGGGATGTGGACAGATGTGATGGTGTCATTGACCTACAGCCTGGATCCTGGATGCAGCAGGGATTTCTGTTGATATGAATCATGTTCTCTAACTGACTGGATCTCAATGTTCAACTCAAGGACCTTAGTCTGCTGATGCATAGACAGCCGAAGCAGAGCATCGATTTAGGGGTTAGAGGACAGAGTTAGGCCCTCTAGCTGTGAGACAGAGAGCTGATGTTCAAGGCCACCGGAGTACGAGGAGCCACTAGGATGGACTTGGGATTTCACACTGCTCTGGACACGGCGAGGACATACATGTCTGGACAGTGAAAGGACACATACCTGTAGGTGAACACTGTGCTGCCTGTAGATACATACATACTCACACGATCCCGCCCCGTCTGCCAGCACTAAGCTAAGCCCCCTCAACAGCCACTATACCCACACCCCACAAATCCCACCCACCCAACACACACCCACACCCTTCAAACCCCAGCATATGCCAGTAACCTACAGCTATATCTCCTAGCCAGTGTCTGAACAAACCTAAGAGAATAGTTTACTTTTTTAACTTGTTATTCTGTAAGTGTATTATAATGTATTTGGTGTATTAAATGAGGAGTCATTTAAATACGTTGTTCACTTTGTCAAGTGCATTTGTGTAGCTACCTTTGCTTTAAAGTGGCAGGGCTCAGACTAGCCCTGAGACATGGCTATAGACACCTATGGTATTTTAACCATCTTCTCTGTGGATGTTACAGGAAGGATTTTTGATGTTTTTATTTATATCTTAAACAGGGACAATACACAATAATCAACATCTCAGAACCTAGACATGTGTCCACGCATAAGTGCTTTTTACCCTGATCTCACTTCCTTTAACAGACACACACACACACAGCCCTGACAGTTCCAACAAGATAATCCTTTACCAAAGGTGCTTTATATGCAACAATTCCACCTTCAAATATCTATCAGGGACAGTAATGTACTACCTCTATATCTATCATACATCTGTAGTAGTAAAATAATACAATTCCTTAATAAAAATGCATAACATTGTTTGATGCAACTGCATAAAGTAGCATGTTTAGGGCCATCTTTAAATGACTTAAACAGCTGCGCCTTGCTGTTTCACGATTGGTTCCCCTTCTCAGAAGTTGGAACTATATAGGTGTTTCTAAGCCATGTTATTTAAAATACATTAGGAAATCGAAATGATTGACAATGTGTTGCATAGAGCACATTTTATACAATTGACTCACATCAACCATTACAGACAGCAGTGTTTCTCACTAAGGAGACACTGCATTCACATTGATTTAAAAGAGAGAATTCCCTTAAAGTTTCTCCTTGTCGGTATATGGGTTACTTTTAAAACTGTGTGTTACTGTCCATACAGTCATTTCTGTATATGTATGTAATTGTTTTGTGTGGACCCCAGGAAGAGTAGCTTGTCCTCATGTAACAGCTAATGGCGATCTAAATATAAAAATATAGTCAGTGCAAACAGACAAAAGTTAAATCACACAGTTTGATTGGTTCCAACTCAGTTAAGGCACAGTGTGATTGGCTGTGACTCCATCTCTCCCAGGAGGAGGGAAGTATCTCAGGTCTCGGTCCGTCTTGTCAGTATTCGCAGGTGGCTCTATCAGACTGGTCCAAACCATCTCGTACAGGCTTCAGGTGTGGATAAAGCCGAACTCCGTGAGCAGCGCAACCAGGAGGAAGACTGCGTAGAAGAGCAGAAGGAAGATTCCATATGCCCGGCCCAGGTGGAAACAACGCAGAGGAACTAGGATGAAGGAGAAGACCAGAGAGAGACCCAGAGAACCTGCTAGAACCCAGGTCAACAAACCCTCTGGTTCCAACTGGGTGGTGTAGAGGAGAGGGTTGGGGGTTAGAGCGAGAGGGGGGTGGAGAAAATAAATTAGAAACTAACCTTCATTGGCACATTTTAACACGCAAATAAAATCAAGCTGTTGCAATACCGGGGTATCAGTCCAATTTTATGTGAACTGAAAAAGGTGTACCACAGGGTTCAATACTGGGACTGCTTCTATTCTCTCATTCATACACTTTTTCATTTATTTCCTAATAAAACTGTCCTATGCACTTCAGACAAAGACATTTCTCTGTCACTACCTCTACAAAATTCTTATTACAGACAATTACAAACAGCTTATTTATATATTTATATATATATATATATATATATATATATATATATATATATATATAAATAAATTTAACCAAAATATAAACGCAACATGTAAAGTGTTGGTCCCATGTTTTATGAGCTGAAATAAAAGATCCCACAAAAAATTCATACGTACTAATTTCTCTCAAATTTTGTGCACACATTTGTTTACATCCCTGTTAGTGCGCATTTCTCCTTTGCCAAGATAATCCATTCACCTGACAGGTGTGGCATTTTAAGAAGCTGATTAAACAGCATGATCATTACACAGGTGCACCTTGTGCTGGGGACAATAAAAGGCCACTTAAATGTTCAGTTTTGTCACACAACACAATGCCACAGATGTTTCAAGTTTTGAGGGCGTGTGCAATGTCCCAGTTCTTCCATGGCCTGCATACTCACCAGACATGTCAGCCATTGAGCATGTTTGGGATGCTCTGGATCGACGTGTACGACAGTGTGTTCCAGTTCCTGCCAATATCCAGCAACTTCGCACAGCCATTGAATAGGAGTGGGACAACATTCCACAATCAACAGCCTGATCAACTCTATATGAAGGAGATGTCGCGCTGCATGAGGCAAATGGTGGTCACACCAGATACTGACTGGTTTTTTTATCCACGTCCCTACTTTTTTTTAAAGGTATCTGTATAAATTGGAACACAGGACTGATAGTTGCTGATAATGGGCCTCTGTACGCCTATGTAGATATTCCATTAAAAATCAGCCGTTTCCAGCTACAATAGCCATTTACAACATTAACAATGTCTACACTGTATTTCGGATCAATTTGATGTTATTTTAATGGACAAAATAATTGCTTTTCTTTCGAAAACAAGGACATTTCTAAGTGACCACAAACTTTTGAACGGTAATATATATGAGGTTAATGGTACTGAAGCTAAGAGCAGACGTACCGTCACCACTGGCTCGTTGTTAAACATCTGCATCAGACAGCCAATGCCCACTCCAATCAGCATGTCTGAAAGGAACATGGTCAAGGGCAGAAACATGATGCACACATGACTGCATAGGCCTACACGTAGCACAGGTACACACATTCACAGGCATAAACAACACACACATACTCGCATTTAACTTGCACAAACACACGTCCAGCAGACACACAAAAGGATACTAAAGATGATTCCCCCAAAGCAGGCTGATAATGCCATCCGAGGATAGCCCTGGCGAGCGATGGTGATGTCAGAAAAACAATCTAGAAACCGAAACAAACAGAGTCAACACTACAGTAAGCAAGCTGTCTGTCTTCTGTTGTATATTTAGTAGGTGAGTGCAGGGGTAACCGCAGTGTGTGTGTCTCACCACCAATGCTATTTCCCCAGGCCAGCAGTGTGAGACCCAGTAAATTGTTGGACAGACTAAGGACCACACCGAGCATGTGCAGGATACTGACCACCTCCGAGGCTGCTGCACTGATCCACATCGCACTCACCACAAAGCCCAGCAGAGAGAACACCTATGGAGAAAACACACACATTATACAAACACTTACCACAACACCTAGCAGAAACAACAACAGCTACAGAGTGAACTAATGTGTACATGTGTCTTACTGAGTGGTATGCTGGGGGGTGGTCGTTAGAAGTGGTGAGGAAGACTATGGCGGAGAGGAAGAGGCCGAAGAGCAACGTCAACGCCCAGACAGGAAACTGACCCTCAATCAGATACAAACCGTCTATAGAGAGAGAGAGAGAGAGAGAGAGAGAGAGAGAGAGAACACCAGTCCAGTCGGTTAGCCCACTTCCTCTGGAGAGGATGTCACATCTTATTGAATAGAGATTAAGGTTATTTGACTACACACAGGCATGCAGACTTACACTCTCCGGAGCTGAAGGTGAGCACACACACCAGCGGCGCAGTGATAAGGTGGAGGCAGTTTAATGGTCTTCTCCAGTTCCTGTCTTCTTTGTCAGGATCCACCACTGGAACAGTCAGCAGCAGCAGTACCTCCAGTGGCATCTAGTGGACAGGGGAGGAACTGCAGCTCAGCAACAACTCACACTCAAAATTCACACTGATGCTCCTGTCCAAAAACAACCACAAGCTTTAGCTCTGTTTCCAACCCTTGTCCATTCCCCTAACCCTTAACCCTAATTCCTACAGATCTGCAAATAAAAAGTGCAAAGACACACATTCAGATCTGCAAACAGAAAAACATACACATACATTCATGCACACACACCTTCAGTATTTTCACAGCCCTCCAGCGCCAGGTCTTCCTCCTCCAGGTCCTGCTGTCCACCGGGTTTAGAGAACTCAGCAGGATGGAACTGGTCGACTCACAGTAGGGGATCAGGGGACGGTACTCACTATCTATACACGCACACACACACACACTCGACTGGATTGGTTCTCGTAGCACACCCCAGAGGTGTAACTTAGTGGAATGTGCACAGTGACTGTGGTTGTTACCATAGCCCTCCTGGATGCTGCCATTAGATAAAAGAGGACCAGCATCATCTGACTCAGACGTCTGGAGCTCTGCAGAGAGATACAACTGTCAGACACACAGGGTGTGTGTGTGTGAGTGTGTGTGTGTGTGTGTGTATGCTGGTTCTTCTATACTTGTGGGGACCTAAGATCCCTAAAAGTTCCCACAAGGTTAGTAAAACAAGGAAAATTATCCCTTGTGGGGACATTTCCCACATCCCCATGAGGACAAAGGCTATTTTAAGTTTAGGGTTAGGGCTACAATTAGGGTTAGAATTTGGGTTAGGGTTACGGATTAGGGTTATGGTAAGGGTTAGGCTTAGGTTTAGGGTTAGGGAAAATAGGATTTTGAATGGAAACACATTTTAGGTCCCCACGTGGATAGAAGAACATAATATGTTTGTGTGTGTGTGTGTGTGTGTGTGTGTGTGTGTGTGTGTGTCACCTGGTACGTGTGTTGAGCTCTGGACAGAACTTCTGGTTGCTGAGTGTTTCTGATGACTGTAGATGTAGGCACTCACAATGACTGTTATCACATACACCACATACAGCCCCAGGTACCCTACAGAGAGAAACACCGACAAACACTTTATTCTTATTCCACCCCATCCATCTCAGCGTAACTAGTCCTTCTAATTTCTGAAGTACACTGAACACAGTGTCTATGTCAGTAATATATTGACTGGATTCAAGCTTGACAGACACAGAGGCATGACTGATGAATGAACCAGCAATAGTGAAACGTCTGGTGTTGTATAGCTCCCAGGGTAATGTTGAATGTGGGCTGCCGCAACCCTCACGCAACTCTTATTCAACTCTAACACACTCTAACCAAACTGTCTGTGTGTGTGTGTGTACCCAGTGTCTCTCCCAGTGATATAGTTCCTCTGTAGAGGATGATGAAGGTCCAGAAGATTGCAGCCATGTAGAAGATGACATCCCGCAGGAAGGGGCGGGATGCTACAGTGAAGGGTTTGACCAATGACACAGCCCCGGCGACCACCGTGGTTACGAAGATACCTGCTCCTATGAACGGAGGGAGCGAGGGATTAAACTCTGTGTGTGTTTACTGAACAGTGCACATATAGCCAGGCAGTGTGTGTGTGTGTGTGTGTGTGTGTGTGTGTGTGTGTGTGTGTGTGTGTGTGTGTGCGTGTGTGTGTGCGTGTGTGTGGTGCATGTACCAAACAGTGCTCCTATAGCCAGGCCAGCGGTGTGTGGTCGGGAGAAGGCCACAGTGGCACTGAAGACATCCGGAGCTCCATTACCTAGTGCCAGGAAAGTCACACCCTGACACACACAGTTAGGGAAAACACTTCTGGTACTGGAATAGAGTTTGTTTGTGAGTATGTGTGTGTCTGTGTGTGACAATGGTGATTATTTAAGCACATTTAAAGCAAACTGCATGACATTTTTTTGCATGTGATACAGTGTGTATGTGTACTGTGTGTGTGTGTGTGTGTGTGTGTGTGTGTGTGTGTGTGTGTGTGTGTGTGTGTGTGTGTGTGTGTGTGTGTGTGTGTGTGTGTGTGTGTGTGTGTGTGTGAGGCCTGTAGAAGGATACAGCCACGTTGTGTGTGAGTCGAAGGCTGGAGGAGATGGCTGAGAGGTTGGGACAGAAGCTGCAGAGAGAATAAACACAAAGATACACCTTCAATCAATCAATAGCTAACATAGAACACACCCTCACAGAGTCCAAACACTGTCCAAATATTTCTGTGCCGTTTATTTTAAATCAAACAGTGCTCTATTCATTGGTTGATACCACTGCTTCTGCTTTCACTGTTCAAACACAAAGGATGTTTGCTTTGTCTGTGATACATGTGATCAATCACATGACCAGATCACAAACGTTAGAGGTGAACAGAAGCACTGCAACTCTTATCTCCCTGAGAGAAAAACACTAGACACACACACACCTTAACCATGACACACTTATCTCCGGTGGTCAAGTGACTAGGCCCATGTGATCACATCAACTTGAACTGCTGGAGATAATACTGTTGTAACTCTGGAGTCAGCAGAACACAACTACAAACAATACCTGTCTCTTTACAGCCAGTGTACAGGGAGCGAGAGAGAGAGAGTGTTACGAAACTCATGTTCAGTAAAGATATATTATAAACAGAAAATGTGAGAGAAACTTACAACTTTGACGCAGTCAGTCCGAGAACTATGAACAAGATGAACAACCAGATCATCTGTAGAGGAGGGGAGAGAGATGAAAGGTTAGTTTTCTGACATGGCTGAAATATCTGTGTTTCATAAAATAACTTTCATATCGACAAGCAGGTGTTGCATCTCTTTCTCCCCCAAAAAATAACTAGTATATACTACTAGGTTTATGGGGTAAACACAGTGTAAAGTGTGCACTACTGAGCCTATGCTGTAAATACAGTCTGGACCTAAGTAACCCAGACTAATTCAGCACTGTGAGGAGAAATCCTCAGTTAAACCCTGATTCATGAGTTTTACTGCATGGCTCAGTTAGAGGATGCCCTACTCAGAACAGGGGGAAGTGGCAGCTTCTGGGTTTATTCATGTTCATGATACTAGCCCCTATTGAGGTTGCTTCAGATTCCTTATTTGAATGCATGTAGGTCATTCTGGTTAAGAACACTTGCTAATGAGAAATGTGTGTATAATGCCTGTAATAATGCATGTAATAATGGTCTGCAAGCACGCACACGCACACACACACACACACACACACACACACACACACACAACACACACACACACACACATACACACACAGTGTGCTTACGCAGAGTGTGATGGTGAGGGGTGTGAGATTGGGTGGTAGTAGACAGAAGGCCAATTGGAGGTAGTTGATGAAGCTGTCTTCCATACTGCAGTCTGGAGTGGCCTTCACAAACGCACAGCGATCAACAGCACTCAGATTCATCACAATGTCACACTGAAAGACACACACAAATACTTAATTACTACATCACACTGGAGGAGAGAGGGGAGGGGAAGCTTTCAAATAAATACATCTTCATCCAATTATCTACTGCACTGAGCAGAACACACAGGTACGGAGAAGGGGAAAAAAGTATGAAATGAATGCACTCACTCCTGTAAGTCGCTCTGGATAAGAGCGTCTGCTAAATGACTAAAATTTTAATGTAAAAGTGAAACATAACAATATGGTGGATGTAATTTGTTCTTTCACTGCAGTGCAGATGAAGGAAATGAGAGATGGATTTAAAACAGTCGAAAATAATATCAAATTGAACTTAAAGCAAAAAGTTTGCCCACACAAACAACGGTCACGAGACCAGATACAACAAGCGCATGCCCTACTTGAATAGTTGGCCAGTTCTGCAGCTATTGCGCAACACCACCAAACATGGCAAATCAAATCAACAAGATTTAAAATAACAATTTCAGGATGCAGCTGTCGGGGAAATTGAGTTGCAATAATTGAGATTTATGGTTGAAATCTAATTAGTTACCAGACTAACCTCGTCTGTGTTTCCCTGACGTAACATCGCGGAGTGCGTGCCCACCGTGGGACCCACAGAGGAGAGCAGGTCAGCACCGTCGGCGGATCGGTCTGGAAACGGAACTATCCCGGTACCAGACTCACCGGAGCCCAAGACATAGCGACAGTGACACCACAACAGCAACAACACGGATATAAAAACAACCCGAGATTTCATATTTTACTCCGTCCAGGAAGTGCGTCCATTCCGATTCCTTGCCACATGAGACTGGCGGGAGGTGGGTTTGGTGGTTCGGATTAGACCTGAGAATAGAATACTGGAGAACTGAAAGTGTTCCTCGTTGCTGTAAACAAAATGTTGCAGTGACAGGTTGAAGGCTCCCTGATCAGCAATAATTCATAACAGAGCTTGACCAACCGTTTGTTACAGCCAACTCTTTATTTTGTAGGCTACTCGTTACAAATAGGCGCGGAAAGCTCTTTTTCTTCTAGTTGTCGACATCATGCCTGTTCTAGTTTTCGAAAAGTCCGTGAACAATATGTACAAATACATCGGACTCGCGGACGCTCCTCCAAGCCTACGTCATCAGTTAGGCTAAACTCTGACGTCCACATTTAAACCCATCCCACTATTTTAATGAGGAGCAGGCCAGACAGACTCCTTCGAGTGTGTGTGACCGTGTGTGTGTGAAGGGGCGGATTTAGTGATTTGGAGGCCACAGGTCCCACCCATTTAACACAATCATGGCTACTGAATGAAGAGCTGTTCGGAAGCCAGCTCTTTTTTTTTTGTGAACAAAGCATAATGCAAAGCAACCTCCCGAGTGGCACAGTGGTCTAAGGCACTGCATCGCAGTGCTAACTGTGCCACTAGAGATCCTGGTTCAAATCCAGGCTCTGTCGTAGCTGACCGGGAGACATGGGGCGGCGCACAATTGGCCCAGCGTCGTCCAAGGTAGGGGAGGGTTTGCAATGCCAGGGTTTTGGGTTCGATTCCCATGGGGGGCCAGTATGAAAAAAATAATGTATGCACTCACTAACTGTAAGTTGCTCTGGATAAGAGCGTCTGCTAAATGACTAAAATAATGAAAAGGCTAACTGAAATGCCTGCACTAGTAAAAGTCTTTGCATCACCACATACAACAGTGGTGGGTCCCCTGTGGATCAGTTGGTAGAGCATGGCACTTGTAATGCCAGGGTTGTGGGTTTGATTCATATGGGGAAAATGTATTCACTCACTACTGAAAGTTGTTCTAGATAAGAGCTTCTACTAAAGTGTAAAAAAAAGTAATGTAATTTCGTCTCGAGGGCCACATTAGGATTTTTAAATAAAGGGCCGCATAGATTTTTTTTTCCGGACTGATTTCTTAGTCTTAAGTCATTTGCGGGCCAGAAAAAGGGCAGTTGTTTTAAAATATATAGCCTTGTCCTAGGTTCATTATAATTTCTAGCCTACATCTTTTCTATCTGTTTTTACACTTTCAAGTTAGGTATTCTGGGCCAATACAGGCCTATATCTGATATTTGATTTGCAATATTGACCAATACAGATATCTTTTTTCATTTTATGAACTTTTTAACCATTCTAGCACAGATACACACTGCAACCAAGTTTCTATGTTCATAAGGCTAATAAGATATTTTAAATGACTTGAATACGGGAAAGGTGTAATTATTTTTTATTTGCATCACAAAGTAAATGAAATGCATCAGAAAGGTATTGGAAAGTTTGGGAAAACATCAGGGAGATCATCAGGTAATAATTGTGTGTGTTGAAAACAAAATCTGCATTGTTTTCAATTGCGGTTTTGTCACAGTCCCTTTGAACGTGTCCTGCACAGCTTGTGAGTGTTGTAGAGGGAAGTAGAAGACAAGTACGTGTTCCTGAGAGTCATAGCGTTCAGGCATGGGCTAATAATAACTAATAGACCCAACTGTTCAAAAGCTAGAGACACAAAATTTGATCGGTTTGTTATAATAGCGCACATCAGTGATTACTCACGAGAGGAGGAGGGCGTCAAGCAGAGGAGGAAGGCAAAATAACATAAATAATTAATTATTAAACAAAATCATGCCCAGTTCACAAGGCCCCCTTATGTTGTGAGGCCCCAGGCAATTGCCTTAGTTGCATAATGGTAAGTCCGCCACCGTGTGTGTGTGTGTGTGTTTGCATGTGTGCTCTCACTGTCTGATGGCAACCCACTGACAGTCATAGGCCCCAGGACTTCTTAATCCAGCGGTGCAGTTGTCTGGGAACCACATTTGTTTCTCCATATAGAGACAGACAAGTAAAAAATACAATGAGTACACACCAGACAAAATAACGTACACCATTTAATAAAACGTTTCCTTGACATGTTAAAAATACCCATTAGAAGAAACATGACCACTGAAATAATATGAACAAAGAACATTAGATAACTATAAACTCAGAATCCAGATAATCACCTTTGAGACCAAAAAGAAAACGGTGAACTGTCATGTCACAATGGCAAGAGGAAACAATAGGGACATAATAGTTGTATTGAGGAGACGTCACAGAGAGTCGTACTGATAAAACCCAGTAAGTACTTCAGTCTCGAGGGTGTTGGAGTAACCCTCAATAGTCTGGCTGGTAAACCTGATGGCTACACTGTCAGAACAGGATGCATGTTGACGTTTATTGTCATGAAACTTGCCCTTGAGGCATAACTGAATGATTTCCGCTAGATAGGCCAGCTGCAACGTCAAAATTGGCTAGATTGTAAAAATTCATGAACCCAAAATTAGATTTTTGGTCTTAATTTAAGGTTCGGTTTAAAATCAGATTTTATGACTTTGTGGCTGTGCCAGCTAGTGACCACTCTGCAGAGCTGCCTCCAGAACAAGATTCATGGTGAAAAACTCTAACAGGATAGGGTGGGAGAGAAGGCTAGGGTGGGAGAGAGGAGGCTAGGGTGAGAGAGAGGAGGGTAGGGTGGGAGAGAGGTGGTTGAAAGCAGCTAGGCAACACTGATTCGTTTTTTTCAACACTGGATTAAAGATAATGCTTTAACACAGGGTAGAAAAGGCTAGACCATCTGATGGCAGCTAACATCAAATCTGGGATTCAATGGGACTGGATTTGCATCGGACTGTGACTGATGGTAATAAAGGGGTTATGGGTCAGGATTAGAGGTCAGGACGTTATTATTGGTTTATGATTCATGTCATTTCTCTCCACCTGATCACAGATCAATATGGAGAATACATATGAATCTTAACTGCTCCATAATTTAGGTTACCATCAGACCCTCTTCTGAAATCACAGAATCACCTGTCATCTACATCACAGGAGCTTTGATCGGAGACGCTTGGTGCCATTCTCAGACTGGCGTGTGTATGTATGTGTATAACGGCACATGGTCAGAACATAGCAACAGAGCAGAATCCGATTCCCACCTACAGATTGAGAAGAGTTCAGTTCTACAGTCTATCAGGACTGGTTGGCATATCATACAGTAGCTTAACATAGCTTGTATATAACATAATAGATTGTTGATATAAAAGGACTAAAAAGAGACGTCCGTTACGTGCTAATCACAGAATGGACCATCCAAAACCAGAGCATGCTAATGTTAAATAAACAGGAACAGACAGAAACAGAAAACCATACTGCAGTTTTATAAAAACAAACTTGGGGACCAAACGGCAACAGCAGCAGGTCAGGCAGCAGCTGCCACTCCTCTCCATCTGCAGAGTGGGGCGGGCAGGCCTCGTGGAGGGTTATGGGTAAAGGGCGTCTGTAGAGGAGCTACAGAGCTACAGTACTTTGGGAAGAACAGACGGACCAGGGTTCTGAGAGCCTGTCTGTCTCCTCTCTAGTCCCCCTTGGTCAGCAGGTCTTCTATGTAGGCATCCAGTTCGTCATCTGTGTTTATGTCAATGTCCTGCAGGAGGGAAATAGAGACATTAGTTTTCAGTTTGTGTGTGAGTGCGTGCATGTGTGTTACCTCATCTTCTCTGTGGCTAAGCTTCGATTTTGGTGTGTGTGTCTTACCTCCTGTACTTTCTGCAGCAGTTGTACGATGTTGGTTCGTAGTTTCTGTAGCTTCTCGTCTGCCTCCCTGAGTTTGGTCTCAGCGCTGCTACTCTTCTCCTCCACAGCTTTGGCTCTGGCGTCAGCTCTGCTCTGGTACGAGTTACACAGAGACTGGAGACCCAGCTCATACTGCTGGAAATACTCCTTCTGCAGACACGCATGAACACACAGTCAGATATATATACAGTACCAGTCAAAAGTTTGGACACACCTACTCATTCCAGGGTTTTTCTTTATTTTTACTATTTTTCTACATTGTAGAATATATTTTAGATTCTTCAAACAGCCACACTTTGGCTTGATGACAGCTTTGCACACTCTTGGCATTCTCTCAACCAGCTTCCCCTGGAATGCTTTTCCAACAGTCTTGAAGGAGTTCCCACATATGCTGAGCACTTGTTGGCTGCTTTTCCTTCACTCTGCCATCCGACTCATCCCAAACCATCTCAATTGGGTTGAGGTCGGGGGATTGTGGAGGCCAGGTCATCTGATGCAGCACTCCATCGCTCTCCTTCTTGGTAAAATAGCCCTTACACCGCCTGGAGGTGTGTTGGGTCATTGTCCTGTTGAAAAACAAATGATAGTCCCACTAAGCCCAAACCAGATGGGATGGCGTATCGCTACAGAATTCTGTGGTAGCCATGCTGGTTAAGTGTGCCTTGAATTCTAAAATCACAGACAGTGTCACCAGCAAAGCACCCCCACGCTTTACGGTGGGAAAAACACATGCGGAGATAATCCGTTCACCCACACCGCGTCTCACAAAGCCACGGCGGTTGGAACCAAAAATCTCAAATTTGGACTCCAGACCAAAGGACAAATTTCCACCGGTCTAATGTCCATTGCTCGTGTTTCTTGACCCAAGCAAGTCTCTTCTTCTTACTGGTGTCCATTAGTAGTGTGGTTTATTTGCAGCAATTCGACCACGAAGGCCTGATTCACACAGTCTCCTCTGAACAGCTGATGTTGAGATGTGTCTGTTACTTGAACTCTGTGAAGCATTTATTTGGGCTGCAATTTCTGAGGCTGGTAACTCAAATGAACTTATCCTCTGCAGCAGAGGTAACTCTGGGTCTTCCATTCCTGTGGCGGTCCTCATGAGCGCCAGTTTAATCATAGCGCTTGATGGTTTTTGCGACTGCACTTTCAAAGTTATTGAAATGTTCAGTATTGACTGACCTTCATGTCTTAAAGTAATAATGGACTCTTTGCTTATTTGAGCTGTTCTTGCCATAATATGGACTTGGTCTTTTACCAAATAGGGCTATCTTCTGTATACCACCCCTACCTTGTCACAACACAACAGATTGGCTCAAACGCATTAAGAAGGAAATAAATTCCACAAATTAACTTTTAAGAAGGCACACCTGTTAATTGAAATGCATTCCAGGTGACTACCTGATGAAGCTGGTTGAGAGAATGCCAAGAGTGTGCAAAGCTGTCAGCAAGACAAAGGGTGGCTATTTGAAGAATCTCAAATATATTTTCATTTGTTTAACACTTTTTTGGTTACTACATACTTCTATATGTGTTATTTCATGTAAAAAATTGTAAAAATAAAGACAAACCCTTGAATGAGTAGGTGTGTCCCAACTTTTGACTGGTAGTGTATATACACACAGATTTTGCTATGGCATGAATTACAATGATATGACTATGACTGCAGCAGACTCCAGGGTAGGTCTCTAGAAGACATGTGTTAAGGTTAGAGGTCAGGAGTTAATGGTCAGTCTCACCATAGGGAAGGCCACCAGCTCTTCTGCGGTCATGCTGTTGACATCGTCCTTCGGGATCCGGAAATCAGGAGGGAAGAAATAACGCAGCAGAGTCCTGAAGAGAACACACACAAAATTATAGTTGTGACATCCCCGTTCCATTCTCCCTCTGAAAAAAGGGGAATTGGAGGCCAAAAACCAACAGTTAGGACTCAATGACAGCGTATATCAGGTAGTCATGGTTACCTCATCATGCTGACCAGGTTGTCAGTCACCTCTCGACTGGCTCCTGGTTGGGTGGTGTCGGGTTCCATGGGGGCGGGCCCCTTGTCTGTCCCCTCCCCTTGCTGTGTGTCAGGGGTCTGGGAGAGGGGAGAGGGGGGTCGCATCAACCTCACCTCCTCACTGCCTTTGAAAACCCTAATAACAACAACAATAAATTATACCAACAACCTCTCCTCCTCACTGCCATTAACCACCATAATAACAACACCCTAAAACTCCTGAGAACACTAACTTAACAAAACAATAAACTAAACATTTGGAAATGACAGAAACTGGCACATCATTGGCCACTGTTACAGCATAGTGATGGGGGAAAAAAATCTATACAGTTACATTACCGTTCATAAGTTTGGGGTCACTTAGAAATGTCCTTGTTTTCGAAAGAAAAGCATTTTTTTGGTCCATTAAAATATCAAATTGATCAGAAATACAGTGTAGACATTGTTAATGTTGTAAATGGCTATTGTAGCTGGAAACGGCTGATTTTTTATGGAATATCTACGTAAGTCGCTTTGGATAAAAGCGTCTGCTAAATGGCATATTATTATTATTATTATTATAGGCGTACAGAGGCCCATTATCAGCAATCATCAGTCCTGTGTTCCAATGGCACGTTGTGTTTGCTAATCCAAGTTTATCATTTTAAAAGGCTAATTGATCATTAGAAAACCCTTTTGCAATTATATTAGCACAGCTGAAAACTGTTGTGCTGATTAAAGAAGCAATACAACTGGCCTTCTTGAGACTAGTTGAGTATCTGGAGCATCAGCAATTGTGGGTTCGATTACAGGAGCAAAATGGCCAGAAACAAATAACTTTCTTCTGAAACTCGTCAGTCTATTCTTGTTCTGAGAAATGAAGGCTATTCTATGTGAAAAATTCCCAAGAAACTGAAGATCTCGTACAACGCTGTGTACTACTCCCTTCACAGAACAGCGCAAACTGGCTCTAACCAGAATAGAAAGAGGAGTGGGAGGCCCCGGTGCACAACTGAGCAAGAGGACAAATACATTAGTGTGTCTAGTTTGAGAAACAGACGCCTTACAGGTCCTAGGTCCTCAACTGTACATATCGCAATATTATTTTTGGACAATATTATATTGATATTTGACTCCAAGTACCGATTTAAATAAATAAAATAGCTATAGCTTGTTCTCCATCTTTTTAAATAGTGAGCCAACATGTTTTCAGCATTAATTTGCCTGACTGATCAAAACTTGTTTTCTCATGCCCCCTCGTCTCTCTGCAGCAGACATAGTTCGTAATATAATAAAATCGCAGTATCAAATCGCAATACATAGTATCGGCACCTAAGTATCTAGATAATATCGTATTGTGAGGTCCCTAGCAATTCCCTGCCGTAGTACAGCGCACACATAAACGTAAGACAACAGAGCACAAACACGGTGAGTTGGTGAGCCTACCATCGATCCTTGGGGGTGGATCTGGGGACGTAGTCAAACTTCACCTTCCACCGAACACTCTGCTTACTGGTTTCCACAGCAACCACTTTGCCTGTGAACCATTCCTTATTCACACGTACCTCCACCAACATACCCTTATCTACAGGAGACAACACAGAGGAGTTTTATGAAGCTTTGTCCTGAAACTCTGATGTCTATGGCATTGCTAATCGGAAATCTTCTCGGCCAATCAACTATCATCAAGAATGTAATAAATCACCTTTCTGAGCATTCTTCGGTTCATTCTCTGGGTGCTCGTCCTCTGCGCTGCCTATCACCTAAAAACATACACACACAGAAAACACACTGATCAAACTGTCTAACAGTAAGTGTGTGTGAAGAAATTCCAGGAAATACAAGAGTGGTGTGTTATTGAGAAAAGAGAGTAGGAGAAAAAGATGAAGCAGGAGAGAAGAATGTAACCAATTCTATTTAGAGTAGAGTTAGGAGACAGACAGGACCCATTCTATTTAGAATAGTTAGGAGACAGACAGGACCCATTCTAGTTAGAGTAGAGTTAGGAGACAGACAGGACCCATTCTATTTAGAGTAGAGTTAGGAGACAGACAGGACCCATTCTATTTAGAGTAGAGTTAGGAGACAGACAGACCCATTCCATTTAGGGTGTTTTCACACTTGGTCCCTCTCAGCCAATTTTTGTGAACTCAGTGTGGTTTGCTTAATTTTTTGTGCAGTGTGAACACAAAGTCACTCCGACCCCTCAAAAGAGCCCCTGAAGCAAACCGAACTGAGACCATCTCGAGAGGTGGTCAGAGTTCGAGTCGCTTGAATTCCGCGGTCCCGTTCTTAGGGCAATGTGAACACAAAGGTTCCCAGGTTTGCTTGTCATTATTCCCGCACCTCACACTAGACTACAGATTCGTTGAAAAAACATGTCGTTTTTGGATACTGATTAGAGATTGTCAAGGATGCACAGAAATGCCAAAATATGTCTGGTGATTTTAGTTCAGATTATTTGGTTTGCAATATGTGATCTATAGGCTGAGCGCTTCATAAGAGGTTTATTCGATTCTGGGATTTGAATAGTGTGAGAATATTTGGTGAGAATCACAACATGGGGTGCAAAATCAATTCTAGCTCTTAAAGGGGCAGTAGCCTACATTAGCTGTACAATTTTCAATTACAGCGTTATTTCATCTGCAGTTATTCTTCTGCTATTTATTCTGTTACCAATCATATTTACATGTTAATAGTATCTTCGGATTACAATTATTATGTCTCTTAACTAAATGCAATCTATTAGCTTCCAAAATTTAAGTAGGTATATCTAGCTGTCTGATAACACATTCTGATGTAATGGCTTGCCCTGCACTTTGAATGTTGGAAAAAGATCTTGGTTCCTTTCTAAACATAGCAATGTGAATGCAAAGAGGACTCGGACCACAAAATAAGTGAAGTGAACTGGCAAAAGAGTTGAGTCCTCATTCAAAGGCAAGGGCAGTGTGAATACAAAGATACAGTGGCTTGCTAAAGTACTCACCCCCATTGGCATTTTTCCTATTTTGTTGCCGACAAAAAAATCAGAAAACTTGAGCGTGCATAACTATTCACCCCCACAAAGTCAATACTTTGTAGAGCCACCTTTTGCAGCAATTACAGCTGCAAGTCTCTTGGGGTATATCTCTATAAGCTTGGCACATCTAGCCACTGGGATTTTTGCCCAATCTTCAAGGCAAAACTGCTCCAGCTCCTTCAAGTTGGATGGGTTCCGCTGGTGTACAGCAATCTTTAAGTCATACCACAGATTCTCAATTGGATTGAGGTCTGGGCTTTGACTAGGACATTCCAAGACATTTAAATGTTTCCCCTTAAACCACTCAAGTGTTGCTTTAGCAGTATGCTTAGGGTCATTGTCCTGCTGGAAGGTGAACCTCCGTCCCAGTCTCAAATCTCTGGAAGACTGAAACAGGTTTCCATCAAGTATTTCCCTGTATTTAGCGCCATACATCATTCCTTCAATTCTGACCAGTTTTCCAGTCCCTGCCGATGAAAAACATGATGTTCTCGGGGTGATGAGAGGTGTTGGGTTTGCGCCAGACATAGCGTTTTCCTTGATGGCCAAAAAGCTCAATTTTAGTCTCATCTGACCAGAGTACCTTCTTCCATATGTTTGGGGAGTCTCCCACATGCCTTTTGGCAAACACCAAACGTGTTTGCTTATTTTTTTCTTTAAGCAATGGCTTTTTTCTGGCCACTCTTCCATAAAGCCCAGCTCTGTGTAGTGTACGGCTTAAAGTGGTCCTATGGACAGATACTCCAATCTCCGCTGTGGTGCTTTGCAGCTCCTTCAGGGTTATCTTTGGTCTCTTTGTTGCCTCTCTGATTAATGCCCTCCTTGCCTGGTCCGTGAGTTTTGGTGGGCAGCCCTCTCTTGGCAGGTTTGTTGTGTTGCCATATTCTTTCCATTTTCAATACTGGATTTAATGGTGCTCCGTGAGATGTTCAAAGTTTCTGATACTTTTTTATAACCCAACCCTGATCTGTACTTCTCCACAACTTTGTCCCTGACCTGTTTGGAGAGCTCCTTGGTCTTCATGGTGCCGCTTGCTTGGTGGTGTCCCTTGCTTAGTGGTGTTGCAGACTCTGGGGCCTTTCAGAACAGGTGTATATATACTGAGATCATGTGACAGATCATGTGACACTTAGATTGTACACAGGTGGACTTTATTTAACTAATTATGTGACTTCTGAAGGTAATTGTTTGCACCAGATCTTATTTAGGGGCTTCATAGCAAAGGAGGTGAACACATATGCACGCACCACTTTTCCGTTATTTATTTTTTAGAATTTTCTGAAACAAGTTATTTTTTCATTTCACTTCACCAATTTGGACTATTTTGTGTATGTCCATTACATGAAATCCAAATAAAAATCCATTTAAATTACAGGTTGTAATGCAACAAAATAGGAAAAACGCCAAGGGGGATGAATACTTTTGCAAGGCACTGTAAGAGTTATTTTGCTTTTCTTTACTCTAGAGTTCACTTTAAAGAAGACTGAGATCAGTTATTTTAAAGAGGACTACATGCGAAAACAACCTTAAGAGTAGAGTTAGGAGACAGACAGGACCCATTCCATTTAGAGTAGAATTATGAGAGAAGGGTAGGATCTATTCTATTATGATTAGAGTTAGGAGAGAAGGATAGGACCGATTCCATTATGTGTAGAGAAAGCAAGTGTAGCCTCTTGCTCCGTGGCTGGTGGGTACCTTGGCTCTAGCCCCAGCCGAGGGCTTAGGGGGGGTGGGGATGGGTTTGGCCGGCGGTGGTGTTGCAGGGGGCAGCCGTGTTGCTATGGTAGCACTCCTCTCAGGCGTTGGGGGTTTGGTGCTGAGTGGGGGGGTGGGGACCTGTGGGGTCGATGACATCACATGACCTCTGACCTATGGGTCAACCTCTGACCTATGGGTCATCTGGTCTGCTCCATGTATTAGACTTATGTTCTTCCTCCAAAAGAGCTTTCACTCTCTCCGTACCTAACATAATCTCTCCGTCCTCACTCGTCTTCAGGGGACATCTTTCTGCCTGTCCTCTTCTTCCAAACATCACTTTCCCTTCATCTTTCTGTTCCCTCTCCTCTTACACATTCAGTGCTTTCCTCTGTCTGTCTGATACATTGTATAGAGATATTCTATAGATTGACAGTTTGATAGTCTGAGCAGTGAAAATGTGTGTGTGTGAGAAAGAGGGAGGGAGAGAGAGAGTACCTCTGTCACTTTTCCCCGTTTGAGTGGAGCTTTCTCAACAGCTTTCCCACGATTCCCCACTGCAGCTGCCATCTTGGATTTCTTGGGCTGAGGCTCCTTCTCCTCCTCACTGTCGTCCTCGCTGTCCTCCTCCTCTTCCTCCTCCTCTTCTTCTTCTTCTTCCTCCTCTTCATCACTCTCCTCCTGCTCCATCACTCTCTTGCGCTGGCTGCTAGCAGGTGTGGTTGCTTTGGCAGGAGACGTTTTGGCTGGGGTCTGTAGAAACACCATAGATATTACTGCTACTGCTAAAGGACCATACATTTTAACAGCTGATAGATCATGTAAATATCTGCTTCACCCATTAAAGGTATTTTGACAATTATTTTGGCAATGAACTTTTGTGTCTCTGCATCCAGTATGAACGAAGTTAGAGGTAGTTTTGCGGGCAAATGCTAACTAGCGTTAGTGCAATGACTGGAAGTCTACCTCATCTGACTCTGGGTAAGTAGATAAATGGCTTAATTGCCAAAGTCTCGCACTATTCCTTTAACATAGCCGTAATAGATTTGAAAAAGGACAACACACACAAACACACTCACCCGTGAGCTGCGGCTTGGAGGGGTGGGTTTGGCGGGGATTTTGGCTGGGGCTTTGGGGGCGGGCTTAGCTGGAGGGGGTGATGGCTTCGCTGCAGCTCTGGCTCTAGATTGGTCGACTCTGGGGGCCGGGGGAGGGGCAGCAGGCCGGGTGGTCAGTCGAGGGGAATTGGTGGGTTTGCGGTTGAGGGCCGGGGGCTGGCTGGGGGCGTTCTTGAGGAGGGCAGGGAGAGGGGGGGAGCGAGGGCGTGACACACGCTCTGACGACCTGGTTGCCTAGGAGACAGAGAGAACATGAGACACATTATATTCAGATATCAGGAGACAGTATGTGTTATTGTGTGTGTGAAGCAGGTAGAGGGTAAGTATGTCTGTATAGCTGTAGTGTGTGTGTGTGTGTTTACCTGTAGATGGGGAGTATTTGTGAGTGTGTGTGTGTACCTGGGAAGAACTGTCATTCATGGGTCTCATGCTGACATCTAGAGGCAACTTCTTCACATCTGCTGCTGATCTGATGGTGCTGGTTTTCTGCAGAGCCTCTAGTTTTTCCTGCTGCTGTCTGATCTTCTCTGTCAGTTCTTTCTGTTTGTCCTCCGCTGTCTGTCTGTCCTTCTTCAGAACTCCACTTGGAAGGTTCTGTTTCTGTTCCGCTGCATCACACCTACAACACACACACAACATTTTGGAGATATACTGTACAGTGGGGAGAACAAGTATTTGATACACTGCCGATTTTGCAGGTTTTCCTACTTACAAAGCATGTAGAGGTCTGTAATTTTTATCATAGGTACACTTCAACTGTGAGAGATGGAATCTAAAACAAAAATCCAGAAAATCAAATTGTATGATTTTTAAGTAATTCATTTGCATTTTATTGCATGACATAAGTATTTGATCACCTACCAACCAGTAACAATTCCGTCTCTCACAGACCTGTTAGTTTTTCTTTAAGAAGCCCTCCTGTTCTCCACTCATTACCTGTATTAACTGCACCTGTTTGAACTCGTTACCTGTATAAAAGACACCTGTCCACACACTCAATCAAACAGACTCCAACCTCTCCACAATGGCCAAGACCAGAGAGCTGTGTAAGGACATCAGGGATAAAATTGTAGACCTGCACAAGGCTGGGATGGGCTACAGGACAATAGGCAAGCAGCTTGGTGAGAAGGCAACAACTGTTGGCGCAATTATTAGAAAATGGAAGAAGTTCAAGATGATGATCAATCACCCTCGGTCTGGGGCTCCATGCAAGATCTCACCTCGTGGGGCATCAATGATCATGAGGAAGGTGAGGGATCAGCCCAGAACTACACGGCAGGACCTGGTCAATGACCTGAGGAGAGCTGGGACCACAGTCTCAAAGAAAACCATTAGTAACACACTACGCCGTCATGGATTAAAATCCTGCAGCGCACGCAAGGTCCCCCTGCTCAAGCCAGCGCATGTCCAGGCCCGTCTTCTAGTTTGCCAATGACCATCTGGATGATCCAGAGGAGGAATGGGAGAAGGTCATGTGGTCTGATGAGACAAAAATAGAGCTTTTTGGTCTAAACTCCACTCGCCGTGTTTGGAGGAAGAAGAATGATGAGTACAACCCCAAGAACACCATCCCAACCGTGAAGCATGGAGGTGGAAACATCATTCTTTGGGGATGCTTTTCTGCAAAGGGGACAGGATGACTGCACCGTATTGAGGGGAGGATGGATGGGGCCATGTATCGCGAGATCTTGGCCAAAAACCTCCTTCCCTCAGTAAGAGCATTGAAGATGGGTCGTGGCTGGGGCTTCCAGCATTGACAACGACCCAAAACACACAGCCAGGGCAACTAAGGAGTGGCTCCGTAAGAAGCATCTCAAGGTCCTGGAGTGGCCTAGCCAGTCTCCAGACCTGAACCCAATAGAAAATCTTTGGAGGGAGCTGAAAGTCTGTATTGCCCAGCGACAGCCCCGAAACCTGAAGGATCTGGAGAAGGTCTGTATGGAGGAGTGGGCCAAAATCCCTGCTGCAGTGTGTGCAAACCTGGTCAAGATCTACAGGAAACGTATGATCTCTGTAATTGCAAACAAAGGTTTCTGTACCAAATATTAAGTTCTGCTTTTCTGATGTATCAAATACTTATGTCATGCAATAAAATGCAAATTAATTACTTAAAAATCATACAATGTGATTTTCTGGATTTTTGTTTTAGATTCCGTCTCTCACAGTTGAAGTGTACCTATGATAAAAAATTACAGACCTCTACATGCTTTGTAAGTAGGAAAACCTGCAAAATCGGCAGTGTATCAAATACTTGTTCTCCCCACTGTATGTTGTGTTCCTGCAGGTGTGTGTGTGTGTTTACCTGTCCTGAGTGCTGTCAGGGTTCATCAGACACACCCAGCTGTCCGGGTAACGTTTATCCACCGCATCCATCTGGAATGGTAGAGTCCTCCACTTCAGACATTTATCTACAGAGAGAGTGAGAGAAAGACAAACCTCAGAGCTTGTCTATTTGTGTGTGACTTGACACACTTAAAAGTATCTCTGTGTATGTGTACAACTCACCACACTGTATCGTGAGGGGCATCTCCATGGCGCGGCGTCTCTTGTATCTCTGCTCTGGCGAGGGAAGTGAGGACCAGCTGGCAGACAGGTACCCAAACTCATCCCAGAACTTCACTATGCCCTTCTGAGCTAAAAGTGGGAAAAGCAGAAACATGCTAGACATATGGACTAAGGCTGTTGCAGTAAGGATACAACCGCGCGTAACCATGCTCATTAACAGTAGTGTGTCTCTAACTAGAGCTATACACAGATGTAATAGTTACATTATTTTGCTACGCTTGATATGTTTATTTAGCCTACTAAACAATCCGCCTGCATTCACTGCTGTCCCTCTCTTGTTGCAGCCTAGACGTAGAGCGAGGAGGAGGGACATGGTAGGCTACACTTATTTTGACTGTATTCATTTAAGAATTATTTTCTATTTTTTCAATGCATTAGCTTACAACGTAAGTTGTATACTGTTGAAAAGCGGAGAATGTCAACTTTCTAACGCTATAATTACTCATGTATTCTAACCCTGAAGCGACCCTCTCCTCCCACCTGTAACTATTCCCCGGGTCGTTGCTGTAAATTAGAATGTGTTCTCAGTCAACTTACCTGGTAAAATAAGGGTTAAATTACAATCTCTAAGTACCTACTATCATGGTTATATAGACGTTGTGTGCGTTACCTATGTTGCTGTCCTTCCAGTACTGGGCTAGGTGTTCTCCCATGGCTCTCAGAAGGTGTCTGTATTCTTTAGCGTCCGCAAAGTCCTGCTTGTTGTGAGTGGGCTCCAGAACCAGGTATGGAACATCTACTACCCCCACAACACCCCCACACGCCCTGCACACACGCACACTTCATTAGAAAGCATTTCTGGTCGTCACACTGGTCACTGACTAGCCAATAAGAGAGGACTATCGAAGGGAGTGTGTGTGTGTTACTCACATTCCTCCCTCCAGCTGAGGGCCAGTCTTTTCGTACATCTTGATGAGACGAGAGCAGTTATACACAAACATCCCATCCAGGTCTCTCTGCTCAATGTTCACCCCGAAGATAAAACTCAGTTCCTTAGGCTCCTTCAATGCTCTGGGGGAAGGAGAGAGAGAAGTGTTAAAGTTTTATTGTTTGGCTTGACTTTCGTTCGTTTTTTTATAAAGTCCTATATTTTCACTGACTTCTGTTTGGACTCCTGAATCTTCTTCTTCACCTCCGCCTCCCGTCGAAGCATCATGGCCCCCTCCTGAGCCTTACGCAACATGACCTGGAGCAGAGACAAGAGGAGGATTTGAATAAGGGAGGAGAGAAGTCAGACCATTGGGTCAAGATATTGCTAATCTTGCTGTGTGGTGTGTGTGTGTTGGTTCTTACCCGTGATTCTTTAGACAGGTCGTCTCCCAGTTTGGCCTCCAGAGACAGACTTTTGCTCTCCGCCTCACGAGCCTTCTCCTCCGCTGGAACACACACAGTCAGTTAGAGAGGGGTGTGGGTTTTAAAGGCAGACCTGGTTCTGTGTCTTACCCATCTTGGCCAGGTGATCCGTGGGCAACTCACCTATCTTAGCGAGGTGATCAGCCTTTTTTACTTCCTGCTCAGCGCGGGTTTTGAATCGAGTCGATGTGTATTTATATACCCTGAGACAGACAGACACACACTTAGCTGAATGAACACAAACAGGACTTATGATTTCAGTCTTAGTGATGTCTCTAGACATGAGTCTCTGGATGCGGTGGTGTGTGTGTGTGTGTGTGTGTGTGTATATATATATATAAATATACACACACACACACACACAACACATACTACCGTTAAAAAGTTTGGGGTCACTTAGAAATGTCCTTGTTTTCGAAAGAAAAGCAAAAAAATGTGTCCATTAAAATAACATCAAATTGATCAGAAATACAGTGTAGACATTGTTAATGTTGTAAATGGCTATTGTAGCTGGAAACGGCAGATTTTTAATGGAATATCTACATAGGCATACAGAGGCCCATTATCAGCAACCATCAGTCCTGTGTTCCAATGGCACGTTGTGTTTGCTAATCCAAGTTTAGCATTTTAAAAAGGCTAATTGATCGTCAGAAAACCCTTTTGCAATTATGTTAGCTGTAGCCTATATTTGGCAGGCATGGTGCCCAAACTGCGGCCTTCCTGACTCTAGGCATACCGGTAACTGGCAAAATAAAGGAAACAAGGGATGTAAAGTATACAGTGCATTCAGAAAGTATTCAGACCCCTTGACCTTTTCCACATTTTGTTACGTTACAGCCTTATTCTAAAATTGATTAAATTGTTTTTTTCTCTTCTCATCAATCTAAACACAATACCCAATAACAGCAAAAACAGGTTTGTATATGTATAAAAACACCAGTCTCAACATCAACAGTGAAGCGGCAACTCCGGGATGCTGACCTTCTAGGCAGAGTCGCAAAGAAAAAGCCATATCTCAGACTGCCCATCTTAATCTTTTCTTTTTATTGCCCAGTCTGAGATATGGCTTTTTCTTTGCAACTCTGCCTAGAAGGTCAGCATCCCGGAGTCGCCTCTTCACTGTTGACGTTGAGACTGGTGTTTTGTGGGTACTATTTAATGAAGCTGCCAGTTGAAGACCTGTGAGGCACCTGTTTCTCAAACTAGACAATCTAATGTATTTGTCCTCTTGCTCAGTTGTGCACCGGGGCCTCCCACTCCTCTTTCTATTCTGGTTAGAGCCAGTTTGCGCTGTTCTGTGAAGGGAGTAGTACACAGCGTTGTACGGGATCTTCAGTTTCTTGGCAATTTCTCAGAACAAGAATAAACTGACGAGTTTCAGAAGAAAGTTATTTGTTTCTGGCCATTTTGAGCCTGTAATCAAACCCACAATTGCTGATGCTCCAGATACTCAACTAGTCTCAAAGGCCAGTTTTATTGCTTCTTTAAATCAGCACAACAGTTTTCAGCTGTGCTAACATAATGGCAAAAGGGTTTTCTAATGATCAATTAGCCTTTTAAAATGCTAAACTTGGATTAGCAAACACAACGTGCCATTGGAACACAGGACTGATGGTTGCTGATAATGGGCTTCTGTACGCCTATGTAGATATTCCATTAAAAAATCTGCCGTTTCCAGCTACAATAGCCATTTACAACATTAACAATGTCTACACTGTATTTCTGATAAATTTGATGTTATTTTAATGGCCAAAAAAACTGCTTTTCTTTTTCTAAGTGACCCCAAACTTTTGAACGGTAGTGTGTGTGTGTATATATATATATATATATGTAAACCTGGGTTTGTAGAGGCAGCAGGACAGTCTCTTGGTCCTGACTTTGTGTCCCTGTATGAAGATCCTCATCCTGGGATCGATGTAGAGGACAGCTGCGTACGCTCGGAACGACCGACGTTCTGGCTTCCTGTATGAGGGGAAGTGATGTCATCAACATAAACACACAATCCTAGGTAGTCTTCAGGTCACACGACACAGGAAAAACTTCATTTGAAACGTTCTTACCCACACAGACCCCATACTTACACTCCCTCTGAAGGAGTCCCAGCCATCAGGATATCCTGGTGGTCTGTCTCCACATCCAGCTCTGGTTCTCTGGTGTCCATCAACTTCAGGTTATAGATGATCACCAGAGTACCTACACACACAGTTCAGATTATAGATTATCACCTAGACAGACAGACACTCCGACACACAACCGCATGCTGACACACACACACACACACACACACAATAGACACACCCACAGCCACACGTCTCACCGCTGCTGCCCTCCATCTTGTTAAATTGTTCCATCAGCTGCTGTTCGTTTTTAAAAGGAGAGTATTTGTAGATGAGCTCCGTCTCTATGGCAAACTTCTCAGGGTCGCCTGTGATTGGCTGTCTGGTCAGTAGGTCCCAGGTGGGCAGGGGTACGATCACCTGACAGAGGAGACAAATGGACAACCTTAAGATACACACTGAAACACTTCTCAAGAGGTGATGTTATCTGTTGTTTCAAATAGGTGGACATAGTCACTAAAGGCTCTCAGTAAGTCAGAGTATAACACGACAGTCACAAAATAAAAACAATGTTTTAAGACAATTGACATATCATCACTGTGTCTGCTGGATGGGAGAGTGCCTGCTTCAGCTGATCCCTGACACCTCACCTCGTCAAGCCCCTCCTCCTCGTGGAACGTTCTAGACAGGAACAGGCAGGACAGAGTGTTGTCCTTCTTGGTGAACAAAACAAAGTCTTTCCCAATACGCATGGAGCCCCTAGAGAGAAACACACACACAAACGATGTGGCTCACTTGGTGAGAGCGTGGCACTAGCAACCCCAAGGTCGCAGGTTCGATCAATGCGAGGATCACATACAAACACTATAAATGTATGCACTAAATGTATGTACTGTAGGTAGATTTGAATGAAAGTGTCTGCAAAGGGGTATATATTATGTGCGAGAGAGGATTAAAGTGTCTTACGATTTGAGTCCGTTTCCATACTGGCCGATGTGAGTAGAATCTGGTGTACGCTTAGTGGACTTCCCAAATTGGATCACATGGGTCGCCTCGTCTGAGAGAGAGAGATGGGAGGGAAATATAACCGTCATATATGGTTGACTGTTGCATACTATGGCATTTCTTATAACTCATATATAGATATGTGGATCAACTTTATTACGGTCTACTTTAGTCATTTTATTTTAATGGAACTCACTGGGGTCCATTCCTGTGCCGTCGTCTAAGAAACATAGCATGTAGCCTCCACGCAAGTCTTGTCTCTTCTCTGTTGGCCACGAGGGGAAGAGAGGTTAGACACACGTTACAACAGGAGGTGGATAAGAAAGAGAGCCACACACAGGTTAGATACAAGAGGGGGAAAAGAGATAGCATAACACACGGAACTAGTACCGAAATAGATGGCTTTTTCAATAGCTGAAACTAAGCCTACTAAAATCAGAACTAGTCAAATTCTGGGTGTAGCTTATAATTAAAATCAGTAGTACAGTAACCATTGGCACTGTAGGTATTGTAGATTGTTGATAGGCAGCGTGATCTGTATAGTAGTGTCAGAGGGGTGAGCAATGTAAATTATTCCATATAGATTTGTGTCTATGTACCGGTGTATGAAGCAATATGTACAGTGGGGAGAACAAGTATTTGATACACTGCCGATTTTGCAGGTTTTCCTACTTACAAAGCATGTAGAGGTCTGTAATTTTTATCATAGGTACACTTCAACTGTGAGAGACGGAATCTATAACAAAAATCCAGAAAATCACATTGTATGATTTTTATGTAATTCATTTGCATTTTATTGCATGACATAAGTATTTGATACATCAGAAAAGCAGAACTTAATATTTGGTACAGAAACCTTTGTTTGCAATTACAGAGATCATACGTTTCCTGTAGGTCTTGACCAGGTTTGCACACACTGCAGCAGGGATTTTGGCCCACTCCTCCATACAGACCTTCTCCAGATCCTTCAGGCTTCGGGGCTGTCGCTGGGCAATACAGACTTTCAGCTCCCTCCAAAGATTTTCTATTGGGTTCAGGTCTGGAGACTGGCTAGGCCACTCCAGGACCTTGAGATGCTTCTTACGGAGCCACTCCTTAGTTGCCCTGGCTGTGTGTTTTGGGTCGTTGTCATGCTGGAAGCCCCAGCCACGACCCATCTTCAATGCTCTTACTGAGGGAAGGAGGTTTTTGGCCAAGATCTCGCGATACATGGCCCCATCCATCCTCCCCTCAATACGGTGCAGTCGTCCTGTCCCCTTTGCAGAAAAGCATCCCCAAAGAATGATGTTTCCACCTCCATGCTTCACGGTTGGGATGGTGTTCTTGGGGTTGTACTCATCCTTCTTCTTCCTCCAAACACGGCGAGTGGAGTTTAGACCAAAAAGCTATATTTTTGTCTCATCAGACCACATGACCTTCTCCCATTCCTCCTCTGGATCATCCAGATTGTCATTGGCAAACTTCAGACGGGCCTGGACATGCGCTGGCTTGAGCAGGGGGACCTTGCGTGCGCTGCAGGATTTTAATCCATGACGGCGTAGTGTGTTACTAATGGTTTTCTTTGAGACTGTGGTCCAGCTCTCTTCAGGTCATTGACCAGGTCCTGCCGTGTAGTTCTGGGCTGATCCCTCACCTTCCTCATGATCATTGATGCCCCACGAGGTGAGATCTTGCATGGAGCCCCAGACCGAGGGTGATTGATCATCATCTTGAACTTCTTCCATTTTCTAATAATTGCGCCAACAGTTGTTGCCTTCTCACCAAGCTGCTTGCCTATTGTCCTGTAGCCCATCCCAGCCTTGTGCAGGTCTACAATTTTATCCCTGATGTCCTTACACAGCTCTCTTGTCTTGGCCATTGTGGAGAGGTTGGATTCTGTTTGATTGAGTGTGTGGACAGGTGTCTTTTATACAGGTAACGAGTTCAAGCAGGTGCAGTTAATACAGGTAATGAGTGGAGAACAGGAGGGCTTCTTAAAGAAAAACTAACAGGTCTGTGAGAGCCGGAATTCTTACTGGTTGGTAGGTGATCAAATACTTATGTCATGCAATAAAATGCAAATTAATTACTTCAAAATCATACAATGTGATTTTCTGGATTTTTGTTTTAGATTCCGTCTCTCACAGTTGAAGTGTACATATGATAAAAATTACAGACCTCTACATGCTTTGTAAGTAGGAAAACCTGTAAAATCGGCAGTGTATCAAATACTTGTTCTCCCCGACTGTATGTGTGTAAGTGTGTGTGTGTACCTGTGTAGATGTCAATCCGGGTGGCATTTGCATCCCTGTAGGAGATGATTGGCAGGTGACAGACCAATCAGAAGACAGATAAAACCAGTGTGGTTAGATGTGGTTCCTATTAGAAGGCTTTTATTTCAGAATATAGATAACAATAACACATTCATTTCCCACAGGTTTAATCCTGAATCAGTTCAGTATTGTGTTTTGCTGCAATTGTGATTTACTAACACCTATGCATGATGTCCCACATACATACAAACATTTTGGATGGGTAGAAGAAAAAAGAATTGTGGGTAAGAACAGAGAGAAGTGCATTGTTGGTACCTGGAGTTGTCCACCAGCTCAGCCAGAGCTCCAAACAGGAACTCATGTGTCGTTCTGGAAACAAACAACCAACCAACCAATCAACCTACAGTTCTGGTCCTTAAAAAGGTACATTTCCAAAACGCTTTGCTAAGGTAAGGAGAGTGCGTGCCAGCGAGCACAATTGCAAGTCAGTGTAAACATCAGTATGTTCAATGTGGGTGGAGGTTGGGCCCTGTGATATCATCAGGCCGGGGTTGGGTAACATCATTGGAGTTGTGGGGTGTGGTGACTCATTGGTTTAAGTCGACAGCTGGGGTAATGGGGCAGAATGGAACCTGATGTAGATTTTGGATGGGACACTATGTGATACTGGTAGTCAACCAGCCCTAGTTACTTGAATACATGCAGGTTTGAAGCACCTGAATCAGAAACAGAAAAATCAGCCTTGGGGCAAATTATTATTATACTACTAAGTAATGGACCTTTTCCATAGCAGCACCCGAGTGTCTCTAGTGATTAAAGTGATCCATTGTTATTATTTCATCAGTGTTTCTCCATCACCCAGGGTGACATTAAATACATGCAGTGAATTCTGAAAGTATTCAGACCCCTTGACTTTTTCCACATTTTGTTACGTTACAGCCTTATTCTAAAATTGATTAAAGTACTTTCCCCCCCTCAATCTATACACAATACCCCATAACGACAAAGCAAAAACAGGTTTTTAGAAATGTTTGCCAATTTATTAAAAATAAAAAACAGAAATACCTTATTTACATAAGTATTCAGACCCTTTGATATGAGACTCGAAATTGAGCTCAGGTGCATCCTGTTTCCATTGATCAGCCTTGAGATGTTTCTACAACTTGGAGTCCACCTGTGGTAAATTCAATTGATTGGACATGATTTGGAAAGGCACACAACTGTCTATATAAGGTTCCACAATTGACAGTGCATGTCAGAGCAAAAACCAATCCATGAGGTCGAAGGAATTGTCCGTAGAGCTCCAAGACAGGACTGTGTCAAGGCACAGATCTGGGGAAGGGTACCAAATCATGTCTGCAGCATTGAAGGTCCCCAAGAACACAGTGGCCTCCATCATTCTTAAATGGAAGAAGTTTGGAACCACCACCTCTTCCTAGAGCTGGCCGCCCGGCCAAACTGAGCAATCGGGGGAGAAGGGCCTTGGTCAGAGAGGAGACCAAGAACCCGATGGTCACTGACGGAGCTCCAGAGTTCCTCTGTGGAGATGGGAGAACCTTCCAGAAGGACAACCATCTCTGCAGCACTCACCAATCAGGCCATTATGGTAGAGTGGCCAGATGGAAGCCACTCCTCGGTAAAAGGCACATGACAGCCTGCTTGGAGTTTGCCAAAAATAACCTAAAGTACTCTCAGACCATAAGAAACAAGACTCTCTGGTCTGATGAAACCAAGATTGAACTCTTTGGCCTGAATGGCAAGTGTCACGTCTGGAGGAAACCTGGCATTATCCCTACGGTGAAGCATGGTGGTGGCAGCATCATGCTGTGGGGATATTTGTCAGTGGCAGGGACTGGGAGACTAGTCAGGATCGAGGGAAAGATGAACGGAGGAAAGTACTGAGAGATCCTTGATGAAAACCTGCTCCAGAGCGCTCAGGACCTCAGACTGGGGCGAAGGTTCACCTTCCAACAGGACAACGACCCTAAGCACACAGCCAAGACAACGCAGGAGTGGCTTCGGGACAAGTCTCTGAATGTTCTTGAGTGGCCCAGCCAGAGCCCGGACTTGAACCCGATCGAACATCTCTGGAGACCAGAAAATAGCTGTGCAGCGACACTCCCCATCCAACCTGACAGAGCTTGAGAGGATCTGCAGAGAAGAATGGGAGAAACTCCCCAAATACAGGTGTGCCAAGCTTGTACCATCATACCCAAGAAGACATGGCTGTAATCGCTGCCAACGCTGCTTCAACAAAGTACTGAGCAAAGGGTCTGAATACTCATGTAAATGTTATTTTCCCCATCTTTTTCTGTATTTTTTCTTTACTTGCAAACATTTATAAAAACCTGTTTTTGCTTCATCATTATGGGGTATTGTGTGTAGATTGAGGGAGGAAAAAACAATTTAATAAATTTTAGAATAAGTCTATAACTTAACAAAATGTGGTAAAGGTGTCTGAATACTTTCCGAATGCACTGTATGAATAGAAGATTCAACAAACTCTGCATAATCAAAACAGTTGCTTTTTGAGAAGGTGTTTAAGGGATTCTCCAGTACTTTTGTATACTTTTTAGCCAGTAGTTCTTAACGTAGCCCCCACGAGCCAAAATTGCGTACTACACCACATATGCGCAGATACAGTTGAAGTCGGAAGTTTACATACACCTTTGCCACATATATTTTTTTCACAATTCCTGACATTTAATCCTAGTAAAAATTCCCTGTCAGTTAGGATCACCACTTTATTTTAAGAATGTGAAATGTCCGAATAATACAGTCATGGTCAAAAGTTGAGAATGACACAAGTATTGGTCTTCACAAAGTTTACTGCTTCAGTGTTTTTAGATATTTTTGTCAGATGTTACTATGGTATACTGAAGTATAATTACAAGCATTCCATAACTGTCAAAGGCTTTTATTGACAAGTACATTAAGTTTATGCTGAGAGTCAATATTTGCAGTGTTGACCCTTCTTTTTCAAGACCTCTGCAATCCGCCCTGGCATGCTGTCAATTAACTTCTGGGCCACATCCTGAATGATGGCAGCCCATTCTTGCAAAATCAATGCTTGGAGTTTGTGGGTTTTGGTTTGTCCACCCGCCTCTTGAGGATTGACCACAAGTTCTCAAATGGGATTAAGGTCTGGGGAGTTTCCTGGCCATGGACCCAAAATGTCGATGTTTTGTTCCCCGAGCCACTTAGTTTTCCCTTTTGCCTTATGGCAAGGTGCTCCATCATGCTGTAAAAGGCATTGTTCGTCACCAAACTGTTCTTGGATGGTTGGGAGAAGTTGCTCTTGGAGGATGTGTTGGTACCATTCTTTATTCATAGCTGTGTTCTTAGGCAAAATTGTGAGTGAGCCCACTCCCTTGGCTGAGAAGCAACCCCACACATCCATCCTCCAAAAGTCTTCGCCTCACTGTGCGTGCAGATGCACTCACACCTGCCTGCTGCCATTCCTGAGCAAGCTTTGCACTGGTGGTGCCCCGATCCCGCAGCTTAATCAACTTTAGGAGACGGTCCTGGCGCTTGCTGGACTTTCTTGGGCGCCCTGAAGCCTTCTTCACAACAATTGAACCTCTCTCCTTGAAGTTCTTGATGATCCGATACATTTTACATTTTAGTCATTTAGCAGACGCTCTTATCCAGAGCGACTTACAGTTAGTGAGTGCATACATTTTTCATACTGGCCCCCCCCGTGGGAATCGAACCCACAACCCTAGTGTTGCAAGCCCCATGCTCTACCAACTGAGCTACAAACTGGTTGATTTAGGTGCAATCTTACTAGCAGCAATATTCTTGCCTGTGAAGCCCTTTTTGTGCAAAGCAATGATGACGGCACATGTTTCCTTGCAGGTAACCATGGTTAACAGAGGAAGAACAATGATTTCAAGCACCACCCTCATTTTAAAGCTTCCAGTCTGTTATTCTAACTCAATCAGCATGACAGAGTGATCTCCAGCCTTGTTCTCGTCAACACTCTCACCTGTGTTAACGAGAGAATCACTGACATGATGTCAGCTGGTCCTTTTGTGGCAGTGGAAATGTTTTTTGGGGGATTAAGTTCATTTTCATGGCAATGAGGGACTTTGCAATTAATTGCAATTCATCTGATCACTCTTCATAACATTCTGGAGTATATGCAAATTGCCATCATAAAAACTGAGGGAGCAGACTTTGTGAAAATATTTGTGTCACCTCAAAACTTTTGACCACGGCTGTAGTAGAGAGAATGATTTATTTCTGCTTTTATTTCTTTAATCACATTCCCAGTGGGTCAGAAGTTTACATACACTCAATTAGTATTTGGTAGCATTGCCTTTAAATTGTTTAACTTGGGTCAAACGTTTCAGGTAGCCTTCCACAAGCTTCCCACAATAAGTTGGGTGAAATTTGGCCCATTCCTCCTGACAGAGCTGGTGTAACTGAGTCAGGTTTGTAGGCCTACTTGCTCGCACATGCTTTTCCAGTTCTGCCCACAGATTTTCTATAGGATTGAGGTCATGGCTTTGTGATGACCACTCCAATACCTTGACTTTGTTGTCCTTAAGCCATTTTGCCACAACTTTGGAAGTATGCTTGGGGTCATTGTCCATTTGGAAGACCCATTTCCGACCAAGCTTTAACTTCCTGACTGATGTCTTGAGATGTTGCTTCAATATATCCACATAATTGTCCTTCCTCATGATGCCATCTATTTTGTGAAGTGCACCAGTCCCTCCTGCAGCAAAGCACCCCCGACAGCATGATGCTGCCACCCCTGTGCTTCACGGTTGGGATGGTGTTCTTCGCCTTGCAAGCCCCCCCTTTTTCCTCCAAACATAACGATGGCCATTATGGCCAAACAGTTATATTTTTGTTTCATCAGACCTGAGGACATTTCTCCAAAAAGTACGATCTTTGTCCCCATGTGCAGTTGTAAACCGTAGTCTGCCTTTTTTATGGCGGTTTTGGAGCAGTGGCTTCTTCCTTGCAGAGCGGCCTTTCAGGTTATGTCGATATAGGACTCATTTTACTGTGGATATAGATACTTTTGTACCCGTTTCTTCCAGCATCTTCTCAAGGTCCTTTGCTGTTGTTCTGGGATTGATTTGCACTTTCCGCACCAAAGTACGTTCATCTCTAGGAGACAGAACGCGTCTCCTTCCTGAGCGGTATGACGGCTGCGTGGTCCCATGGTGTTTATACAGTGAGGGAAAAAAGTATTTGATCCCCTGCTGATTTTGTACGTTTGCCCACTGACAAAGACATGATCAGTCTATAATTTTAATGATAGGCTTATTTGAACAGAGAGACAGAATAACAACAATAAAGTCCAGAAAAACGCATGTAAAAAATGCTATAAATTGATTTGCATTTTAATGAGGGAAATAAGTATTTGACCCCTCTGCAAAACATGACTTTGTACTTGGTGGCAAAACCCTTGTTGGCAATCACAGAGGTCAGACGTTTCTTGTAGTTGGCCACCAGGTTTGCACACATCTCAGGAGGGATTTTGTCCCACTCCTCTTTGCAGATCTTCTCCAAGTCATTAAGGTTTCGAGCCTGACGTTTGGCAACTCGAACCTTCAGCTCCCTCCACAGATTTTCTATGGGATTAAGGTCTGGAGACTGGCTAGGCTCCAGGACCTTAATGTGCTTCTTCTTGAGCCACTCCTTTGTTGCTTTAGCCGTGTGTTTTGGGTCATTGTCATGCTGGAATACCCATCCACGACCCATTTTCAATGCCCTGGCTGAGGGAAGGAGGTTCTCACCCAAGATTTGACGGTACATGGCCCCGTCCATCATCCCTTTGATGCGGTGAAGTTGTCCTGTCCCCTTAGCAGAAAAACACCCCCAAATCATAATGTTTACACCTCCATGTTTGACGGTGGGGATGGTGTTCTTGGGGTCATAGGCAGCATTCCTCCTCCTCCAAACACAGCGAGTTGAGTTGATGCCAAAGAGCTTGATTTTGGTCTCATCTGACCACAACACTTTCACCCAGTTCTCCTCTGAATCATTCAGATGTTCATTGGCAAACTTCAGACGGGCCTGTATATGTGCTTTCTTGAGCAGGGGGACCTTGCGGGCGCTGCAGGATTTCAGTCCTTCACGGCGTAGTGTGTTACCAATTGTTTTCTTGGTGACTATGGTCCCAGCTGCCTTGACATCATTGACAAGATCCTCCCGTGTAGTTCTGGGCTGATTCCTCACCGTTCTCATGATCATTGCAACTCCACGAGGTGAGATCTTGCATGGAGCCCCAGGCCGAGGGAGATTGACAGGTCTTTTGTGTTTCTTCCATTTGCGAATAATCGCACCAACTGTTGTCACCTTCTCACCAAGCTGCTCAGCGATGGTCTTGTAGCCCATTCCAGCCTTGTGTAGGTCTACATCCTTGGAGAGCTCTTTGGTCTTGGCCATGGTGGAGAGTTTGGAATCTGATTGATTGATTGCTTCTGTGGACAGGTGTCTTTTATACAGGTAACAAACTGAGATTAGGAGCACTCCCTTTAAGAGTGTGCTCCTAATCTCAGCTCGTTACCTGTATAAAAGACACCTGGGAGCCAGAAATCTTTCTGATTGAGAGGGGGTCAAATACTTATTTCCCTCATTAAAATGCAAATCAATCTATAACATTTTTGACATGTGTTTTTCTGGATTATTTTGTTGTTATTCTGTCTCTCACTGTTCAAATAAACCTACCATTAAAATTATAGACTGATAATTTATTTGTCAGTGGGCAAATGTACAAAATCAGCAGGGGATCAAATACTTTTTTCCCTCACTGTACTTGCGTACTATTGTTTGTATAGATGAACGTTTGTATATACCTTCAGGCGTTTGGAAATTGCTCCCAAGGATGAACCAGAGGTCTACAATGTTTTTTCTGAGGTGTATGTAAACTTCTGACCCACTGGAATTGTGATACAGTGAATTATAAGTGAAATAATCTGTCTGTAAACAATTGTTGGAAAAAGTACTTGTGTCATGCACAAAGTAGATGTCCTAACCGACTTGCCAAAACTATAGTTTGTTAACAAGAAATTTGTGGAGTGGTTGAAAAACAAGTTTTAATGACTCCAACGTAAGTGTATGTAAACTTCCGACTTCAACTGTATGTGCAACATGTCAATGCTTGCTTTCTCGCTCTGCTCTGTGTGATTCTTGCTAGCTGTCACTCAAATGGCGAGGGGCTGAATCTCATTGGCTGGAACGCAAATTGCTAGGGAGCCCACATGTACAAAATGTTCTTATTAAATGGAAAACACAAATATATTTTGATTAAGTAAGTATTCAACCCCCTGAGTCAATATGTTAGAAATACCATTGGCAGCGATTACGGCTTTGAGTCTTTCTGGACAAGTCTCGAAGAGCTTTGCAAACCTGGATTGTACAATATTTGCCTATTATTCTTTAAAAAATTATTCAAGCTCTGTCAAGTTGGTTATTGATCATTGCTAGACAGTCATTTTCAAATCTTGCCATAGATTTTCAAGCCGATTTATGTCAAAAATGTAACCAGGCCACTCAGGAACATTCAATGTTGTCTTGGTAAGTAACTCCAGTGTATATTTGGCCTTGAGTTTTAGGTTATTGTCCTGCTGAAAGGTGGATTTGTCTCCCAGTGTCTGAAGTAGACTGAACCAGGTTTTCCTCTAGGACTTTGCCTGTGCTCAGCTCTATTCCTTTTCTTTTTATCCTAAATAACTCCCTAGTCTTTGCCGATGACAAACATACCCATAACATGATGCAGCCACCACCATGCTTGAAAATATGAAGAGTGGTACTCAGTGATGTGTTGTATTTGCCCCAAACATAATGTTTTGTATTCAGGACAAAAATGTTTTGCAGAATTACTTTAGTGCCTTATTGCAAACTGGATGGATGTTTGGGATTATTTGTATTCTGTACAGGCTCCCTTCTTTTCACTCTGTCAATTAGGTTAGCATTGTGGAGTAACTACAATGTTGTTGATCCCCAGTTCTCCCCTACCAAAAGCCATTTAACTATGTAACTGGTTTAAATCACCATTGGCTTCATGGTGAAATTTCTGAGTGGTTTCCTTCCTCTCCATCAACCGAGTTAAGAAGGACACCTGTATCATTGTAGTGACTGGGTGTATTGATACACCATCCAAAGTGTAATTAATAACTTCACCATGTTCAGAGGGAAAGTCAATGTCTGCTATTATAATTATTATTTTTATTTTATTTTTTTACACACATCTACCAATAGGTGCCCTTCTTTGCAAGGCATTGGAAAACCTCCCTGGTCTTTGTCGTTGAATCTGTGCTTGAAATGTATTGCTCAACTGAAGGACCTTACATATAATTGTATGTGTGGGGTACAGAGATGGGGTCATCATTCAAAAATCATGTTAGACACCATTATTGCACACAGAGTGAGTACATTCAACTTATCTGACTTGTTAAGCAAATTTTTACTCCTGAAATTATTTAGGCGTGCCATAACAAAGGGGTTGAATACTCAAGACATTTCAGCTTTAAATGTTTTATTAATTTGTAAAAAAGTGTAAAAACATAATTCCACTTTAACATTATGGGGTATTGTGTGTAGATCAGTGACATAAAAAATAAATGTAATCAATTTTAAATTCGGGCTTTAACAACAAAATGTGGAAAAAGTCTAGCTCCTCCCACCAGCCTCCACTGGGGGAAATGTAGGGAAAATGGCACAGCACAGCTTCCAGAAAACAGACGGTTTCAAACTAGGGATTTCATGGCTAATTGAGGTAAGAAAGTCATTATGCTCATAGGTTATGCATGTATGAACTACACATTGACACATCTAGCCCAAAGCGGGAGGTTTAAAAAATACTTACTAGTCTCCAAAGTACCGAAGCATGTCCTTAACCCATGTTCACAGTTAGCCATTGTTATGTAAAGTCCATCAAAAAGTCCCCAGCGATCTCACCTTGGCCCCAAGTAAGAGCAGGTCCGATGAGGCCATGGCCCAGTGAGTTTGTGTCTGAGATTCTCTACTGGAGTGTTTCATATTTATGTAATTGTGTAGCACTGCCTGGCTACCCAAACTCCTTGCTCCGGCCAAACACTACGCCACGCCCACAGACGTTAGTGTCTTCTCCGCAATAAGTTTAGATATGAATACCTCTCAGACGATTTCTAGAAAGTAAACATATTCTAACCGTTCCGATTGGTCCCAGAAACCGATGGGTTAGGCCAGAGCCAGAACACGTGGGTAAAGCGTCATTTCTGAAAATGTGTCATTGGCTTTGATACTCTGGTTAGAAATGATCCCATCGCTGATGACTTTGTTTTGTACAACACCCTTCATTTTGAGGTCACCACAAACTACTTCAATGAAGGCAGTCTCAGACTGAAGTATATAGCGAACATAGAGGAGCGGAAGAATTCAGTTTGAGTCGTCAGGCAATGTGTAGCAGATGTGTTCTGGTGAACTAAGTAACTTTGCTCGAGACCTGAACACGCATGCTAGCTCCCAGAAAGAATGCCAAGTGGGCCAACATGGTCTTAGGGCGCATGGACGATCCAGGTTTGATTGCAGTTTGTATCCTTCTTCCTCTTTGGCTGTTCCATTCATTCATCCCAGTGAAGGCAAGACATTATACTTTCCTTTTGTTGTTTGAGAGGAAATGCCACAGGAGAGGGTGGAGTGCATGAAGTATTAACCTCGGGCAGCAGGTATAAGAGGCTTTAGGAAGCTAAACCTCCTCTAAAATAGTTTTACCTTATTTTTAGAATACCTTGTTATACCTGTTATGATCTCTATCCTCTCCAAACGTGAGAATATAAAAATGCCCCTGTGGGGATATTATTCCTTGCTCTGGCAAACCATGAATGTGGCGTTATTTACATGTGGCCAGAGTTCAACAGCACTCTGCATGAAGAAGTACAGTATGTGTGTGTGTTTTCAGGGGTGGGGGTGTTAAGAATCCTCAAATGAAAATCTCACATTGCCTGCATCATCATCAAGCATCATATACAGTTGGTCTCTGGTGATTTCATGAGTCCTACATAGTCAGGCTGTGCTTAGACTCATATCCAATATGATTAATTAATGCCCATTTTATGTAAACAGGGCTTTATATGTTGAAGCCTCCCAGTGAAATATCTTCACGTTTTGAGGGGAGAGTATTGATCTACAAGTTGCATCAGCTATTTATGGGGTGATGTTTGATGGTGTTAGTCTCTCTTTCTCATCTTGGCCTTAGTCCAAAGTGCATCACTCCTGTCCATAAATCACTTATACCAGTGGCCTTCTCTGAGCCCTTAGCTGCCAAACAGTAGTTGTTTATGTAGTGTTTTCAGGGAGGTAGCTAAAGTTCAGACACCCTGGACAGCTGTCATGTATCAACTGGATCCATCAATGACTTTGTTATGTAGGTACCATTAGCAGCCATTTTCATCGACTTTCTACTCCTCCGCGTTTTGCTTATGAAGGTCTTTCAACCGTATGATGTAGCAATATTTTGCGGTAAAAACGCTTTTTAGCGTAACCGTTCCTTTTTATGTAGTCTATTCAACCATCTTGTGACATTTCAAAAAGACACAATTTTAGTCACTCATGTTGTTGACTGTCAAGGAATGCAATGTCCTGCTCCATAGTGTGGGCAGTCTGTAAATCATTCTCACTTGCCGGGCACAATGACATTCCTCTCTTCTTTACAATGTCCACATTGGAAAAACGTGTTGTGTAATACTTTCATGTGTCTTTTGTAATTTGTGACCTCCATGTGATGTGTGTAGTATTAATGATTCATGAAAACTATGAAATAACACATATGGAATCATGTAGTAACCCAAAAAGTGTTAAACAAATCAAAATATATTATATATTTGAGATTCTTTAAAGTAGACACCCTTTGCCTTGATTTCAGCGTTGCACACTCTTGGCATTCTCTCAACCAGCTTCATGAGGTAGTCACCTGGAATGCATTTCAATTAACAGGTGTGCCTTGTTAAAGGTTAATTTGTGGAATTTCTTTCCTTCTTAATGCGTTTGAGCCAATCAGGTAGGGGTGGTATACAGAAGATATTTGGTAAAAGACCAAGTCCATATTATGGCAAGCACAGCTAAAATAAGCAAAGAGAAACAACAGTCCATCATTACTTTAAGACATGAAGGTCAGTCAATATGGAATATTTCAAGAACTTTGAAAGTTTCTTCAAGTGCAGTTGCAAAAACCATCAAGCACTATGATGTAACTGGCTCTCATGAGGACCACCACAGGAAAAGAAGACCCAGAGTTACCTCTGCTGCAGAGGATAAGCTCATTAGAGTTAACTGCACCTCAGATTGCAGCCCAAATAAATGCTTCACAGAGTTCAAGTAACATACATCTCAACATCAACTGTTCAGAGGAGAATGCGTGTATCAGGCCTTCCTGGTCAAATTGCTGCAAAGAAACCACTACTAAAGGACACCAATAAGAAGAGGAGACTTGCTTGGGTCAAGAAACACAAGCAATGGACATTAGACCGGTGGAAATCTGTCCTTTGGTCTGATGAGTCAAAATTTGAGATTTTTGGTTCCAACCACCGTGTCTTTGTAAGACGCAGAGTAGGTGAATGGATGATCTCCGCATGTGTGGTTCCCACCATGAAGCATGGAGGAGAAGGTGTGATGGTGCTTTGCTGGTAACACTGTCTGTGATTTATTTAGAATTCAAGGCACACTTAACCAGCATGGCTACCACAGCATTCTGCAGCAATATGCCATCCCATCTGGTTTGCACTTAGTCTGACTATTATTTGTTTTTCAAAAGGACAATGACCCAAAACATAGTGATGGAGTGCTGCATCAGATGACCTGGCCTCCACAATCACCCGACCTCAACCCAATTGAGATGGTTTGGGATGAGTTGAACCGCAGAGTGAAGGAAAAGCAGCCAACAAGTGCTCAGTATATGTGGGAACTCCTTCAAGACTGTTGGAAAAGCATTCCTCATGAAGCTGGTTGAGAGAATGCCAAGAATGTGCAAAGCTGTCATCAAGGCAAAGGGGTGGCTACTTTGAAGAATCTAAAATATAAAATATATTTTCATTTGTTTAACACTTTTTGGGTTACTACATTATTCCATGTGTGTTATTTCATAGTTTTGATGTCTTCAATATTATTCTACAATGTAGAAAATTGTAAAAATAAAGAAAAACCCTTGAACGAGTAGGTGTGTCCAAACTTTTGACTGGTACTGTGTGTGTGTGTGTGTAAAATATATATATATATATACTGCAGGCGGTACTTACGAGTTGGTGTGCAGATACTCGAAGGTGAGCTGAGCCCTGTTCAGGGTGCTGTAGTTTGAGTAGGCCATCGCCACTCGTTAAAAGCTACTTCCTGGTCTTCTTTCTGACTTCCTCTCAGTCCGGTGTGGCTTTTCAAGAGCTCTATTCAAGAGCTTCATGCACCTACAGAATCACAGCAGCAGTCAGCTCCACTGGTCAAACGTATGCATGGTGTCAAGGATTTATGATTGTGTGAAATAACAAGAGCCTGGAATATAATTAGCTTTCATTAAGATCAAAGGGCAATTCCACAGTAACGGAATTACGCTGAGACTCCGATTTTTTCACTTAAAAATGTATGCCAAACAAAAAACATTGATTTCAAAGAACCATACAACTCTATGCACAATGACTACTTTGAACACAGTAAAAAATATTAAAAAATACACTGTGGCTGGAAAAACTGTGCAGATCCAAAGTTTGGTTAAAATCTCCCTTAGTTTTATTATCAGTTTGTCACTAAATGTATCTGCACACTTCTTCCTGTAAATGTGGTTTTATAAAATGTTCAGTGGAAATTGTTAAAAGTAGTCCTTGTGCAATTTTAAACTTTGAAATCAATGGTTTTTGTTTGGTATACTATACATCTTAAAGTGAATCTGAGTGTCAGCGTAATTCCGTTACAATGGAATTGCCCAGAACAAATACCACTGGAGGAAAAGCCTCTAGATATCTGACTTCATCTGAACAGAAAGAATAAGTCCTGTTGAAAAGTAAGTATGAGTATTCAAACTTGGAAATAAGTCCTGTGGTGGTTGGCAACCTCTGCCAATTCATGGCTGGGTTTGAGTGCTTTTTCTTGAGGTAAAGACATGTTGCTACTTAGTACTATGACAGTCTCTCTATCAACACACAAACAAGCTCCACTCCTGTCCTGTTTATAGCTTGCCAGCTTGTAGATCTAAAAAAACAGAAAGGAGTTACTTCTGGTTGGTTCAGCCATTCCTATGGTGAAAATGAATGGGGAAAGAACTGGGTTTTGGGATAAATGCCAAAAATATGGTCTTTAGTTAACACAGGCTTAGGAGTTCCTATACGTTTTGTTATATGATATAATAGTCAGTTAACATGACTTTTATGAATTATGAAACCTTTGTGCTTTTTCTGATTACATAAATGCTTCAAAATCCACAAAAAATGATGTTAGCTGATTAAGATCTCATAGAACAAAACATAAAAGATCTCCTACCCCTGTGACATTAATTTGGCCGTTTATCAAAAAACCGTACAAAAACACAATTTTCCCATAGGCTTTGTCCAACGAACGAAGGCGGAGTTATTGCCTAGAAAAAGATGCCACTACTAATTTCTCTCTATAGACCACGCGCCAGGTAACACTCCACTTTCAAACGGGCCCGCCGAGAAGAGAACACTCACGTGGGAGGCCTGTTAGTGCTGTTAATCTGGATCATTCCATAAGACTCATCTAGGCTAAATCTTGACGTAATTTTTATTATCGAGTATGGATGAGTAAAGAGACGATGTTATTGTCAATGTTGGCGAGTTGCAATGTCCAGTCATGCTTTAACAAATGGTTCGTCTACTGACCAAGTTAACTAGCAACCTATCTTGGCTCTCACACCCACAATATCTGGTAGCTACCCATCCATGTACGTTAGCTAGCTAGCTAGTTGGGTAACGTAAACACCTGTAAAGAGCACATTAGCATGTATATTTATCCAATATGCAAACCGTTTAGAGCGCCAGCAGCTTCAAATTGACTTTAGGTCCGTGTAAAACATCCGTCGAATCGATAACTATGTTACATTTCTGAATACAACCAACTCTACAGGCCGCGAAAACCTCCTCCTTTCTCCCCTCCCTCACAGTACTGCGCACAGAGGAGAGGAAGGTCCGAAGGGTACGCCCGCCTCTACTGTTCATCTGAACACCAATAGAAACACGTCTCATTTATTTACATTACTGTGATTCGTCAATTATTGTCCACGTCTATGATCAGGAAGTAAAATGTCTCGATTCTCTCTTAGCTCGATTGAAGAAATAAGCTAATATAATAACGATATTTAAAGACATTGACCTTTACGTCGTGTAATCAATATTAAATGTGAGCATTTTGCCTGTAAAAGTTTTGTTTAATATTATTGTAATATGCGTAATGAAGCCCAGCACATGCTAGTGCTGAGGGCCCGATAGTACTAATTTCTCTAAGTATCTCTGTCTGCTCTAACTCAGCCTAGGCTAGCTCTAAAGTTGAACTCTTATTAGCCAAAACTAAACGTTTATCTTTGTTTTGGACATGCAGTTCGACTTTGCTCTATTATCCCCATGGTAAGTTTGTTGAACTAGCAACGTTAGTCGCCTGCTAACTGCTAGTTAGTTGACGGTTATACATCAGTAAAGAATACCCATTTGGTTCTGCTAATGGAACAGGTTTTTACCTTGTTTCCAGAATATTCAGTCGTTTGAATCCTTTTGCTTGTTCATTTAGGACCTAGATTTAGCTTTGTGTTTTGTGTCAGTATGTGTTGTTAGTTACTACTAGACAGCCATGTTGAATGGCAAATTCTGAAATGGCTGCCATTGTCTCCTTGTTTTATGCAATAGTTGACCCATGCATGCTTGTACTTTATTTGAGTACTACACCCATATCTGTGCACAACTGTCTATTTTAAGTAGGCTACATATGTTCAGCTACTGTAAATGGTCAACTCCACAACACTTAATTCCAACCTTCCTTGATTGTGGGGGGAATTCAGACCTGAGTCACTTCCAGTTAAATGGAACTTAAATGCACTTTTCTCCCTATCGTATACTGACCTTGAACTTAAGCATGGGGAAACGCAAGTGCCAGCCAGGTATTCGTTTGGGGTGGAGATCACAGAAATTGAGGTGTGCCTACAGATATTCCGTATTCTGACCTTAACTTAATTCCCACACCTTTACGCAGGAGGAAACCATGAATAAGGTCAAGCGAACCTATCGGTTCCAAGTGGAAAAACATACTGGCTGTGTCCCCAAATACCCATAATTGCTTCCTAAATAGTAGGCCGTTTGAGTATGCAAAAAAAAAGTTTAATAGTATGAGACATTTCGAAAATCGAGTATACTTTAAATGCCTGGATGTCATACTCATTTCAGCTTTGACAAAAGCTGATCAATTAGATAGGGGGATACGCTACTGAAATCAACGAATAGCAGGAAACAACGCAATCATGCATGACGCATTCTCAGTATTCAAAACTATAATGTTTAATATGCGAAAAGCATATCAACATGACAAGCATTTCCACCCCTTTCCCACAGTGAAGAATAAAATGCTGTGACCTTATGCATTATTTTTGAACACAAGTGAATTTGTCCCAATACTTCTGGTCCCCTAAAATGGGGGGGTACTATGTACAAAAAGTGCTGTAATTTATTAAACTAATAAACTGCAAGATTCAACACAAGTTTGCACCACAAGTGATCTTTGTAGGAGAAGTGATAAGATGGGGCGGCAGGTAGCTTAGTGGTTAAGAGCATTGTGCCAGTAACCGAAAGGTCGCTGGTTCTAATCCCCGAGCCGACTAGGTGAAAAATCTGTCGATGTGCCCTTGAGCAAGGCACTTAACCCTAATTGCTCATGTAAGTCGCTCTGGATAAGAGCGTCTGCTAAATGACAAAAAAATAAAATAAAAATAATAATGGGGAAGACAGTACTGGAATCAAGGTGCAGTATGAAGAGATGGATTTTCAGTCTGCTGCAGAAGATGGGCAGCGACTCCGCTTTTTTTGACAGTGGTGGAGAGGACGCTACAGAGAGAGGAGCTGGACTGGGATGAACAGCTGCAGGTGGCTCAGATGGATGGAAGTGCCAAGAGGCCTGAACAGATAAAACCACCTTAGGATGTAGCAACGTGTTGAAATAAAATTGAAATATTTAATAACGTGCCCAATCACCCTGCAGTCATAACATAACATGACAGAGTAGAACCTCAAAAGTATTATCAGAGGGCAATGTTTGTGGACAGGGCATGGGTTGACATCAACAACAGCAGCTAAGCAGTTTGAAATGAGATGCTCCATCAAACTTTGATCCCAACAGCAGAAGCAGCACTCTCAGAAAGAGTCCTTTAATCGAACCATCCTCCCTCTTTCTTCTTCTCTACTGGGTACTAGCTGCATGGTGTGGTGGAGACTGGTTCAGGAGTCAAATCAGTGGTTCCTGTGACGGGGGGAAGCAGTGATGACATCTGGGTTAAATAACACTCACATAAACAACATGTCACTTAGATTGCAGAGCTGTAAGAATACAGCGACCCATTAACTGTATATTAGTTATATTATTATTAATCAGAAAGATTAGCAACCTTACCCTTTGCAGGTCCAGGCTGTTGCTGTGGTAGTGGCGTACGTGTGAGTGTGTGAGACTGGCGGAGAAACAGAGCATCACACACACCCCCAGCAGACACACACTCACCTGGATCAGATGCCTACCCGCCAGACCCAGCTCCTTCTGCAGAGTTACACACAGGTTTAGAGGGACTGACCTAGGGCAGTGTGTTTGTACTTGTGTTTCCATGGCTGTGTGTGTAGTGTACCTTTGACAGCATGTGTTTGTATCTCAGGGATTATTGAAAGACCGGACCATCACAACCTTTTTGTCACAAGTATTTTTCTTAATATTAACAACATTTTCAATATAAATGTTTATAGACCAAAGTATCAGCTATCACACCATGTAAAGGAGCAACACAATTACATTTTTTTTCTTCATAACATGCACCTAACTGGATTTGTCAACTCCATCACACACACCATAAAAAATATTTTATTGTTATATTTAAATTGTCCAACAAGCGTTTAAAGGCCTTGATTGTTTCATTCTAACAGATTATTCAAATATACACTGAACAAAAATATAAAACGCAACATGTAAAGCGTTCGTCCCATGTTTAATGAGCTGAAATAAATAAAGATTCTGTCTGTAATAAAGCCGTTTGTGGGGAAAAACTAATTCTGATTGGCTGGGCCTGGCTCCCCAGTTGGTGGGCCTGGCTGCCAAGTGGGTGGGCCTACATTGCATTAGAAAAGTATTCAGACCCCCTTGACTTTTTCCACATTTACATTACATTACAGCCTTATTCTAAAATGGATTAAATAGTTTTTTCCCCTCATCAATCTACACACAATACCCAAAATGATCAAGCAAAAACAGGTTTGTTGAAATTTTTGCAAATGTATATCACATTTACTCAGCACTTTGTTGAAGCACCTTTGGCAGCACTTACAGCCTTGAGTCTTCTTCGGTATGACGCAACAAGCTTGGCACACCTGTATTTGGGGAGTTTCTCCCATTCTTCACTGCAGATCCTCTCAAGCTCTGTCAGGTTGGATGGGGAGCATTGCTGCACAGCTATTTTCAGATCTCTCCAGATATGTTAGATCGGGTTCAAGTCCGGGCTCTGGCTGGCCCACTCAAGGACATTCAGAGACTCCTGCGTTGTCTTGGCTGTGTGCTTAGGGTCGTTGTCCTGTTGGAAGGTGAACCTTCACCCCGGTCTGAGGTCCTGAGCGCTCTGGAGCAGGTTTTTATCAAGGATCTCTCTGTACTCTGCTCCGTTCATCTTTCCCTCGATCCTGTCTTTCAGTCCCTGCCACTGAAAAACATCGCCACAGCATGATGCTGCCACCACCATGCTTCACCGTAGGGATGGTGCCAGGTTTCCTCCAGACGTGACACTTGGCATTCAGGCCAAAGAGTTAAATCTTGGTTTCATCAGACCAGATAATGTTGTTTCTCATGGTGTGAGAGTCCTTTTGGTGTCTTTTGGCAAACTCCAAGCAGGCTGTCATGTCTTTTACTGAGGAATGGCTTTCGTCTGGCCACTCTACCATAAAGGCCTGATTGGTGGAGTGCTGCAGAGATGGTTGTCCTTCTGGAAGGTTCTCCCATCTCCACAGAGGAACTCTGGAGCTCTGTCAGAGTGACCATCGGGTCCTTGGTTACCATCCCTGACCAAGACCCTTCTTCCCCGATTGCTCAGTTTGGCCGGGCGGTCATCTCTAGGAAGAGTCTTAGTGATTCCTAACTTCTTCCATTTAAGAATGATGGAGGCCACTGTGTTCTTGGGGACCTTTAATGCTGCAGACATTTTTTGGTACCCTTCCCCAGATCTGTGCCTCGACACAATCCTGTCTCGGAGCTCCTCGACCTCATGGCTTGGTTTCTGCTCTGACATGCACTGTCAACTGTGGGACCTTATATAGACAGATGTGTGCCTTTCCAAATCATGTCCAATCAATTGAATTTACCACAGGTGTACTCCAATCAAGTTGTAGAAACATCTCAAGGATGATCAACGTAAACAGGATGCACCTGAGCTCTATTTCGTGTCTCATAGCAAAGGGTCTGAATACTTATGCAAATAAGGTATTTCTGTTGAAATGTTTTTATACATTTGCAAAAATTTCTAAAAACCTGTTTTCGATTTGTCATTATGGGGTATTGTGTGTAGATTGATGAGGGGGAAAAAGCGATAACCGATTTTAGAATAAGGCTGTAATGTAACAAAACGTGGAAAAAGTCAAGGGGTCTGAATACTTTCCAAATGCACTGTATGCCCTCCCAGGCCCACCCATGGCTGCACACCTGCCCAGTCATGTGAAATCCATAGATTAGGGCCTAATGAATTTATTTCAATTGACTGATTTCCTTATATGAACTGTAACACAGTAAAATCTTTCAAATTGTTGCATGTTGCGTTTATATTTTTGTTCAGTATATAAAACAAATCTCCAAACGTCTTTTTGTTTTGTTTTATATCATTGCATAATGCTCCAGGGCTAATTTCGTTAGCATTTTGGTATGTTTTTCTAGATTCATAACATAAAACAAGATTTATAAAGCGAACATATATCCCTTGTGTCTAGCACAGCAAGTACTTCAATAGTTTAAGCATATATTGCAGGACAATGAACATATTTTTTCAGAATATTTACAACAAAAATCGATCTTAAGGGGGTTAGCAATCAATGACGGAGTTGACAACAGGAACTCAAGACAGATATTATTGTCTTAAAGTTAAATACAAACATGAGTAAAATATGGAAAATGATTCATTTGACAATTCCCAACAAAATGACAGAGTTGACAAAATACATTATTTTCTTCATTATTCAAGTGGTATACAAAGTAGCAATTTAGTTTTTCCTGAGTTGCTTTGACTCTAAAACCTAATTAAAATGAACATATTTGAACCAAAATTCATATTCTATCTTAATATTAAAGGAAGATGGATTTATCAGGTTATGGTTGTAACCATGGGGATTTCAATATTGTTTTGTTTAAATCTATCAAAAGTACAGAACTTTTCAGCCCATGGGTGGTCTTGTTGCACTACAGTTAATCAGGAGATGAAGGCGTTCTCATGGTATTGCTGAAGCTGCTCATTTCGGATTAATTTATGATTTTAGATAAATCTGATGGAGTTCACCATAATTCCAGACAAATTTGATAGGAATCACAGTTTTGAGAGAAATATTCCTTAAAAGTCAGAGGTGGTTATTGCAAGAAACTACATGTGATCATTTTTCAATTAATATAAATTTTTGCCAGTTAATAGAATTTGAAAAACTTTTTTGGGTAGTTTGAAATTGTGATAATTTACTCTGGACAAGGGCATTTCCTGGCAGAGAGCCAACATGGAACTGAATAAAATCAAAAATATTTGGAAAATTACAAAAACAAATATTTTCCATAATAAAATTCCCCTAAATGTATTTTTTAAGATCAAATAATGAAGAGATTCTTTTTTTCTACTATAAAAAATAAAATTTCCCTGCCGGACAAAGATTGTCCCGACTTTCAAGAATCCCTGACCTGTTAGCATGGCGGTGAGTAAGTTGTGACTTGTGTGTGAGTGTGTCGCCGGAAATGTTAGAACATGGCTGTGAGTGTGGGGTCATGTGTATGTGTACCTGCGTTAGCATGGCGGTGAGTGTAGGATCAGGTGTGTACTGTAGACTGTAGCAAGACTGTGCCAGTGTGCTTTTGGAGAGATGAACGGTCTTTTTTGCCGACGACGAGAAAGTCAAACTGTGGTGCACTGGCACTGTACCAGGTTCTCATGAGCTACAACCTCCAGGAGACGTTCTCTGAGACTGTGACTCTGTTGAACATCCTCATAACTACTCCCATGACAACAGCTGAAGCTGAGAGATGTTTCTCAACTTTGACACGAGTTAAGACATTCCTGCGAAATGCAATGGGCCAGGAACGTCTGAATGCACTGGCCATGCTTTCCATGGAGAGGGAACTAGTCCTCAGCATGCCTGATTTCAATGAGAAAGTCATTGACCGCTTTGCTGCATTGAAAGAGAGAAGAGAACAGTTTCAGTACAAGTAATGTAGCCTCTCTCTCTCTTTGTCCCTCCCTGTCTGTCTCTTTAACACACACACGCCCAAATCAGTTCACAGTTGATGTTGTTTAAAATAGTTATTTTTCATTTTAAAAAAAGTAAAAAAATAATAATAATCTGTTCATGTTCATTTTTACAAATCTATACAATTGGCCAGAATATGGTTGTTCATATTTACAAATCTATACAATTGGCCAGAATATGGTTGTTCATTTTTACAAAGCCATACAGATAGCTGTGTTTACCTTTTCTATAAATTATTTTCAAATTCTGTTTTCAGGCAAAATGTCTATCACTGTTCATTTTCACAAATCTATACAAGAGGGCAGAATATGGAAGTCTATAAAAATTTCTTATTACCAATAACTTGCATCAATGTTTTCAGTAGCCTCTATCAAAAGCTCCTGCTTGCTTGTTGTGAATTATGCTCAGGTGCACATATTTCCAATTCAACCATGAGGCAAAAAATGTGGTAAAAGCTCTTGTTGATCCTGCAATCTGAACAAATACCAAGATGCTGTATTTTCAGCTGATATTTCATTTTGTTTATGGAAATTCATATTGTTTATGCAGTGTTGAGGAATGTGAAAGAACACCCTTGATTATTTTTACTGTGATAACTTATTTTGCTTTTGTAAGCCAACACTTTTGAGATCAGTCAATAAATGCTTCTGGCATTGACTTATATGCTGCCCCTGTCTTCATGTTGTTGCTGGACATATCTTTTTTAAAATGTGTGTAGGTCACCTAAATCATCAGAAAAATTGCCCCCCCCTGAGAATTTTTTCAGGAGCCGCCACTGGACAGTTGTGTGCCTTTCCAAATCATGTCCAATCAATTGAATTTACCACAGGTGTACTCCAATCAAGTTGTAGAAACATCTCAAGGATGTAACCGAAAGGTCGCTGGTTCTAATCCCTGAGCCGACTAGGTGAGAAATCTGCCGATGTGCCCTTGAGCAAGGCACTTAACCCTAATTGCTCCTGTAAGTCGCTCTGGATAAGAGCGTCTGCTAAATAAAAAAATAGAAATAGAAATAGAATGATCAACGTAAACAGGATGCACCTGAGCTCTATTTCGTGTCTCATAGCAAAGGGTCTGAATACTTATGCAAATAAGGTATTTCTGTTGAAATGTTTTTATACATTTGCAAACATTTCTAAAAACCTGTTTTCGATTTGTCCTTATGGGGTATTGTGTGTAGATTGATGAGGGGGAAAAAGCGATAACCGATTTTAGAATAAGGCTGTAATGTAACAAAACGTGGAAAAAGTCAAGGGGTCTGAATACTTTCCAAATGCACTGTATGCCCTCCCAGGCCCACCCATGGCTGCACACCTGCCCAGTCATGTGAAATCCATAGATTAGGGCCTAATGACTTTATTTCAATTGGCTGATTTCCTTATATGAACTGTAACACAGTAAAATCTTTCAAATTGTTGCATGTTGCGTTTATATTTTTGTTCAGTATATAAAACAAATATCCAAACGTCTTTATGTTTTGTTTTATATCATTGCATAATGCTCCAGGGCTAATTTCGTTAGCATTTTGGTATGTTTTTCTAGATTCATAACATAAAACAAGATTTATAAAGCGAACATATATCCCTTGTGTCTAGCACAGCAAGTACTTCAATAGTTTAAGCATATATTGCAGGACAATGAACATATTTTTTCAGAATATTTACAACAAAAATCGATCTTAAGGGGGTTAGCAATCAATGACGGAGTTGACAACAGAAACTCAAGACAGATATTATTGTCTTAAAGTTAAATACAAACATGAGTAAAATATGGAAAATTATTCATTTGACAATTCCCAACAAAATGACAGAGTTGACAAAATACATTATTTTCTTCATTATTCATGTGGTATACAAAGTAGCAATTTAGTTTTTCCTGAGTTGCTTTGACTCTAAAACCTAATTAAAATGAACATATTTGAACCAAAATTCATATTCTATCTTAATATTAAAGGAAGATGGATTTATCAGGTTATGGTTGTAACCATGGGGATTTCAATATTGTTTTGTTTAAATCTATCAAAAGTACAGAACTTTTCAGCCCATGGGTGGTCTTGTTGCACTACAGTTAATCAGGAGATGAAGGCGTTCTCATGGTATTGCTGAAGCTGCTCATTTCGGATTAATTTATGATTTTAGATAAATCTGATGGAGTTCACCATAATTCCAGACAAATTTGATAGGAATCACAGTTTTGAGAGAAATATTCCTTAAGTCAGAGGTGGTTATTGCAAGAAACTACAGTGGGGAAAAAAAGTATTTAGTCAGCCACCAATTGTGCAAGTTCTCCCACTTAAAAAGATGAGAGAGGCCTGTAATTTTCATCATAGGTACACGTCAACTATGACAGACAAAATGAGAAAAAAAAATCCAGAAAATCACTTTGTAGGATTTTTAATGAATTTATTGGCAAACGATGGTGGAAAATAAGTATTTGGTCAATAACAAAAGTTTCTCAATACTTTGTTATATACCCTTTGTTGGCAATGACACAGGTCAAACGTTTTCTGTAAGTCTTCACAAGGTTTTCACACACTGTTGCTTGTATTTTGGCCCATTCCTCCATGCAGATCTCCTCTAGAGCAGTGATGTTTTGGGGCTGTCGCTGGGCAACACAGACTTTCAACTCCCTCCAAAGATTTTCTATGGGGTTGAGATCTGGAGACTGGCTAGGCCACTCCAGGACCTTGAAATGCTTCTTACGAAGCCACTCCTTCGTTGCCCGGGCGGTGTGTTTGGGATCATTGTCATGCTGAAAGACCCAGCCACGTTTCATCTTCAATGCCCTTGCTGATGGAAGGAGGTATTCACTCAAAATCTCACGATACATGGCCCCATTCATTCTTTCCTTTACACGGATCAGTCGTCCTGGTCCCTTTGCAGAAAAACAGCCCAAAAGCATGATGTTTCCACCCCCATGCTTCACAGTAGGTATGGTGTTCTTTGGATGCAACTCAGCATTCTTTGTCCTCCAAACATGACGAGTTGAGTTTTTACCAAAAAGTTATATTTTGGTTTCATCTGACCATATGACTTTCTCCCAATCCTCTTCTGGATCATCCAAATGCACTTCAGACGGGCCTGGACATGTACTGGCTTAAGCAGGGGGACACGTCTCGCACTGCAGGATTTGAGTCCCTGGCGGCGTAGTGTGTTACTGATGGTAGGCTTTGTTACTTTAGTCCCAGCTCTCTGCAGGTCATTCACTAGGTCCCCCCGTGTGGTTCTGGGATTTTTGCTCACCGTTCTTGTGATCATTTTGACCCCACGGGGTGAGATCTTGCGTGGAGCCCCAGATTGAGGGAGATTATCAGTGGTCTTGTATGTCTTCCATTTCCTAATAATTGCTCCCACAGTTGATTTCTTCAAACCAAGCTGCTTACCTATTGCAGATTCAGTCTTCCCAGCCTGGTGCAAGTCTACAATTTTGTTTCTGGTGTCCTTTGACAGCTCTTTGGTCTTGGCCATTGTGGAGTTTGGAGTGTGACTGTTTGAGGTTGTGGACAGGTGTCTTTTATACTGATAACAAGTTCAAACAGGTGCCATTAATACAGGTAACGAGTGGAGGACAGAGGAGCCTCTTAAAGAAGAAGTTACAGGTCTGTGAGAGCCAGAAATCTTGCTTGTTTGTAGGTGACCAAATACTTATTTTCCACCATAATTTGCAAATAAATTCATTAAAAATCCTACAATGGGATTTTCTGGATTTTTTTTTCTCAATTTGTCTGTCATAGTTGACGTGTACCTATGTTGAAAATTACAGGCCTCTCTCATCTTTTTAAGTGGGAGAACTTGCACAATTGGTGGCTGACTAAATACTTTTTTTCCCCACTGTACATGTGATCATTTTTCAATTAATATACATTTTTGCCAGTTAATAGAATTTGAAAAACGTTTTTGGGTAGTTTGAAATTGTGATAATTTACTCTGGACAAGGGCATTTCCTGGCAGAGAGCCAACATGGAACTGAATAAAATCAAAAATATTTGGAAAATTACAAAAACAAATATTTTCCATAATAAAATTCCCCTAAATGTATTTTTTAAGATCAAATAATGAAGAGATTCTTTTTTTCTACTATAAAAAATAAAATTTCCCTGCCGGACAAAGATTGTCCCGACTTTCAAGAATCCCTGACCTGTTAGCATGGCGGTGAGTAAGTTGTGACTTGTGTGTGAGTGTGTCGCCGGAAATGTTAGAACATGGCTGTGAGTGTGGGGTCATGTGTATGTGTACCTGCGTTAGCATGGCGGTGAGTGTAGGATCAGGTGTGTACTGTAGACTGTAGCAAGACTGTGACGCTGAGGGCTTCTGGCTGCTTATCTCCATTGCAATCGCTCTGACAGGAGAGGATGTCCCTTCATTGGTAGGGCACACAGGTGGCAGCCTGGACATACATACACACACGCTTTACTGAAGACACTAGACATCACGCAGAGACACTCCAGAGGAGATAACGCAGAAGTTCCATCCAGGCACTCTGTACAGAGCTGAATGCAACAGGTGAATGAACCAGTGTATGTAAGACTAGGTATGTGTGTGACTCACAGGGTCGGAGGTAGGATGTGTGTAGGTGCACTGACGTGAAGGCAGGCGTGTGAGTTGCCCCCCAGAGATGGAGAGGAGAACATCAGTGTCACGTTTACAGCCTCGTTACCTGAGGAGAGAGACATTTTCAACTTTTACTGCTGCTACTGTAGTTATTTCACCATGACACATCATTCTCATTTATGTATTATTAAGCATGCTTTCATCATATAAAACCAATTAACCATAACATAAAATGTGCACCATTACCGTTCGAGGACAAAAACTGACCTGTGAGGCCCAGCTGACTGGCCAATAACGTTGCATGGAGGCAGAGGTCGCTCAGGGATTGGCTGTCTGAGCTGTCCATCACAGCCAGTGGCACCCAAAGGGACAACTGGGTGATGGATGGTGGACTCTGGGTGGAGTTCAGCAATGCTGTTCCACCTACCTCCTCTTTCCCAAATGGAGGATAGGAAACCGTCTCCATTGCTGTACCATTGGCTCTTGCACACAACTGGAGGTGGGCCAACGATGACAGGAAGTGGTTCCAGTCCTTTGCAAGAAAATATGCATTTCCATTTTCCTGTACATCTAAAGTGGTCTGCACTCATCTAGCCCTTAGGGGATTTTTTTGGCCTGCATGCCCAATATACATTGAGCAGACAGCGGAGCCAAAAGCCAAAAACTGTGTTCTGCAGTCATCTAGCCAGGTCTCTCAACTGTATGGACAAAAGTAAAAGAACGAGGTAAAAGGGCAGTTCCCTAACCTCCGGCATAATAGTATAAGTTACCATGAACTTTGTTCTTTGCCTATTGGTGTGTGTGTTGTACAGTGCCTTGCAAAAGTATTCATCCCCCTTGGCATTTTTCCTATTTTGTTGCATTACAACCTGTAATTTAAATGGATTTTTATTTGGATTTCATGTAATGGACATACACAACATAGTCCAAATTGGTGAAGTGAAATGAAAAAAATAACTTGTTAAAAGAAATGCTCTAAAATAAATAAAGGAAAAGTGGTGCGTGCATATGTATTCACCCCCTTTGCTATGAAGCCCCTAAATAAGATCTGGTGCAACCAATTGCCTTCAGAAGTCACATAATTAGTTAAATAAAGTCCTCCTGTGTGCAATCTAAGTGTCACATGATCTGTCACATGATCTCAGTATATATACACCTGTTCTGAAAGGCCCCAGTCTGCAACACCACTAAGCAAGGGGCACCACGAAGCAAGCGGCACCATGAAGACCAAGGAGCTCTCCAAATAGGTCAGGGACAGTGTAGAGTTGTAGAGAAGTACAGCTCAGGGTTGGGTTATAAAAAAATATCAGAAACTTTGAACATCCCACGGAGCACCATTAAATCCATTATTAAAGAATATGGCACCACAACAAACCTGCAAAGAGAGGGCCGCCCACCAAAACTCACGGACCAGGCAAGGAGGGCATTAATCAGAGAGGCAACAAAGAGACCAAAGATAACCCTGAAGGAGCTGTAAAGCTCCACAGCGGAGATTGGAGTATCTGTCCATAGGACCACTTTAAGCCGTACACTCCACAGAGCTGGGCTTTACAGAAGAGTGGCCAGAAAAAAGCCATTGCTTAAAGAAAAAAATAAGCAAACACGTTTGGTGTTTGCCAAAAGGCATGTGGGAGACTCCCCAAACATATGGAAGAAGGTACTCTGGTCAGATGAGACAAAAATTGAGCTTTTTGGCCATCAAGGAAAACGCTATGTCTGGCACAACCCCAACACCTCTCATCACCCCGAGAACACCATCCCCACAGTGAAGCATGGTGGTGGCAGCATCATGCTGTGGAGATGTTTTTCATCGGCAGGGACTGGGAAACTGGTCAGAATTGAAGGAATGGTGGATGGCGCTAACTACAGGGAAATTCTTGAGGGAAACCTGTTTCAGTCTTCCAGAGATTTGACACTGGGACAGAGGTTCACCTTCCAGCAGGACAATGACCCTAAGCATACTGCTAAAGCAACACTCGAGTGGTTTAAGGGGAAACATTTAAATGTCTTGAAATGGCCTAGTCAAAGCCCAGACCTCAATCCAATTGAGAATCTGTGGTATGACTTAAAGATTGTTGTACACCAGCGGAACCCATCCAACTTGAAGGAGCTGGAGCAGTTTTGCCTTGAAGAATGGGCAACAATCCCAGTGGCTAGATGTGCCAAGCTTATAGAGACATACCCCAAGAGACTTGCAGCTGTAATTGCTGCAAAAGGTGGCTCTACAAAGTATTGATTTGTGGGGGGGGGGGGGGGGGGGTGAATAGTTATGCACGCTCAAGTTTTCTGTCTTGTCTTATTTCTTGTTTGTTTCGCAATAAAAAATATTTTGCATCTTCAAAGTGGTAAGCATGTTGTGTAAATGAAATGATACAAACCCCAAAAAAATCAAATTTAATTTCAGGTTTTAAGGTAACAAAATAGGAAAAATGCCAAGGGGGGTGAATAACTGTAGAGTGTCGGAGTTGGGCAGGCATTGTGTGTAATGTGTAGGGCTGGACAGTATACCATATTTTACTATAGACCGGTATTGATGCATGGACCGTTTTTTTATTTTACCTTTTAAAACAGTATTTAAATGTTTAGTTTGTTAAATGTGATACGCAACTCTGGCGCGTGTAATGTCCGTTTTTATAGTTTACTCTGGATGTCCCACCCAGTTGACTACATTAAAATTGTGGAAGCTCTCAATGGTGCTGCCCATGCTAATATAGCCTTTTGGCCACTAGAGGCCTCTATCATTCTCTATGGTTAAATGTAATCAGTCAGAGCAAACATAGCTAGCTAATATACAGCCTGAGACCAGTGCTGGGGTAGGCCTAGATCAGTATGTTGTTTGTGCAACTGTATCTTCTAAATCAGCGAGGAATAGGCAAAGCATGAATATATTAGCTAGCTACATGAAGTAAGTGAATAACATAGAGATAAAGATGAGTCCTCTATATCTGTACCATTAGAGTCTGTGACAGCATGGGCAGCGCCATTGAGGCTACAACCCATAGGAATCCCCACCCAGTTCCCTACTTTAAAATGGCGGAAGTATGGTGGAAGCCCTCAATGGCACTGCCCATGCTAAAATGGCCTTTTGCCCACTAGAGGCCTCTATCATTCTCTATGGAGAATACACATGTACTGTAACATCATATAGGGTCCCCTAGGAAACACTGAAAATCCCTTTGGTTCCTACCCTGTCAAAATAATTACTGCCTGGCTTATTCCTTTGTTGTCATGTCAAACAGCAATGTATTCAAAATGCTGCCCACTATATTCTAATTTTTGAATTACAATTTCCATGATTTCAACAGTTCACCAATAAACTACTGTAGGCCTAGATTTTTGGCCCATATCTATTATACAGTCCTACTGAGTACTACTTGACACGGTGTGGAAATGATAACAAAAGTGCAGGAAATGTATAAATCAGTCAGAATGGAGAATGCCCCATTGAAAACACAGAATTAATGTGTTGCCACTCTAGGGTCCTGAATATTTATAACTTTTATTATTCTAAAACATAAAATACCGTCAAATGTGAAAAATATCGTGATATGATATTTTGGCCATATCGCCCAACCTTAACTGTGTGTAATGTATGTTGTACCTGCGTGTCTGGGTTGGGCAGGCGGTGTGTGTGCGTATATAACCCGATGCTTAGGAAGGTGAGGGCAAGGGTCAGCACACACAGGAAGAAGGTGACCCCAGGAGGGTGCTGGGAAACATAGTCCCTTAGATTAGCAACTGGCTGCCTGGAACCCATCACACACACCTGTAACACACACAACAGATTGCTGCTATAAAAAACTGATGACAATACAGGATTCAGGAAAACATACCATAAGCGCATTGCATTCGCCACACAGCGATTTAGCAACAACATATGTTACCTGGCTCATGGGTTCATCTACACAGACAGGTCCACAGGGATGACGTAGGCTTAGTCCAACGTCGAGCCGTTCTCTGCAATGCTACCTCGCGTTGCTTGACATGTCAAGACAACGGAGTTTACCAGTCAAAGTACAACTTTCGTAGCTATCTGTGGTTTTCTTGATAGCAAAAGTCCAGCGCCTAGCTAGCCATACAGTTCCGTACAATTTACAACTCACTAGTTAACTCGGATCAGAAGAAAGTTAATCAGCTAGCAAGCAGCTTTCTAAGATAGCTACATCTGAAGTATGCAGTTCACATGAGGAAAACTAGCCACGTCTGAGAATTGACCATATTGTTTTGAAAGGCAAACTAGTATTCTGCCAGCAGCACAAACAATGACGTCAATTTGTATGGTAATGATGAATACTTAAAAATAAAAGCCCGGATTTAAAATGCTATTCTTCACATACTTCGTAAACAAACAGGTGTAGACTAACAGTGAAATGCGTACTTATGGGCCCTTCCCAACAATGCAGAGAATACATAATAGAAAAGTACAACACATAAATGTAATAATAACTTGGCTATATACACAGGGTACCAGTACCAAGTCGATGTGCAGGGGTACGAGGTAATTGAGGTAGATATATACACTGAACAAAAATATAAACGCAACATGCAACAGTTTCTAAGATTTTACTGAGTTATTGCTTGTATAAGGAAATCAGTCAATTGAAATAAATTCATTAGTCCCTAATCTATGGATTTCACATGACTGGGAATACAGATATGCATCTGTTGGTCACGGATACCTTAAAAAAAAGGTGGGGGCGTGGATCAGAAAACCAGTCAGTATGTGGTGTGACCACCATTTGCCGCATGCAGCGCGACACATCAGGCTGTTGATCAGGCTGTCGATTGTGGCCTGATAGTGGAATGTTGTCCCACTCCTCTTCAATGGCTGTGTGAAGTTGCTGGATAATGGCAGGAACTGGAACACGCTGTCATACAAGTCGATCCAGAGCATCCCAAACATGCTCAATGGGTGACATGTCTGGTGAGTATGCAGGCCATGGAAGAACTGGGGCATTTTCAGCTTCCAGGAATTGTGTGCAGATCCTTGCGACATGGGGCCGTGCATTATCATGCTGAAACATGAGGCGACGGATGAATGGCATTCATCCGTGAAGAGCACACTTCTCCAGCGTGGCAGTGGCCATAGAAGGTGAGCATTTGCCCACTGAAGTTGGTTACGTGCCGAACTGCGGTCAGGTGAAGGCCCTGGTGAGGACAACGAGCACGCAGATGAGCTTCCTTGAGATGGCTTCTGACAGTTAGTGCAGCAATTCTTTGGTTGTGCAAACCCAGTTTCATCAGCTGTCTGGGTGGCTGGTCTCAGACGATCCCACAGGTGAAGAAGCCGGATGTGGAGGTCCTGGGCTAAAGTGGTTACACGTGGTCTGCGGTTGTGAGGCCGGTTAGACGTACTGCCAAATTCTCTAAAACAACGTTGGAGGTAGCTAATGGTAGAGAAAAGAACATTCAATTATCTGGCAACAGCTCTGGTGGACATTCCTGCCGTCAGCATGCCAACTGCACACATTTTAGTGGCCTTTTATTGTCCCCAGCACAAGGGGCACCTTTGTAATGATCATGCTGTTTAATCAGCTTCTTGATATACCACACCTGTCAGGTGGATGGATTATCTTGGCAAAGGAGAAATGCTTACTAACAGGGATGTTAACAAATTTGTGCACAACATTTTAGAGAAATAAGCTTTTTGTGCGTATGGAACATTTCTGGGATCTTTTAATTCAGCTCATTAAACATGGGACCAACACTTTACATTTTTCGTTTATAATTTTGTTCAGTATACATATAACTAGGAATAAAGTGACAGATAATAAACAGTAGCAGCAGCATATGTGATGTGTGATGCAATGTGGATAGATATTCTAAAGATATTACATTTGAATCAATGTCCATTTTTATTGTGCTTATAAGCAAATGCAAGGACTTTATGGAAACAATTACAAATATGCTTCTATTTGTTTTTTTTAAGAGCACTATTGAAAAGTACAATGTTTAGATTGGTATGTTCACATTAGGCTGTAGAGAAAAAACTTTTCCATGTGCCAAGGTAAAAGTGGAGTTGGCAATACTCCATAGGGTCTAGAGAATCTATATATGGTGTTATTTCTTGGGGGACTGAGATCTAAATACCCAGCAGCACTTTCTATTCCACCCATTCCATGCACTGCAGTGCAATACAGTGTAAGCCTATAAATTACATATTGTCGTATAGAGAAAAAAACGATTCTATGTGCCAAAGTAAAAGTGGGGTTGGGAATACTCAGTACGGTCTGTACCACAGGAGGTTGGTGGTACCTTAATTAGGGAGAACGGGCTTGTGTTAATGACTGTTGCAGAATCAGTGGAATGGTATCAAATACATCAAACACATGGTTTCCAGACATTTTTATTATTATGAGCCACTCTCCCCTCAGCAGCCTCCTGTGGTCTGTAATCTATATATTGTGTTATTTCTTTGGGTACTGAGGTCTAAATACCCAGTAGCACTTTCTACTCCACCCACTGCAATGCAATACACTACATGCCTAAAAATTACATATTGGGCTATAGAGGAAAAACATTCTATGTGCCAAGGTAAAAGTGTGGTTGGGATTAATCTATATATGGTGTTATTTTATGGGGGACTGTGGTCTAAATACCTAGCAGCACAATTGCCCTATAAATAATACAATATCACAATTAAAAGTATGCTGTGAAAAAGAGTTGTAATGCACTAGTAAAAACAATCGATATTCCCAAAGTCTAGCATGTCTTTGCAGGGGGACTCTTATTTTAAAAATAAAATAATCCGCGATCGTGCTGCCATCATAATATCCTGCTGCTAGGAGAACGGTAATAAGGCAGACGAACCAGAAGGATCGACCTCAGTTAAAGAGTTCTGATTGGCGGAAAGCAGAGCCACGTGCATTGTCATTGGATTAAACAATGTGTTGACAGTATGTCCCTCCCCTTTTTTCAATCATGTTGTGTTTTGCTTTCAGGTATGCTTGAAAAAGTCTGGGCCATCACTGACAACAGTGTCAGACACCAAAAGACAGTACGCCAACTTTATATTTCTAAATAAGCTACACATAACATGGCTATAAAGTAAAGTTCCAAACGAATTGAATGCCAAAAACCATTGACCGTATTAAAGCTCATATGTCAAATGATAACATTTACAAATTGTAATACATTTTTTTATGAGATTTCTGTCTAAGGTCAATATTAATTTAATGAATTGACCAGTGTCATAGCAGCATGAATCAAATGGTAGAATACTTTAAGTAGGCTACACTAAACTGTTTGATTTCAAATTAAAAACAAAAATAATTATCTATTGGCCAAACTAATAGTGCATTTTTTCCTAGTACAATTTCCTACCTCTATATTGCCATTAGTGGAACTCAAGTTTGCCCATCTCACATGTCAGTATGAGCAAAACATTATTTAAAAAAAAGTAATAAACCCCCCCAGTTAAAACCCATTTCCTTTTCTCAAGATTGTTCAAACAACAGAGCAGTAAACACACATGCTAACCCTGAGCTTACTGTTGTACTGTATACCTAATACATTACATTACTTTTGTAATAATTTCCCTTTTGAATGGAAACCCCATCACCCCTTAGTTTCTTCTCTGACACTGAGGGGTGTGTGCGTGTAGGGTTAATGTAAGGGGTATGGGTTATGTTTACATTTTAGTCAGTTAGCAGACACTCTTATCCAGAGTGACTTACAGTTAGTGCATTCATCTTAAGATAGCTAGGTGGGACAACCACATATCACAGGCATAGAAAGTAAATTTTTTCTCAATGAATAAATAGAGGAGAGAATAGAGTTCTTGGGTTGGGGTGTAGGGTTTGAGCATAGCCTGAAGGTAGGGAGGGGCAGTTCCTCTTGCTGTTCCGTAGGTAAGCACCATGGTCTTGCAGTGGATGCAAGCTTCGACCAGAAGCCAGTGGAGTGTACGGAGGAGCGGGGTGACAATAGAAAACTTGGGAAGGTTGAAAACCAGGCGGGCTGCAGTGTTCTGGATAAGTTGCAAGGGTTCAATGGCACATGCGGGGAGCCCACCCAACAGCGAGTTGCAGCAGTGCAGACGGGAGAAGACAAGTGCCTGGATTAGGACCTGCAGTGCTTCCTGTGTGAGGTAGGGTCGTACTCTACGGATGTTATAGAGCATGAACCTGCAGGAGCGAGTCACTGCTTTGATGTTTGCAGAGAACGACAGGGTGTTGTCCATGGTCACGCCAAGGTTCTTTGCACTCTGGGAGGGCGACAATGTGGAGTTGTCAACCGTGATGGAGAGGTTTTTGAGCGGACAGGCCTTCTCCGGGAGGAAGAGCAGCTCTGTCTTGTCGAGGTGGTGGGCCGACATCCAAGTTGAGATATCTGACAGGCACGCAGAGATACGTGTCGCCACCTGGGTGTCAGAAGGGGGGGAAGGAGAAAAGTAGTTGAGTGTCATCTGCATAGCAATGATAGGAGAGGCCATGTGAGGATATGACAGACACAAGTGACTTGGTGTATAGAGAGAAGAGGAGAGGGCCTAGAACAGAGCCCTGGTGAACACCAGTAGTGAGAGTTCGTGGTGCACAGATCCTCTCCACGTCACCTGGTAGGAGCAGCCTGCCAGGTAGGATGCAATCCAAGAGTGTGCAGAGCTTGAGATGCCCATCCCTGAGAGGGTGGAGAGGAGAATCTGATGGTTCACAGTGTCGAAGGCAGCGGATAGATCTAGGAGGATGAGAACAGAGGAGAGAGAGTCAGATTTGGCAGTGCGGAGAGTCTCCGTGACACAGAGTAGAGCAGTCTCGGTTGAGTGACACACCTTAAAGCATGGTTATGGTCAAGAAGATCGTTCTGAGATAGATAACGAAAAAGTTGATCGAGACAGCACGCTCAAGTGTTTTGGAAAGAAAAGAAAGAAGGGATACAGGTCTATAGTTTTTGACGTCAGATGAGTCGAGTGTTGGTTTCTTGAGGTGGGGAGCGACTCTGGCCATTTTGAAGTCAGAGGGGACGCAGCCAGTGGTCAGGGATGAGTTGATGAGGGAAGTGAGGAATGAGAGAAGGTCTCCAGAGATGGTCTGGAGAAGGGAGGAGGGGATGGGGTCGAGCGTGCAGGTTGTTCTGCGGCCAGACCTCACTAGACGCAGAATTCCACCAGGAGAGAGAGGGGAGAAAGAGGTCAAGGCGTAGAGTAGTTCTGTGTGAGTGAGACCAGTGGACTCAATAGGCTGAGTGAATGAGTAGCGGATGTCGTCAACCTTCTTTTCAAAGGATTAAGGAGGGAGTTGAAGATGGAAAAGAGTTTCCTAGGGTTAGTGGCATCAGCTTGAAATTTCGAGAGTGGTAGAAAGTGGCTTTAGCAGCAGATACAGAGGAAGGGAAGGTAGAGAGGAGGGAGTGAAAGAATGATAGGTCCTCCTGAATTTCAGTTTTCCTCAATTTTCGCTCAGCTGCCCATAGCCCTGTTCTGTAAGTTCGCAATGAGTCACTCAGCCACGGATCAGGAGGGGAGGGCCTAGCCGGCCGGAAGAAAAGGGGACATTGCGAGTCATAGGATGTGGAAAGGGAGGAGAGTAGGGTCGAAAAGGCAGAATCAGGAGACAGGAGGGAGAAGGATTTAGCAGAAGGGTTAGGTAGACCAGGAGACGTTTACAGGTGCGAAAGCCCAGGTGTCAGGTTGTCCCATGTGCATCAGGTCTGAGTAGGGGAAGGAACTCCACTGGAAGACAGGTACCTGGTCTCACGTCGGTCCACTCGCTGCCAGGAAGCCAAACTCACGCCACAGCCCGTAAGACGTCACCTACACACACCCAAAGGTACACACACAGCCAATTAGTGACACCTATAAGAAGCATGACATAACAGCTCACCTAACTCATACCTAGAGTGATAGAAGGTAGAAGTGGAGGACGACCTTACCTTCATATCCGGTCCTCCATGTGGTCTCTGCTTCAGCGCTCCGAAGGGATACGTTCCGTTAGCCGGGTTCAGGTCGGACCGGGCTGAGATGGTGTTCTCTCCATTAGCAGGCGGGTCACAGCCCTCACACCGAGACAACGGGTCCTCCTTAAAGTTATTATACCTACAGAGAGAGAGGGGTAGGGAAGGGATATTCATTCATAGGCTATACATGTCCAGTGCATTCGGAAAGTATTCAGAACCCTTGACTTTTTCCACATTTTGTTACATTACAGCCTTATTCTAAAATGGATTAAATAAATACAAATCCTCATCAACCTACACACAATACACCATAATGACAAAGCAAAAATAGGTTTTTAGAAATGTACATTAGTATTCAGACCCTTTGCTATGAGAATCGAAATTGAGCTCAGGTGCATCCTGTTTCCATTGATCATCCTTGAGATGTTTCTACAACTTTATTGGAGTCCATCTGTGGTAAATTGAATTTATTGGACATGATTTGGAAAGGCACACACCTGTCTATATAAGGTCCCACAGTTGACAGTGCATGTCAGAGCAAAAACCTGTTTTTGCTTTGTCATTATGGGGTATTGTGTGTAGATTGATGAGGGAAAAAAACAATTTAATCAATTTTAGAATAAGGCTGTAACGTAACAAAATGTGGAACAAGTCAAGGGGTCTGGATACTTTCCGAATGCACTATAGGTAAGGATACTCGTATACAGCTGTAGGTAAGGATACTGTAGGTAAGGATACTCGTACATAGACCATAACCAGGTGGCGAATCGCATCTCTGCATGTCTGGCAGACATATCAGTGTGGATGACGGATCACCACCTCAAGCTGAATCTCTGCAAGACGGAGCTGCTCTTCCTCCCGGGAAAGGACTGCCCGTTCCATGATCTCGCCATCACGGTTGACAACTCCATTGTGTCCTCCTCCCAGAGTGCAAAGAGCCTTGGCGTGAACCTGGACAACACCCTGTCGTTCTCCGCTAACATCAAGGCGGTGACCCGATCCTGTAGGTTCATGCTCTACAACATTCGCAGAGTACAACCCTGCCTTACACAGGAAGCGGCACAGGTCCTAATCCAGGCACTTGTCATCTCCCGTCTGGATTACTGCAATTTGCCGTTGGATGGGCTCCCTGCCTGTGCCATTAAACCCCTACAACGCCGCAGCCCGTCTGGTGTTCGACCTTCCCAAGTTCTCTCACGTCACCCCGCTCCTCCGCACACTCCACTGGCTTCCAGTTGAAGCTCGCATCTGCTACAAGACCATGGTGCTTGCCTACGGAGCTGTGAGGGGAACGGCACCTCCGTACCTTCAGGCTCTGATCAGTCCCTACACGCAAACGAGGGCACTACGTTCATCCACCTCTGGCCTGCTGGCTCCCCTACCTCTGCGGAAGCACAGTTCCCGCTCAGCCCGGTCAAAACTGTTCGCTGCTCTGGCACCCCAATGGTGGAACAAGCTCCCTCACGACGCCAGGACAGCGGAGTCACTCACCACCTTCCGGAGACACTTGAAACCCCACCTCTTTAAGGAATACCTGGGATAGGATAAAGTAATCCTTCTATCCCCCCTTACCCCACCCCCCCCAAAAAAAAAAAAACTATTGTAAAGTGGTTGTCCCACTGGCTATCATAAGGTGAATACACCAATTTGTAAGTCGCTCTGGATAAGAGCGTCTACTAAATGACGAAAATGTAATGTAAATGTAAATGCAGATCTGTCCCTCTCCCCCTGTGGCATCTGGCGTAGAAGCCTCTGACTGGAAGAGCATACCTCATGAGGCGGACCATGGAGTCCATGTCTGTGACGTGTGATTGGTTCCTTCTGAAGATCTGGGCTCGAGGGTTCATGTCCAGAGAGAACCATGGACCAAACTGTTTAACCAGTTCTCGACAGCCACTGGCATTAAACACCTCTTCATAGTACCTACACACACACACACACACACACACACACACACACACACACACACACACACACACACACACACACACACACACACAGTGAGAGAGTATGCGTCACACATATACACAGGTCATTTTTTTGTGATCAGAACAAACCTGAGAGACCGACACAGTCACCACCTATTAATAATATAGCCATTACTAGTGTGTGGTAGTTATACATTTGTTGTTATTGGTACTTACGGGATGTTATAACTGGACCAGTAACCTTTCTAAAGCAAGTCCTGGGTTTTATCAGAGTGAACAACCAGCCCACTACAGAACAGAAGAGAACCACACACACACTTATTGCTGTTATTGATAAATAGCCAGCTCACCACAGCAGCAAGAACACACATAACATTTATGCAATGTGAGTGTGTGTGTGTGAGTGTGAGTATGTGTGTGTTTGGGTTGTCACGATACCAGTATCGAGATACTACGATACCGGATTTTCCTTGGCAAAAAAAACAAACTTTATGGTCCTTTAAAAACCTACTTTATGTAAAATATTGGTGTGCTATAGCTTGCAAAATAAACAAATGTGACTCTGTGTAACAACATGAGGACTGTTTTCCTCAATAAATGAATTAAGGTTTCCTTTCCTTCCTAGTATCTCGACACTGGTATCGTGACAACCCGTGTGTGTTGACTCTTACGGGAGCTGCTCAGTACAGTAAACAGCTGCTCCTTGGTCTCTGTCATCCCCGGAGTGAAATGCCTGTAGTCCACTATCACCCCCCCCCCCCCGAGAAAAAAATTCTCACTCAAGTCACCTGACCACTCTGATATGTTATAACCTCTTTTTTTTTACTTTACTTAATTCCTTAAAGGGATAGTTCCCTTCACTCTTCATCTCCTAGTGTCCTTTAAAATGGACAGTTAAATAGCTTGTATGAGGGTTTGTTTTCTGGTCTGACAGGACTGGAGAGATAACCATCATGGTAGACATCCACAGGTCAATGAGAGTCTACAGGAAGAAGGGGAAGATGCCCAGATGGTCTACAGAGACTCACGTTCCGCTGTTGTGTTTGCTAAAAATCTCTGCCCACTCCTTGCCGGTTGCAGCCAGCCTATTGGCTACGATGTTCCTCAGCCACTCCATAACTGCTCCGGTTGGTTGAACAAATTTCCAGAGGGCGGGGTTACTGTTGTCGATGCTGGTCTCCAAGGTAACCTATGGAGAGACATCTTTAAAAAAACAAATACTACACACACATACAGTTGAAGTCGGAAGTTTACATACACCTTAGCCAAATACATTTAAACTCAGTTTTTCACAATTCCTGACATTTAATCCTAGTAAAAATTCCCTGTCTTAGGTCAGTTAGGATCACCACTTTATTTTAAGAATGTGAAATGTCAGAATAATAGTAGAGAGAGATTTATTTCAGCTTTTATTTATTTCATCACATTCCCAGTGGGTCAGAAGTTTACATACACTCAATTTGTATTTGGTAGCATTGCCTTTAAATTGTTTAACTTGGATCAAATGTTTCAGGTAGCCTTCCACAAGCTTCCCACAATAAGTTCGGTGAATTTTGGCTCGTTCCTCCTGACAGAGCTGGTGTAACTGAGTCAGGTTTATAGGCCTCCTTGCTCACACACGCTTTTTCAGTTCTGCCCACAAATGTTCTATAGGATTGAGGTCAGGGCATTGTGATGGCCACTCCAATACCTTGACTTTGTTGTCCTTAAGCCATTTTGCCACAACTTTGGAAGTATGCTGGGGGGTCATTGTCCATTTGGAAGAACCATTTGCGACCAAGCTTTAACTTCCTGACTGATGTCTTGAGATGTTGCTTCAATATATCCATATAATTTTCCTTCCTCATGATGCCATCTATTTTGTGAAGTGCACCAGTCCCTCCTGCAGCAAAGCACCCCCACAGCATGATGCTGCCACCCTGTGCTTCACGGTTGGGATGGTGTTCTTCAACTTGCAAGCACCCCCTTTTTCCTCCAAACATAACAATGGTCATTATGGCCAAACAGTTATATTTTTGTTTCATCAGACCAGAGGACATTTCTCCAAAAAGTATGATCTTTGTCCCCATGTGCAGTTGCAAACCGTAGTCTGACTTTTTTATGGCGGTTTTGGAGCAGTGGCTTCTTCCTTGCAAAGCGGCCTTTCAGGTTATGTCGATATAGGACTTGTTTTAATGTGGATATTGATACTTTTGTACCTGTTTCCTCCAGCATCTTTACAAGGTCCTTTGCTGTTGTTCTGGGATTGATTTGCACTTTCCGCACCAAAGTACGTTCATCTGTCTCTGTTGTTGAATCTTGTTATGTTCATACAAATATTTACACATGTTAAGTTTGCTGAAAATAAACGCAGTTGACAGTGAGAGGACATTTCTTTTTTTGCAGAGTTTACAATTTTTTATTATTATTATATTTGTTTTTTTGTCATTTAGCAGACGCTCTTATCCAGAGCGACTTACAGTTTAGTGAGTGCATACATTATTATACTTTTTTTCATACTGGCCCCCCGTGGGAATCAAACCCACAACCCTGGCGTTGCAAACGCCATGCTCTACCAACTGAGCTACATCCCTGCCGGCCATTCCCTCCCCTACCCTGGACGATGCTGGGCCAATTGTGCGCCGCCCCATGGGTCTCCCGGTCGCGGCCGGCTACGACAGAGCCTGGATACTATGTCCACACATATTATACACAGCGCTCACCAGCCCGGTGCTAAGGATGTAGAAGTCGTCTCCGGAGAAGATGGACCCTGGGTAGGAGGAGAACGCCTGGGTTCCGCCAGGGATCGGATCACTGTCTGAGAACAACAGAACACAGAAATCAAACTCAGAACCATAAAATATAGAACTCTGAACCACATAACTCATGTTTGGCCTTTCCCAGTGGTCACAAGCAGAGTTTCCAGGAGGGTTTCATTAAGAGTGTGTATGTTAGGGGGGAAAGGGGGGACATTAGGAGACGCTGTAGGCATAGTTAAGTTAACCTTATGAGAGTTTTAGGGGTAAAAGGTTACCTGTAGGAGAGACACGGTAGGCGAACTGGTACTTCTTTAGGATGCGCAGCATGGCCTGGTAGATGTTCCAGGTATCATGAGACACCAGCAGATCCTTGTTGCCAGGCAATAGCTTGATGAGGGCGGAGCAGGAGCCAGAGCCCAGCGTCCGTGATTGGCTAGATTTGTTTAGGGCCCCCTCAAGATCCACCAGGTCTCCTCCCATCTGGAAAAGTCTGAATAGCTCATAGTGATGGAAAGAGGCCTCATCATTGTATCCATGCCATTATGGCGTCTGTGACAGCATGGGCAGCGCCATTGAGGCCATCTCCATTTTGAAGTAGTACATTTTCTTCTTCTTCCCGATTGGCTGATCCCTCCTGATGACCTGGTTGCACTTGACTCCAACAGGGTCACCAGGAGGGATCAGCCAATGAAGTTGGAAGTCCCACCCAGTTGACTACATTAAAATGGTGGCCGTGCTAAAACGGCCTTTTGGCCACTAGAGGCCTCTATCATACTCTATGGAATAGCCACAGAGAAATAGAGAGTTTGGTCAGAGCAGTGATGCAAGGTGTCATTGGGCACACTTGATTTAGCTCACCCTAATAGTTTTCCCCATTGGAACTCCTCACATTATTCCTGAGATAGGTACTCTGGGTGAGTAAAATCAAGGGCACTTACAGAGACTGTCACTGCTGGGCTGACCTCATAGAGAATGATAGAGGACTCTTCTTTGTATCTGTCCAATTATGCAGTCTGTGAGTGTACGGGCAGAGCCATTGTGGCCATTTCCATTTTGAAGTAGTCAATTTTCTTCTTCTACTACTTCTATGAGTTGGTAAACAAACTGAAAGGGTGCATACGGCCACTTGCAGTGTGTTGTTTGAACAGATAAAGCCAAGGTTGGCGATTTACTGCCACCTGCAATTATGGAATGTTTGCGCACAAGTATTATTCCTTGGCTGATCCCTCCTGATGACCTGGATGGAATGATGTGATCCTTCCTTAACCCATAGGAAGTCCCACCCAGTTGACTACTTAAAAATGGTGAAAGTCCTGAATGGCGCTGCCCATGCTAAAATGGCTTTTGGGCACTAGAGTACTCTATAATTATCTATGGGTGAACTCTAACCCATCAATCACAGAGGTCACAGACCACACTTACAGGAAGCCAAAGGGGTTGAGAGTGAAAGGGTCTCTGGGAAATGACAGCTGATCATTGTAGCCGTTTTCCAGACCTTTCAGCTACAGCAACGCCAACCGCACCTGAGCGAGAGAAAGTCTAAATAAAAAATGTCATCTTACTAAGATGTTCTTATTAGATCCCAAGTGTGTACTGAATGATCCACTCTAGCAAGAGTTCTTTAATGTTTAGATACATAGAGAAAAATAGTAGATACTTGGTGATTTAGCACATTGGCTGACCCAGACCCAGCCAATACCTGGTGCCAGTAGGGACAGTGTGGATGCTCCTCCATCTGCTGTCTGACCCACTGCAGGTTGGTGGTGATGTAATCCTTCAGTCTCTGACAGAATCCTGACTCAAACGTAAACGGACCGCAGTACCCCATAAGTGTGTTCATCCAGTGCTTATAGATCAGCTGAGACACAAACACACAAATAGATCAGCTTTAGATTTGGGTCGTGTTCCCCTGTTCAGTCGTTGCATGGATCAACCAATGGTTAGGTGCTATGTCATCGACTGTGCCGTCGGGCACCAGACTGCTATAATGTTTGTAAGATCTAGCATTCGTCAGCAATGTCTGAGCAGGGGAACACAACCTTCAACTCCACTGCCTCAGCAGGGTTAGGGTGACTGTCTCTCTACCTTACCTGGGAGCTGACTGCAGGCGTTGTAGGGAGGTCATACAGGCACGTGGAGGCCACACACACTACTGAGCCTCATTTTGACTTGTTTTAAGGACATTACACTACATTACATTACATTTTAGTCATTTAGCAGACGCTCTTATCCAGAGCGACTTACAGTTAGTGAATACATATTTTTTTATACTGGCCCCCCGTGGGAATCGAACCCACAACCCTGGCGTTGCAAACGCCATGCTCTATCAACTGAGCTACATCCCTGCCGGCCATTCCCTCCCCTACCCTGGACGACGCTGGGCCAATTGTGCGCCGCCCATGAGTCTCCCGGTCGCGGCCGGCTGCGACAGAGCCTGGATTCGAACAAGGATCTCTAGTGGCACAGTTAGCACATCAAAGTTGGATCAGCCTGTAGTGTGGTTTTCCACTTTAATTTTGAGGGTGACTCCAAATCCAGACCTCCATGGGTTGATACATTTGATTTCCATTGATAATTTTTGTGTGATTTTGTTGTCAGCTCATTCAACTATGTAAAGATTATTTCATTCATTCAGATCTAGGATGTGTTATTTTAGTGTTCCCTTAATTTTTTTGAGCAGTGTACATCAAATGTATTTGGGTGAAGAGTTTTACCCTGATCACAACCTGACTTGATAGGAATGTCTTTGGTCCATGATCTACAAGTGTCTACTCCAGCGGTTCCCAAATTCTGGATACTCAAGCGGTTACCCCCCAAATTTTTGTATCTCAAAATCATTGTAATGTGGTTAACCTTAAAAATCTAAATGAAAATGATTGAAATCTAAAAGATCAAATTCAACCAGAGATTGCCCTTAGATTGTGGGAAAAGGCAGCACTTGAACGTTGCGCTTGAATCGGAATGATGTGACCAAACGCTGCAGACAACACATTCACGGGTCACTACTGAGGAGTTTTAGTTCCTGACTCAAAGGGAATACCCTGCCGTCTCCCTCAGAGCATTCAAATTCAACATACCCTTCGCCACCTCATATCTGTGTGAAGTTGCAGTCAGCAGTGCTCTCGTCTGCATTAAAACCAAATATCGATCCAGGTTGGATGTGACAGCAGAGATGAAGTGTGCACTGTTGACTACTCCCCCTGCCTTTGAGAAGCTCCGAAGTGACATGCATCAAGCACACCCATCTCATTACTGGTGGTGAGATAATGGTGCTTTCAAAATGAGGTCAAATCATGATGTCAGTGATCTTCAGGTCGGAGCTTTAGAAAGAGGCCGAGTTTTTCCGAGTTCCCAATTGTCTTTAACGCAGTGAAGTCGGAGATTTCCGAGTTCCCAGTTGTTTTGAATGCGGCATTAGAGATATTATTGTCAGACTAATTTGCAATTGACTGTCATAGCCAGTGGCGGCTCCTGAAAAAATTCTCAGGAGGGGCAATTTTTCTGATGATTTAGGTGACCTACACACGTGCACGAGTCCGTGCACGCGATTCCAGATATCTTTACCTCTGAATAAACTGCCTTTATTATACCATATCCACCCTGTCCAAAGTCTCTACTTGGTCTCAGTTCTCCAGTAAACTTGTGATTATCAACAGTACACAACGGTAACAAACAATTGGGGGAACTCACGGGGCAGATAGTAACCACTTAAAAGGAAGCGATTCCCAAACCTTCCATAACAAAGCCATCACCTACAGAGAGATGAACTTGGAGAAGAGTCCCCTAAGTAAGCTTGTCCTGGGCCTCTGTTCACAAACACAAACAGACCCCACACAGCCCCAGGACAACAACAACAACAACAACAACAACACAATTAGACCCAACCAAATCATGAGAAAACAAAAAGAGAATTACTTGACACATTGGAAAGAACAAACAAAAAAACAGAGCAAACTAGAATGCTATTTGGCCCTAAACAGAGAGTACACAGTGGCAGAATACCTGACCACTGTGACTGACCCAAACTTAATGAAAGCTTTGACTATGTACAGACTCAGTGACCATAGCCTTGCTATTGAGAAAGGCCGCCGTAGGCAGACCTGGCTCTCAAGAGAAGACAGGCTATGTGCACACTGCCCACAAAATGAGGTGGAAACTGAGCTGCACTTCCTAACCTCCTGCCAAATGTATGACCATATTAGAGACACATATTTCCCTCAGATTACAGCGATCCACAAAGAATTCGAAAACAAACCCAATTTTGATAAACTCCCTTATCTACTGGGTGAAAAACCACAGTGTGCCATCACAGCTGCAAGATTTGTGACCTGTTGCCACAAGAAAAGGGCAACCAGTGAAGAACAAACACCATTGTAAATACAACCCATATTTATGTTTATTTATTTTCCCATTTGTACTTTAACTATTTGCACATTGTAACAACACTGTATATATACATAATATGACATTTGAAATGTCTTTATTCTTTTGAAACTTCTGAGTGTAATGTTTACTGTTAATATTTATTGTTTATTTCACTTTTGTTTACTATCTACTTCCCTTGCTTTGGCAATGTTAACACACGTTTCCCATGCCAATAAAGCCCTTAAATTGAATTGAATTGATAGTAAGGTCGCAATGACACAGAAAGCAGTTCAATGTCGGGGTACAGAGTCGCTCTCTTACCAGGATCGCGGTCCGCTCTGACCAGGGTGAAGGTGGCCGGCTCCACTTCTCTGTCCGGGACTCATCCAGCCAAGTCTCCCAGCTGTATTGGGATTCAGCTGCCAGCAGCGTTTTCATTATTTAGTCCGTTCGTAGCGGGTATGTACACGATCAACAAGATCAGTCCAAAACCAACCACTGGAAATCCATGGTTGGCAGAATGTTTGTAAACTAAGTCTACAAATTAAAAACATAAAATAACGCCGCACTGCAGGTCGCAACAGAGACGCTTCTAGCCGCCATTGTCTTAGTTACGTTCAACGTTACGTCACGCATGACGAAAGCGCGTAAGTGCAAGCCCACAGACACCCATAGAGAATGTATTGAAAGCTTTGAAATGTGAAAAAAATAGATTTTACATGACAGGCTATGAGAGACTTCTGGGCGATTTTCAACTTGACTGAAATCGCCCCAAAAACGGGCGGGGCCATTTGAAGCACGACTTTAGCCTGATTTGACATTTAGTGGCTGGCAGATCAGACGTGAACACTGATAACTGCTGTTGCCGTGATATAATTGATTAGAAAAAAAATCCCTTCCTTTTCCCGTTTGGCAGTGCGTCGCCCATATCGCCCTATTGAACAAGCCGTCCCTGGTCATAGCCCCACATTAAAAGTATGTGATCGTGTGTTAAGACAATCAGAAATACTGCTAGAATGTTTTGCAATTGACTGCTATAGCCCCAAATAAAGAAAGTAAACATTGGCTGTTAATTACATACTTTCTTTTCACATGGTTGGGGTCGCGAGAATTTTCAGATATCAAAATGGGGTCGAGGACGAAGAAAATTTGGGAACTCCTGGTCTACTCTATGGGGTCGATTTGGATTACACACAGGTAAACTACAACCCTGAATAAAATTGGGAATACTCTTTTATCACAACAGATGTAATAGAACAGGAACTACCACTTGACTAAAATATTTTATAGGACACAGCCTGCCCTACCCCCATTGTCAATGCAACGTTGTCTAGACTAACTCAATCAGAGCCCATATTTTGCTAAAATGCTCGTAAACTTGCTCTTTACCCAAATGCATCTTATTTTTAGTCCTGCGTCGTCTATGTGGCTAGATTAGCGCTGGTCCAGGGCGTTAGTGCGCGTTAGTAGAGCAATTTACCCTGAGTTATTGATGTCGTTACTAAAGTTCGCCCAGGCAACATAGTCGTCTCGGAAACCCTCTTGCAGAGACAGCTGGCCAGTTTGTTTATCGAGAACTGCAGAATGAATCTCGGCCTGAACAGACGTCCATGATAAATACAAAACACATATAAATCTTCACTGTTGTTGTTGACTTGTGTGTGCGCTTGTCAGACATTTTTACTAATGTGGGCAATGTGACCAAAGCTGAGGAAGTAATTTCAAAATAAAAGTCCCAACCCTCTAATGTAGATAGGTGTTATGTTAAGTTCTCTCTGATTTAATAAAAAATAATGCAATTAATTAAAAACAAACACTCAAAACCACTATGAAATGGATAACATTTAATTGCTGAGTACAAATAATCACATCATCATCAGAGTCCCATGTCATCGTCAGAGCTCTCTGACTGAGATGTCTCTCTCTCTAATATCTCAGTCTCTCTCTCTCACATACACACACACAGGAGTTCCTTGTCGCAACAACACTCTGTCAAAGTCCCTCAGTGCGCTCGAGAGGATTGGCTTGGCAAGGCTCTGCGCAGAATCACTGACAAAATAATTAGCTTCTGCTGAATTCTGCTCTTTCTGATTTCTCCTTCTCCTGTCACTAAGGCCCAGATTATGCAGTCAGTCCTACCCACACACAGGCACCAATCAGGGCTGGGTTGTGCTTAGGGGGTGTGATTTAGGGGTCAGTCATCCTTTGCCCCCTCTGCCTCCATAATCCCCTCCATCACTTCTGCCTTCCGCTTCTTCTTAGGGACATCTGAGAGAGTGAGAGATCAGAGAATAGGTTTCTCCAAACATCAATCTGAAATGTATTACTGTATCTGTTTGCTGGTACTACTGGGTGTTACCGTGGAAATGCTCAGCTGTTTCCTGCGTAGCGTCTCCAGTGTCTTCGGCATCGGCCCACTCTAGAACCAGCCGCCGCCCGTACAGATGGGTGCTGTGGCACAGC